TGTACTACTTTGAGCAAGGATGTGTTTCCTGGTGTTTTCAGGATTCCCTTTCCAGGGCCTTTTGCGTCTCAGTGCTATCGTGCATTTAGGGGCCGCGCTTTTCTGGCGAAAGCAGCAAGCATGCATTTGTTTTTTTCTCGATACGACCTCGCAACATCCGCTTGCGTTCCTTCCAGGCCTTCGCAGATCAGTTGGGCTACCACCTGTTCCCCATCCGCCTGCTGCTGCTGGCCACCTCTCCAGTTCTTTGGGGCGTCTTGGACCAGAGCCTCGGCCCAAGAGAGGTTCAGGGCGGGTGGGAAGGCCAGCCCAGCAGGAAGCTTCTGATTTTTCCGAGGAGCGCCGCTATTGCGCGCGTTGGCGGCAGCCACACCATGTGGTGGCTCATCTCGGGCCTGGGGTTTTGGCTCGGCTGCATCCCCATTTGTGCGGTCTTTTCCCTCTTCATCGCGAACAAGCTTCGGCAGCCGCGCAATCCCTGGTGGGACTGGATGAGCCTCGGCTCGCAGAACGGAGCTGATTTTGAGTCCTCTCCTTGGTGATTTGTTTGCTGACATTCGCAAGAAACGGCAAGGGCCGGGGACTTTGGGGAATCTCTCGCTCTGAGGGCGTAAGTTGCGTCAGGATCAACTTGCTGGTGATGTTCTTGATGCTCCCGGTCTTTTGGCTGACCTTTGGTCTGTCCTTGATGTTGGAGCACCAGGACAGCGCTCCCTCGCCGTGGGCATTAGGGCGTACTAGAGTATCGCAGTATCGCCTTGTGAGGGCTGCCAGCAGGTTCGCGCTCCATGGCTCTTGGCACCGTTTTATTTTAAGCCGATGCTAGAGCTGCTAGAGAGCTATCTTGGCACGTGAATCACCCCAGGACTTCGAGCAAAAGTGGATCCCAGCCACCATCTTCAGCAGCATCATGATCTCTACTGCCTGTGTCGCAGCTCTGCAGCGCTGGGAAAGCTTGACTGTGTCGTCCGATGTTCTAATTGAGCAGCGCGTTCCGATTATTTTGTTTGTTTTTGCGCTTGCCGTGGTGTTTGTGTGCGTCTTTGAGTTTGTGTACTTTGTTGTGTTGTGTTGTGTTGGCTTGTGTGTTGGTACGTTGCGTGGTTTGCATTGTGGTGTGTGTGTGTGTGGATCTTGCGTCTTGTGTTGTGGTGCTGTGCCGGGTTGGGTTGTATTATGTTGTTACGCGGGTGTGTTGTGTTTGATTGTCGTGTTGTTTTGTGTTGTGTTGCGCAGTGCGGTGCTGTGTTGTGGTGTGTGCGTTTGGGTTTTGGTGTGTGGGTGTGTTGGCCGTGTTGTTTTTGTTTGCTTGTGCGTGGTGTTTATGTATTTTTTGTGCTTGGTTTTTGTGTTTCTTTGGTTGCGCTGGGCCGGCTAGTCTCACGTGTTGTTCTTTGAAATTGACCTTTGGAGCAAATTAAATTGCATGTTCCAAATTTCACGGTCTGCGGCGTAATGTTGACCCATAGGGGGGGGGGGTGTCCCTGGGTTCAGTGGGGAATCACTTTTGGAGGGGAACACCCCCATATGAATCAACTGGGGTTGATGATTATGGGGTCAACATGGCATTGGTTGCGATGGGTGCGTGAGAGAAAGTGCCTGTCAAGTGTGGAGCATGCGCGCGAGCCATTCGTGTGTTTGTGGTCTTGATTGTGTTGGTTTGGTGTGCTACGGCCTGTGTTTTTCCTGTGCGTGTGCAATGCGTTGTGTGCGATATGTTTATGCTTGTGTTGTGTTTGTTTGCGTTGCGTTCCATGTCGCGCGCGCGTGTGTGTGTGTGTGTGTTGCAATGTTCTTTGTTCGACTAAGTCAAATCAAGCTGAAGCTCATGATTTGGATGCTGGAAGGGTATTCAAAGAAGGCGCCCACGCATGCTCTCGCCCAATTCCCAAGCGTGCGGTGATTTTGCTGCTGGTACATGGGCTTCAAGTTGGTGCGGCGTGATATTTTGTGCCCACGGGTGCTTAGAACCACTCACGCTGGTTTTGGCGGGTCAGGAGCGGGGGGCAAAGTTTCGCTTGACCCCAAACCTGGCTGAGGGGGGAACCAGAAGGAGGCTGTTAGACCAGAACCTATTTAAGCAGTGGTGAACATGGTTGAGCACAATCAAGGGGGTTACACAATGGGGTGGCCCGACTCGATTTTGGTTGGCCTGGTTTGATTGTGAAGGGTTGGGCGGCACTGGCAGGGAGCAAGAGCTGTCCGTGCCGCAGCGCTATGGAGTGCTAAGAGGAGGTTAGCCCAAGCCCGGAAAAGCGCACAGATGGGTGTTGGTGTTTTCCTTGTTTTTCCAGGGCACCCTGTTGTTAAAGTTAAAGCGACACCAAAAGAAGAGCCGCAGCACGTTTGTCCAGCTTTCCCCACGTGTTTTGTCCCATGTCCAAAATCCAAAAAGAAATGGATCAGGCACCACTTTGAAATTTGGTGGTTTGCATTGGTGCTTTGGATTTGGATTCGACCCCCCTGATTCTTCTGGGTATATAAATGAGAGACACCAAGACACAACCACCAAGCCACGTATTCGGCTCCACCAAAGAAATGGGGGAAGCTGCATGGATGGCTTGGGGTTGGCTGCTGCATGGCTTGGGGCTGGCTGAGGTTTGGAACTTGCCCTGGTGCTGGTCTTCGGCCTGGCCTTTTAGTTACGCGCAGCTCACGGAGCCCTCTCTGTGAGAGACTCCATGCGGCGCGCGAGAAAAGTGGCGCGCGCTATAAGCCGTTTAAGCGTACTCGCAAGCTCCAAGCTGACTCGGGGAAGCGCCGGGTTTTTCCCGCGTCCAGTGGTTTGCCTTTGAAGTGCGCCTTTTTTCCGGAAGTGAACGTTGGCAACCAAGAGGTGCGAGCTTGGTCGCACGTTCAACTCGGGGTTTAGAGGCCACGAGGGTCAGGTTCGGAGCGAGTTCAGCTTCAATCTCGCGAAAGAGTCGAGACTCTGTGTGGCGACGTTAGAACTATAGATAGCGCGACTGATTCTCCTGATCAAGTTCTTTTGCGTGGCAGTTTCCGCGGAAGGCAACCAGAGAAAGTGAGCCGCCGGAGGCGGTACTGAATGTCTATCCTCATCACAGCGCTACCAACACATCAACTTCGTTATCGAGAAACGACAAGAGAGAAAGAGAGGAGAGAGGGCCCCAGTCAACATACCAGAAGCTATCGCTAGATTCCGGAGGCTTTCTGAGGCAGCCTTCAGACACAAATCCCACGCAGCCTGTACAGCATCTTCGTCTCGTGCCGCTTTTTGACGTCTTCGTCACGGCGTTTAAGTTGTTTACTGACGTCGCAACTGAAGGCTTGAAGGCAAGTAATCAGCACGCTGTGCTCGCAGGGCCTAGGCAGCTTGGGCAAGGGAGAAATTGATTTCCCACGGTGTGGCTGGGCCAAGCGAGAAATTGCAGCTCCCACGGCTGGTGATTTGATTGGTGTCACGCGAGAACGGTCGCAAGATATCCAATGCTTGTGGAAAGATTTGAGCCTTGATGTGAAATAGTTCAGATGTATATTCACGTTTGATGCGCACCGGAGGAAGACACCTGAATATTAGGCTGGCAGGCATGAATTCCGGCAAACGGATTGGATGTGCTTTCTGTGGCTGCTAAGCACAGCATTGCGAGTGCTGAGCAAATCCGGTCTGAGAGGAGCCGGAAATTGAATTGGCCCAGCGGGGCCAAAAGAAAGGGTTGGGAGCGTGGGCTTGAAAAACAAATGACCAGGAATGGAACCATGGAAGGTCATCCTTGGAGCAGAAAGAGTGGGGAGATTCAAATGCCTCTATAACACGGGGGAACAAACAACCCCAAGTGTATTTGTTCCTTCTTTTTTGTTTCTTTTTTCGGAAACATGCACTGCTCCAACCCCGACATTCCCAAGACCCTTCAAAGCCAAGCCCCCATATTTGTTTTACCGGTTTCTCTTTTAAGACTCGTTTAGTACCTCACTTCCTGAGTTCATGAACTTTAAACTTTTTGGGAAGACCATTTTCGTGGGGCATATAAAGTTTGAACTTTTTTTGGGCCATCCACTCAGCCAGCGAGGTACTCTATTGCTATTCAGGGCTAGATCCACAAAAACCCGCATCCAAACCGCTTAGATGAATAGTGAGCCTGCCGTCTCAATGTTCCTCGCGTGCGATTCAATCCTTGGCGCGCGAGCGAGGAAAAACATGCGCTGCGAAAAGCGGACTCCCAACCAGGCGACTTATCAGATTGGTGGCTCCCAGCCATCCGGTTCCTTGGCTTTTTTAGCTTTGTAGCTTTTTAGCATTTTAGCTTTTTAGCTTTTTAGCTTTTTAGTGGTGAGTGGGGGTGTCCATTTAACCCAGTAATGAAAGGTTAAACGTTTAGCGGGGGATCTGAGCACAGCCCAGATTTGGGATACGAATTTGTCACCCTGTGGCGATAAGTTTTCCAATGTGGGAAACATCATACTTTTTGTGTTTTTCCCCACGCTCCTCCCATGTAAAGGACCTTTTGACTGCCTTTTGACGAACCCCCAAATGCCTTTTGGAGAAACAAATGACACTGGTAGAGGACTTGAAGCAAGATGAAACCATTGCCATCCATGTTGAAACAAGGGACGCACACTTCCTTCAAGCGATGCCTCCGTTGCTACAACCGGTGTAGCATGACTCCTGGCGCCTTTTGTTCAACCGGTGAAAGCACGGATCTCCAGCGTCTACTTATGCATGCTTGTGCACAAGCCTACATAGATACACACATGGTCATGGCCGGGGGCCCTAAATGGAGTATTGATCCCCATTTGCTTGAAGTCATTGGACTTTTGAATGTGGTGGAGCCAATGGAGATAGAACGACATACCGTTGGGTGCTTCATTCTGAGGATGTGTTCCTTTCAAATGGCCCAAGCCGATGATTCACGGAAGGACCAAGCTTTGGGACTCATGTGATGCATCAAGCCTTTCAAACACCAAAAGAAACTGCAACATGGACAGAAAAAGGTGAGCTGGAGTCGCTGTACACCCTCGGTTTGGGGGCACTCACCAAGGCCATTGGTGGTGGCGCTTCTCTGGCGCGCACTCGCGTGGGCACCCCGCAGTACTGGGCGCCGGAGGTCAGGTTGGGGGGAGCCGCAGGTCCTCAAAAGAACTTGCGACAGGGGAATGACCTTCGCGGAAACCGGGTTGGGAATGAGCCGGGTATGGATTCCCTGAAGGAAACCATGGATTGTTCATAGGGGTCATGCCATTTCTCTGCTGAGAACCAGCAAGAACACCCATATGGGGAACCCCGGAATATGAGGGGGTGCCTTTTTTTGAGTTGCCACCACCAACTTGGGGTCCCCTAACACAAGACGTTGTCATTTGGGGGGTGCCTTTTTTTGGAGGGAAATGGGTACCCGAATGGTGGTACCCAACAAGCGATGAATCCCCCCCTATGTATCAACCCGGGGTTTTCATTGCCACCTTGTTTGGTGGTTGTATCGGGACATCAAAAGGACTACCATCATTTTGGGAGTGGTGACCCTTTCGTAAGTTTCCTCCTGCAATAGGTTTCCCCTGTCCCCTGTAGGTTCCCTGTAGCGGCTTTTGACATTTGATGTCGTTCTTTGAGCTGACCCCTTTTGTGGTGCAAAGGGAACAATAGCAGATAGGTTTGTGTGTTACCCCTCTAGGTTGTGGCGGCTTTTGAGATAGGTTTTTTGGACATGTTTGTTTTTTTCCGGTGGCTTCGAGCCCCGTTTTGGGGATTCATTTTGTTTAAGCCACAGCCACAGCTATTTGGATGATCCATGGTGACATTCCAAGCTCTAACCTGACCAGCATCTCTCGTCTTTCTGGCCATGCATAAAGCAGCCTCCCGGCCATTTCGATTTGTTTGAACCAGGGATGTCCAGTAGAGTAGCCCCAGAGGGTTTTCTTTTTTTCCTCGAACCGCCTGCGCGGATTCATTGATCCGGAAGAAGAGGTCAGATCTCACGTCAGGTGTTGGATGTGCAGAAAAGGGGCGGCTCCTATGATCAAGCCGCCGACTTCTGGGGCCTCGGCGCCGTGCTTTTCGCGGCTCGGCTTCGAGGTCCTGGGGCTTCGAGCTCGCTTTGCGAATGCAGCCCTCACACCATGGAGGGTTCAGAGAGGGCCCCTTTAAAAGGAAAACGGTCAAAGGGCTTCCCCGAAGGTCCCATCTTCATGGGAGGGGTAGGTCGTTGAAAAAAGTGGCCGCAGGCGTCTACGACCCGCCTACAGAGCAACATGTCGCCTTGGATCTTTCGTTACTCAAGGCCGCTTTTCTCAGGTTCCCCCTAATTGGTGGTTTGGATTGGTGGCTTGGGGAGTTGAACCCCTGTACATCCTGTACCTTTTGAACCCAGATGGGAAAGGTACCTTTTAACATCCAAACCGCCAAACCAGACCACCAACTAGGGGAAAGTGATTTCCGATGGAAGTCTTTGTGCACCGGTTTGTTGTCCTTCTTTGGCTTCTTGCGACCCGTCATTGCTGAGGTCATGCTTTGTGGGCGCTATCCGTTTGACGGGCAAAAGCAAGCGCTGGATGACCAAATCCGCACAGCCTCGTACAGCATGTCAGGCGAGGTAGAGAAAACCTTTCGGTTGAGGGGGGATCATTTACCTAAGCCTCAAGAGCCTTGCTCCTGTTGCTGAGCTACCTGCCAGATATCAGTCTAGGTCCCCCAGTAGTGCCCTTTTGCCGTTTTTTTTTTGGGGGAGGGTTCCAAAATAGACTACAGAAAAAAGGGTTCCCTTATTCTTCTGCTTTGTCATGTCCATGGTTTCCTGCATGGCTGCCGTGAGACTCGCAGGCTCGCGGTGGCGAGGCATCTCCGAAGCTGCGAAGAGCTTGGTGCGGGGCCTGTTGCGCGTGAACCCCGTGGACAGGCCAGCCGGGAGTGGGGCTCATGCGTTTTATGCAATGTTTGGCCCTCACAAACCTGGGGTTTTGGATCTAATGTTAACCCCGGAATAAGCAGAAATCCTGGTCGATGGATAGGGGGGTGTCTCCTTTTAGTGGTTGGATTCAAATCACTTTTGGAGGGAACACCCCCCCCTACTAATGGGAGGGCTTATTAATCCTGGGTCAAGATTATGGCTCAGCAGCTAAGCAGTGGCTCCAGTTTCGGCCTCGGCTGCAAATGTTGGGTCGCCATATGACCCTGAGTTTCTAGACTGGACACGTTTGGTCTTGGGACCATTTTAGTTTAGGCAAACAGCTTGGGCTTGTTGCGTATGTCCACTCGGAAGTGGGCTTGAATTGGGAGTGAACACAGAACTTTGGAGCAACAGCTCCCAGCCAGGCTCTCCCTGGACGACTGCTTGAGTCACCCCTGGGTCACTGGTCAGCCGATGCCATTGCCAAAGCAGCAACGCCTGGCTCCAGCTGTGCCAGTGATCGGCATGAGAAGCCTAGCAACTTGGCGTGGAAGATTCCGGCCGTGGCTTCAACCTCCCTGCCCTAAAAAAACAAACTTGGGGTGGGGGGGGGTAATTTTTGCAATATAATTTATGATAACATCGGAAGCCTAGAGGAATGAAATTGGCTGCAACGCGTTGGGTCCACGGGAGGGGTTAGCCGAGAATTTGACAGGTCTACATCTTCTGCTTGCTCGCATCTTTCTTCACAGCTTCAGCCCTTTCCAAGTTCGTGTACATGTTCGCTTGAGCGTCTGTTTGCTTCCAGTAAGAAAACCAAGTCGCGTGAAGAAGATTGTGCTCGGTGTTCAACAAATCAAAATTCAATGGCCAACGGGGTTGCCCAGGTACGGGTCGGCATGAGCTCGGCGGACTGTGTGAGAACTCTACAATACGAGAGCAGTTCATAACTCACGGAAACATTCCCCACCCCCCCCCCCTCCCACCCCCCCCACGCCAACGAGAAGGGAAAGCCGGAAAAGGCAACAGTGGCGCATAATCAAGATGTTGATCACTGTGATTTTCCCAGCTACCCCCCCCCCCCCCGTTGACGCAACGCGTTGTTTGAGGCCTTTCTCCATCTCTGCACCATAGGCTTTTGCGCCTTTTTCGCCCGTTTCAGTTGCCTGAAACGATACCCGCGGAGTGCGAGGGAGGCTTCGTGGCTCGAGCGAATTCCGTTCCGCAAGGACTTGGCTCAGCAAGCAGATCGGGCGCAGATGGCCGTCATCAACGAGGGTGAAGCTGTCGCTAGGGAGGACGTGGAGGGTCAAGCCGGCTCGAGCGAGTTTTCGTAGACACCGGTGTAGCTGCAAGAGTGCATGTGTTTTCTTGTGCTTTTTCTGTGGGTCTCTTGGTCAGAGTAAGACCCCGGTATCCTTTGAAGCGCGCAGACTGACTGCCCAAACAACCACTAAAACAAATGGGGTCAACAGAACCACCAGGCTGAGTCAAGACTTGCTGGACACAACGGCAGAGAGCGAGAGATTGCGAGAAATAGAACCACCATTGTTGACCTATAAGGAGTAACTCATCCTCCAACTTGGGTCCCAAGGCCATTCTTTTCATTGGGCAAGGAGCCCCAAAAAACCGGGTGTTGAGCTGTCGCCGACCTGAACCGTCAGGAGGGCTTCACTCCAAAAGAGGCAGAAGACCGAGCCGAGCACCGGAGACGCAAGAAGCGCATCCTCCCCCCAGATCCGAAACATCCCAAAAAGACTCGGCTGGGCGGCAAGGGCCACAAACTGCAATTGAAGTAAGGGGGCCTTTCCATCTCTGGCGCGCTGGCTGCTGCTTTCAGCACACTACCAATGCTAAACCTAATATCTCAACCAACCCCAAAACCGGAAAATCAGACATGCTTTGGTTCGAGCGCCGATAGAAAACAGGCGTTTACTCAGCTGCATTCATGGACTTGAAACTGCTTCAGAAGACCCCTGTTAGTGGCAAACAAGAGGTTTACTCCTTTTTTTGTAGGGGTAACTTCCCCATTCCAGGGATCCTTCTTTCTAGAAAACCACCAAAAACCCTGGGGAAATGGATCTGGTTTTTGATAAAAGAACGATGGCTGAAAAGAATGGAAAAGGAATCAAGCTCTAGATGTTTTTCGGCTAGTCCACTCAGGAAGTTGCTCATTGGCCCTTTGGAGACTCGAGGGATCGGAGCTTCGCTCAGAGCGCGGAGCGCTTGAGGCGCGCTGCATCCACCAGCTGCTGCAGCGTTGACTCAGACGGCAAGTGCAGCCGAGCAGCGGCTTGTTGCCGGACGTGTTGACTGGAGATCTCCCCCAGCTAGGTGTGCCCTTTGTTTTTGTTTTTTTTTGGTGGTGGTTTGGTGAAGGAAAAGTTCCCCATTTGCCCTTCACATCAAAATTATCCCCAAATCCAAACCACCGACTGAGGTTTACTAGGTCCCCCAGGGTCAAAGTTACCGGTTGGGAGGGGTCCAACCTACTAAAATGGACTGAAGAAAAAGTTGGTACTTATTCTAACCTCTCTACTGGAGGACCTAGTGGTGCAGGTGAGGCACAACCAAAACTCAGGTAGAGGAAGGTTAGTAAATCATAATCCCCCTGCCATAAATGGGTGCAGCCGCCTTTTTAATTTGAAGTTCTCTGCATGATTCTGGGTAGGCGGGTTTAACTCCAGGCTTTGGTTATGACTCTGAAGCCAGTGGAAAAGTTGGGCACAAGCCTACTGTGTATCTTCGGAATTCGGAGGGCCGCACTAACGACTGATCTACATTAGTGACAAGTAGAGCCGGATGAATCCGATGTCATCTTTTTCCAATAACCCCAAGCCACCCCGAGAGGGTTAATGGGATATACAACAACTATATAGCCAATGTATAAGTGGTGTATGCACCGTTTTCCCCTGCAAATAGGGGCGTGGGTCGCATGGCACTTCGCCAACGAGGCCATTTGCCAGGTAGAAAACCTGTTCTCAAATCCCAGTTGCAAGGTTTGACAACTGCATCCAATGAAGCCGCTCTTGAGTTTGTTTGCCATGTTCTTACACTTGGGCCAAACACTTGAAGGGAAAAGTTGGGGAATGCCCAAATGAGACAGGCATTGGTGTGGTACGGTATTGCCTGGGCAAGCCAGGAGCTGATTATTTTGTTTGCATTCGCCAGTGGATGCCAGTGGTCTCATTGCAGTTCAGCATTGACACGTTCATTGTAGATCCGTCTGGTTGATTTGGGATCCAATGTTTGGATTCTGGCTGTTTTTGTTGATAGTCTCCGAGAAATATGCACTTCCTGAGTTCATGGCCTTTACACTTGGGAGTTCGGAATACCATTTTAGTGGCACACAAGACGTCCGGGTACTTGTTTTGGCCACCTCGATGGGAGGTGAGAAAGAAGCAGCGAGCTGAGGTGAGCGAGCTGAGGGAGAGCCAATCGCAGGCCGGGTTCGATTGGCGGTCTTGGGCTGATGGTTGGGTACGGTCTGGTGGAGCTTGGCTGGCGTTTGTTGAGATGTATTCGTTCTGGATGGGTGGTTGGCGTTCTACAAAGGCCAGGAAGGCGATAGTTCTTCCTGCACATCATCTCGAGAAACCCTTCTTCCAACCCCCTTGCTCTGGTTTACCTACAATGTATAAACCCTAAAATGACCTCCTTGATTGCTTCCCTGATTTTGCGGTTGATGCGGGGCCGGAGGCTTCCATCGTTGCCATAGACGCCTTTGGTGCCCCAATTGCACCAGCTGTATCGCCAGGGCATGCGGCTAACCCTCCCTTTGCACGTCACTTTTCATTTCTGGGTATGTTTTTCAGGGTTAGTACCGGTGTTACGGCTGCTTTCAAGGAAAACCAAAGGGGAAAACCACCATTTTTGGGGGTCCCCGGGCTTCAGACTCCCCGGAAAGGGCGCCTTGCGCACTGCGGCACCTCTCTTGGCTGCTGCCATTTCTCTGCGCATCGCGGGCAGCTTGTCAGCTTGGGGGGGGGGGGTGCACGTTGGGAGGTCACACAATGCATTTGTAAGCCCTGCTCAGCAGTGGCACATGCATCGTTCTTTTGCGCAGTGAATTCCCTAAGAATGAATGATATTCACACCACAGCATTGCCCTTCGGACATTGCTCTGGCCAACGCTGGCAGTGGATCCACCGATTCGGCATCAACTAGGGGGAGCGCGTGACAGGGCAGGAGAAGTGATGCTACCGGTTGCCAAGACTTAGGTTTCAGACTCAAGGCTTGGACAGAGGAGGCGTACCCCCTTTCAGGATGGAAGTCGTGAGAGCGCCAATCTGATATTCGGCATATGGCCGGATGTGCTACCTAGTTGTGTTGACTGCTCACCCCTGCGACGTAAGAAGGCTAGTCACGGATAGTGGCGCAAGAGGCGTGCCGTCTTATTTTAATTGCTGCCAGAGTCTTTGCAAGAGCCTTGGCCAGCACCTGGCCAGAGTCAGCCACGCGAATTGGTACGTGGCGTCATTCTTGACCCGCTTAAAAGGCTCGGCTTGAGTCAATGCCTTTACATCTAGGTAACATTCCCAAGATAAATGTTGAAGATGGCTGGAAGACCATGTCTCTGTTGAAGAACTGTTGGCCAGCTTCCATCTTGGTAGTGGCAAAGTCGGGCAAAGTGGAATTGTTTCAGAGGTGTTGACGACCCTAAATGGTGACATGCAGTGTTCATGACCATGGCTCACTTGACTGATTTGGCCCCACCGTTGCAAGGCATGTGCATTGTGAATCATTCGACGCGGTTCTTCCTTCTTCAGATTCAAGACACACACAGACCAGACACCCACATAGACCCTTTGTGAATCATTCGACACCCCCCACCCCACCCCCCACCCACACACCACCCCACCACCCCACCACCCCACCACCCCACCACCCCACCACCCCACCCCACACCCCACACCCCACACCCCACACCCCACACCCCACACCCCACACCCCACACCCCAGCCCACCCCACACCCCCTCTTGTCCCTGCTTTTTTTCCTCCGAGGCAAAGAAATCCGCTTCGGCCGTTGGAGATGGGTTTTGCTGATGATCCTCGCTGTCGCGCTTTATTGGCGGCCGCCTTTGAGGGGCAAGCTGGTTCTGGAAGTGCCACCGCCACCATTGGGACCGTGCTGCTGTGCTCTAGGAAGCGTGGCAAAATCCCAAGGAGGGGGAATCTCCTTCCCCAGACTTCGCTCCCCTTTTATTTTTGTTTGCTTTTCTGGGGTGTTCTTTGTTCTTGAACAAGGCAGCACATGTCAATTGCCAGGGACTCTAGGGGTTGATTCCTTTTCCATTCTTTGCAACCATCGTTCTTTTCAAAAACCGGCTGTCCCTTTGGTTTTTGATGGTTTCCTGAAAAGAAGGATCCATGGAAAGAATGGGGAAGGTATTTGTAGGGGGATGCAATTTTCAGTACAGGTGGGATGATTCTTTTGGCCAGGGAATGCCTGGCTTGCAGAGACCTGAGCACTTCTCCAGCAACCTCAGCGTTGAAGGCCGGCATCCATGCGGGGCTTCAGGGCAACTTACGGGCTTTGGGTGCATGATCAAAGCGCTGATGCCTTTGGTTGCTCCAAGCTGCAAATCTTGAAGGGAAGTGTCCCAGAATATCTTACAACTTATGATGCAGCAGGTGCATGGCTCTAGCGTCCAGTGGTTGCAAGTGTGGCCTTCGAGCATGGGATATATTTTTTGGGCGACGTGGGTGAATGCGCTTGCGACTGCGAAAGGTGAGGATCCGCACTTCCTGGCGCCTCTGGATGTGCAGACGCCCTTTTTCTACCTTGCCGGTGTTGACCGGGCACCCGCGCCACGGCACCAAAAAGGGTTGCATTCGTCGGGCGTGAGCGCCGATGGGCGAAGGGGCGTGGACCTGTTTGACCGAAGCTTCGAGGGTTGAGACAGATTTTGAGAGGCGTCATAGGCGTCGGCGACCCTGTTTCATGGCTCCCCAGCCGTGGTCATGGCGCGAGGTGCAGGACTGAAGAGATGTTCTTGGGGAGGCTACTAGGTATGCACACTCCTTGGATGATTCCTTCCAACGATCCAAGTCGAGAAGTCCCCCAAGAGGAAAGTAATCCCAAAGCCTTCTGTTAGCTTCCAAGCTTCTTGGAGAAAGGGTCACCCTGACTCTTGTCAGCGACTTCCGAACCGATGTGACGCATCTCAGCAATGAAGTGGCGTCCAGTTCCGTTGTCAATAGTGGCCATGTGTGTGGATGTGTGCAAGTGCACATGTGTGCCGACAGCACTTGAGAACTCTGAAATGTACTGAGTTGAGTACTGCTTGCTCTGCCAAACCGTGTTGTGGAAGGGTGCGCGTGTGCGTGTTGGACTTTGAGGCAGCAGTCAGGGGTTTTTGATTGACGATGCAGGAAGATAAACATGTGAGAAAGCGCATGATGGAACTAGACCCTAGCAATCATGTCTCGTTGTTTGAGCTCACCATGTGCAGAGATGAGTGGTGAGCACCCGTTCAGGAACATAACACCCCCCCATCCCCCCTTTGACCACACTCTTGCCGAGTTTTGCTGAGGAAAAGCTGCTTTTGGAGGCCTCGGAGGATGCCTACCAGAAGCAAAAAAGCCTTTTTAGGCTGTCTGAATTGCTGAAGCTGCAGATCTCCATTGCAGGCTGGGACCTGGTGGAACTGCGGGTGCCCCCCTATCCTTTGAAAAAAATAATCTAAACGCTGGCCTTTGCGAGGCTGCGGATCATGTAAATATGTTTTTATGGCACTGGCATGAGCTCCACGGATGAAATGCCGGGAAAGATCGCCATGGGCCCATGAAGCAACATTGCATTGACGTTGGGGCGCACCACGTCGTTTGACGTGACAATGTGTTTGCGTGTTCCATACAGCAAAAAGGGACATGGGTATGTAGGGATACATCAGGCGCGAGATTGAGAAGGAAACCAATCCATTGCCAATCTACTACGAACACAGTGAAGCATACCTCTGATCAAGCATACCATTGCCTATGGAGAAAAAGCATTCAAGGGACGGCAAAGGGGCAAAGGAAATCAAAGTCAAAGCAAAACAGGGGTAAACTAAGGCGTGTGGGGTCCTTGGAGTTTGCCACGAGAGCGTCGCCAGGATGGGTAGATGGTTCGTTTGTGGGAAAATGGCAAATCACGTACGGCCTGGGTTTTCCAAATCGGGAGCACCTCAATAGAGGTGCAGTTCCCCACAATTGTTGGGACGCCTGGTTCCTTGTGATTTTTGTTTTTAAATCCCACTAAAAGGGGGCCCGTCCCCGGCATTTTGAGCAGCTCCCACCTGACGTTCTCTCCCAAGTTTCTCCCAACTCTTCAGAATCAGTGCCAAAAATACGGTTGGTTTGAAACCTCTCGGTTTCCCAAACGAACCCCAAAACGGCACCCTCAAGAGCACACACACACACACACAGATGTGCCATGGTCATTTGCGCCTTTCGGGGGGGGGGGGAACAGATGGTCATCCACCTGGCATCAAGGATCCATAGGAACAATTATAATGATTCCAATCAAGCTGACTGCCTGAGTTCCTGGACCTTCTCCTTTTTGGAAAGACCATTCCAGTGGTAGCAAAAACTGTTTGGGAGCTTGTTCACACCAATCCACTCGATCGGAAGTGAGGGAACCATGGCCTCGGGGGCTGGGGGGGAGGGAGGGGAGGGGGGGGGGGCCCAAATATATCCTAAATAATGCCTAATTGCGGGCTTAAGGGCTTATTTGGGCTCCCTCCCCCTCCCCTCCCTCCCTCTCAGGCGTCATGATGGCCCAATTCTAGGGGTAACTTCCCCATTCGTTCCAGGGATCCGGATCTTTCTAGAAGACCACCAAAAGCCCTGCAAAAATGGATCCGGGTTTTGAAAGAACGATGACTGAACGGAATGGAAAAGGACTCCACCAGCCGCCCCTCCCCTCCGCCGTCAGCCCAAGTCCGAGCCTGGCGCCGGAAGGCTCCCTGGAGATGGCCAACCTGGCGGTGAGGCACGTGGATTCCGAGCTCGCGGAGTCCACGCGCAGCGCCTACCAGCAGGAACGGAAGAGAAAAACGCGCGCTTGCTTGCGCGGGCGCTTGATAGAGGGGTCGGCGCTTGTTTCCTTCGTCTGGTGTTTGCTTGTTTTTCGGGAGGGGGCGGTGGGGTTTCCTTTCCTTCGGGATGATTTTGTGAAGTTTTGTTTCTGGGGATGGTCAAAGTCAGAACATGGAATTGGTTGTGCTTGTTTTTTCCTACTGAACAGGGGCAACTTTGATCGTGGTTTATTTTCATGGGGGGGCCAGTTCCTGTTTGCCGCGTTTGCCTTTAAGGTCCTCGTTTTGCCGGAGCGTGGAAATCTTGGGGGGTTTAAAGGGAAGCCAAATGGAAAGCAACCCATGGGGGCCTAGGGGCACCTGTTTGGGATTTGGTTGGAGCCAAGATGAAACTACACGTTTTTATTGGGCATTGAGCCGAAATGTGGTGAAGCAACGCAAAGCAAAGTTGGCCCCCACTGGAAGCCAAGAATCTGTCGTTGAGAAATGATCCCAGCGGCTTTCCCACCGGGCTGGTTTGTTTGCTTGCCTTGTTTCTTAGCCTTGCCTGATCTCATTTATGTTTCAAAAAAGGGGGGGAAAACTTCATGCGGCATGTTCCTTTTTTCCCTTCAAACCCAGCAAAAACAAAGGAGAACCTGGCACCCTCCAAACGAAAAACATATGGCACCCTCCAAACCAAAACCCCACCCCTTCGGTGTTTGCCACCCCACCCCCCTTCCGCCGATCCCCGGACCCCTCCGCCGTCCCTTCGAGCTCTCCGCATCGAAGCGTCGCTCCGATCGATAGGCACGGGAGCTCTTCAAGCGCGCGGCGGAGGTGGTGTCGCGCTACGCGGAGGTGGCGGGCCAGGTGAGCCACTCGGTGCTGCCGGATCTGCGCCTGGCAGTCGACGAGCAGGCGGCAGATCCGGTCGGAGCGTCCACCGCTTGGAGAAAAGGTCCCCCCAGCTAGGTGCCCTTTTTTACCGTTTCTTTTTCGGGTTTCAACCTACTAAAATGGACTGCAGAACAAAAGTTGGTACCCTTAATCGAACCTCTCTGCTGGAAGACCTCGGTGCGAGAGGTGGCATGGGTGGAATGACCCTGAAATCACAGGTTTTGTGCCACCGCCTGGAACGTGCTCCTTCTGGATGAGCCAACTAGGGGCAAATTGGGGGGTAAATCATATTTATTGGTTTGATCTGGGGGTCTGTGGCGGAGGTCTTCGGAAAAGCCATCAACTTGTGTGTTTTTGTTCTTTGGGGGTTTAAGGAAATTCCCGGAAGCCGTGATTCCCCGAAAACTTGCAGGAGGCGGCAAGAAGCTGGCGAGTACGTCACACGAAGTTCTACATTTGTCCCTGGAACGCCCTCTTCGAAGAAGAGTCCAGACCCACTTGCAAAGCTCTCGAGCACAGAGAGAGCCATTTCACAAAAGGCAAAGCTTCTCCAAGACAAATGTCTGAATCACCGGATTCTGAGTGCCCTTCTCAGCCCAGGTTGGCAATTTGGATTCAACCCGCTCTGGAAGCATTCAAGTGAAAGGCAATTGATTGTTGGGCGGTTTTGTCGGTGGTTTGAGGTCTCTGTTGGCCCGCCATGCTTGTCCGCAGGAGCCGGCCTTTGCAGAGAGCCTGCTGGAGATGGTGAGGAAATGGGTGACGGACGCTTGGCTTCATGTTGGGGATGAGTTGAAACTTCGGACTATCTAAGTGCAATGGATGAAGCTCTGACAAAAAAGCAGACCCATCAAGTGCCCATATCACAACAATGCAGATGCAACGCTTTAACGCGCAGCCCAGTGCGCTGGCTCACTTGCCATGCTGCTATTGCATTTTGGCAAGACTTAAGGACAGGCGGATTTAAGCGAGATGTGGCCAGACACGCCGATCAGGTCTTGTGCAAAAAGGGCACAAGCTCAGTTGGGGCCAAGCTGCCAAGTGCGCCGCAATCCCAATACATATCCAACTGCAGAGGCTGGGCCTGGCCGGATTTGGCCGTGGGTTAAAGCCAATGGGATCCCATTTTGGTTGGTAGGTGTATTCACCACCCATTCTGGGCTTTATTTTAGTGGTTGGATTGGGATGTTTGGGGGTACGGGACTTTGGCCCATGGCCACATGGCTAGTATTTATGAGCCTTATCAAGCGGGCAACCCCTTTCGCGGCAACGAAGCCTCAGCCGAGCCGAGTTCAGCTGGCCTCAGGACATGAAGAAAGACAGCGACGTCATCCGTGCCAACTACGGGGTGCGGGGAACGTGGGCATTTTAGGTCCGTTCGGGTCTATGGCATGCGTAGGGTTTGTTTTGTTGACTACGTGTTTCTTTTCATGTGCGCCCTTGGTGTGTTTGTTGCGTTTGTCAGCCGCAACTTACAGTTTCAGTAAAGACCTTGGAAGCTAACTTGTAGCATGCATCAAGGCCCTTAACGTGGCGGCACAAGAGAAATGACCTCAAAGTTCCCATGTCGGACTTGTTTAAAGTTCCGTTTGGTTTGCTCTTGAAATTAGCCTGAAATTAACTCGAAAAGCGCAGCACACATTGAAATCAGGGGACTCGTTGTTGGATGTGTCACAAAACTTGTTGTAGAGGGGACTCAGGGCATTTGAAGGGAGCCATCTCGAATTTGTTGCTTTTAGAGTACCCTTTGTGGGGTTGGTTCAAAAGCCAAACCAAAGGGACACCAACAACTTTTTGTGCCGCCCCCATTTGTTGTTTATCTTTTTTCAGGGTACCCCTTTATTGGTGGTGTTTTGGGTTTTCAAGCGAGACCAAGAGTTTAAAAGGAAAGCCACCAATTTGGGACCCGGTCCGATTCCTAAAAAACGGAACATCGCAGCAATTTTGAGAGGGACAGGGTTTGCTCCATTTCCCTTTTTGGGTTACCTCTAAAAGTGGCGATCGTTCCAATGGAAACCGCCAAGAAATTGATCAACTTTTGATTCGGGTATATCCGATGGAGCTTTTTGGGTCACCTCCCAAAGTTGTCTTGTCAATGGATACCAACAAATTGATCAACCTTTTGATTCGGAGAAATATGGGCATCCGGTGACTCTGGTCTTCCCGGCAATTAGCTCCCCTTTGGGATTCTTTGCCTGTTTGGGGTCTCTCTGTTTTTTTGGTCCGCGAACCAGGCAAAAAATATATTTGTTTTTTGCTGGGGTCCTAAATGTCCAGCTCCAAGTTGTGAGGAGCTCCAGAGCACCATCGTCTCCCTGGCGGACCGGGCGCTGCGCAGCAAGCAAGAGGCGGATGTGAAGCTGGCACAGGCCGTGGCCACCGCTGCACGGGAGGCGACGGGTGCGGGGGATGCCCGGGGACTCCCCGCGCCTCGCCCCAGCCCAGGTGCCCTTGAACCCGTTTTTTGGGGGGAGGGTTTCCCTACGAAAATAGACTACAGAAGAAAAAAGGTGCCCTGATTCTAACCTCTCTGCTGGAGGACCTGGGCTAGTCGAATTAGGTTTAGGGGCATGGAATTGGGGGGTGACCCCCAGAGGAATTCCCTTTGGTGGTGGTTCCGTTTTCACTTTTTTGGGGAGTACTGAGATGGGGGACCCCCATCTTCTGATCTCCCTCTTAAGGTAGGGGGGGATCTTAAAAATCAAAGGATAGGGCTAGCCGTTAGGCCCGTTAGGTCCAAAGTCAGAACCTCTTGGCTGCTACTTGGATCTTTAGATTTCAACTCTTTGAGGAAATCAAGGGGTTCTCCGCGAAAGCCACAAAAAGTTTAACTTTTTGCAGAGGGGTCAACAGCGACCAAGACCTGACTTTGCAGATTCTTGGCCTCAGCCCCCCCCCCCACGCAAAAGGAGAGCAGGATAATGGAATGAATGTGCCTGCTTGCCCCGCAATGCACCTCAATGCCAACAGATGGGTACTTGATCTGCACGGCAGATCAAATCGGATCGGGGTGAGAAGCCCCAATACAGGGATATCTTTCCCATTCTTTCTAGGGATCCGGATCTTTCTGGAAAACCACCACAAATTCTGGGGAAATGGTTCTGGTTTTTCATAAAAGAACGATGGCTGAAAAGACTGGAAAAGGAATCAACCCCCAGGAAGGACCCCTTGACAGGGTTGTGTCCTTTCGGTTACCCCCCCCCCTCAAAATTATCCAAAAAGGGACCTATTTTGAGAAACACCCAACCTTCAAGGCTTCGCCAAAGCCTTGCCATGCCTCCCACGGATCAGGCAATGGTGCCAGCAGAGAAGAACTCCACGAAGACTGGCTGCACATTGGACCAGCAGCCGCAGTTCCAGGTGAGATCCGAGGGCCGAGTGCCGAGGGCAATGTGGCTGTGGTTGTCACAACCGTTTTGGGATCCCATTTTGGTTGGTAGGTGTATTCACCACCCATTCTGGGCTTTGTTTTAGTGGTTGGATTGGGATGTTCACTCTTTTGTACGGGATTTTGACCCATGGCCATGTGAGGCAACTTGTGACGTTGTGACAACTGCAGTTACAGCCATCAGCCAAGTTGTTAGATTTCCCAGAGTTTACTGACTGAATTTGAATAAGACGAAGCGAAGTGTAATCAGAAAGCCTCACCTGACGGACGTCGGGATTTTCACCTTCAGCTCTTTGGGGAAAAAAAACATGCGGTTTCCGACCAATCAACAAACGTTGTTGTCCGGTTTTGCATGGGTTGCGTGGGCAAAAGCTGCCTCACACCTTGCCTAGTCCCCCAGTAGTGCCCTTTTACCATTTTTTGGGGGAGGGTTCCCCTACTAAAATAGACAGACAGAAGAAGAAAAAATCGGGTACCCTTATTCTAACCTCTCAAATCTGGAGGACCACCTTGTTGCTGTGTCCTTGGGCTTGGCTTTGAGCCGAAAGCTTCAGGTGGCCACAAGAGATCCACCAGGCCCGGAGGTGGAGGTCATCGTGGAGGACTCTGCTGAGAGCTGGGCGAACATCGACAGCAGCGTAGCTCCAGCCGCACGAAGCCCGCCAGTGTGGAATCCCAAATAGGCGGTTGTGGTCGTGGAAGAAAGGATTGCACAAACAGGGAGCTTTGCACCAACCGCGGGGTTTAGTGATCAGGGCTTTCAGCATTTGGAGTATCAAAGGGTGTTTCTGTTGGCTTCATCCGTTCCTCCAGTAAGGTCGCCACATCGTATTGCTTTTCCACTGGGCAGAAGACGCATGCTTGGTTTTTTTGTTTTCGTGGGGACTGTGCGACGACCACCACCTCATTCTGAGGGCCCCTGTGCTGCTTCTGAATGCTATGCGTCACTTTTGCCATGGCTCCTGAAGGCTATGGACTACCGGGGGGCTGGCACAGCTGTTGTTTCAGCCTTTGGATGGGGGATTAACTAGCTGCCAGGATACTTGCCGGTGCGCTATGACCCACTTGCCGGGAGTTGGGGATGATCCCCGGCTTTGGGGGAGTTGCCCGAAAGGAAGCCACGAGGGGATGGTTTCTGGGGGTCGTTCCAAGCCTCATGTCCGAGGTGTCTCAATGGCTCCCCACCAGCTCGGGCATCGCCTCCGGCTTCAACAGCACGGACTACATGGCTCTTGCGCCTGCGGCGAATTTGGCTGTGGCTCAACAGGGTACCAAAACCTGCGGTTTGATGGAACCCTGGTAAGTGGAAACATGGGTACCAAAACCTGCGGCTTGCTCTGTTTAATTTTGAGCCACACCCAGGTTGATTCAGCCAGGTCGGGAAGTAGGAAGCAAGCTCGAAGAGATCAATCGTGTCGAATGCCAAGCAGACACAGCTGGAGGTCTGTTCAAGTTGGGTGATAATCAAGTGATAACTTTATTCACTGCAGAGGCTTTACTTTGGTGCATTTGGCCAAGGGATGTTAATTCGGACTTTAACTTTTTGATCCAACTGATGGGGTTTCCATTAAGCCACCAGAAGTTTCATTTTAGGGGAGCAGAAAGCAACGGAGCTTTTATTCAGTGCGAAAGGATTGTTGCGTGGTGTTCAACGCGCCCTCCCTGGGCCCCAGGTGCCATACCAGCCGAGCTACGATGCGAAGGATGCCAAGGCGAGGATTCTTTCGGGTAGCACACCGGAAAAGTGTTGGGGGTTCAAGCCACCATGAAGACAATGAAAGTTCATAGAACCAAAATGTTTTTTTACCTAAGGATTGAACCAGTATCCCAAGCCACCATAAGTTCATAGAACCACAATGTGTTTTACCTAAGGATTGAACGAACCAGTCTCCAAATTAGGTCCATCCCAAGGCCATTCTTTAAGTGGGGCATAAATCCTAGGGAAAGAGGATCGATCTCCTTGCGATGTCTTTTTGGTTATGGCCGCTGAGCAGCCATTTGGCGCGAAACTCATGGAGCTGCAGGAAAAAAACGAAAGCAAAGGGACATGGTGGCTTTGAATTCTGGTCGAAAATGTCGACTGCCCTTGAGCTTGCACGTGTGTCAAGCATGTCGCATGGAGTGGTATTGGCTGGTGACCCCGCAAACGGGGACCTTTAATAGAGGATGCACTCGGATATCAAGATCAGAGACTTGCTGTTGTACTCGCCAACATGTAAGACGCCAGCCGCAGGAAAGCAGTAGGAAAGCATGTGCCTTGTGTGCTCACAAGCATCTTCAAATATCTTTCACATTGGCGTGTTATTCAGGGTATAAGCTGATTGCCACATCGTTGCTTTCCCTTTTTGCTGTTTTCTTCTGCCTGGTCTCAGATGTGGAAGAAGCATGCTTTAGTTGACCGCAAGCATTTGTTTGATCCTGCTTGTGTTTCCATAGCATTCAACACATGGTGCCTTTGGTGGCTCTCCATGTTTCTTTTTTTCAGGGCGTGACAACCAAGGGAACAGAAACGCATCCACAAATCAACAGGCACTCAGATTGGTCAGTCTCAGGGCCTCCTCTCTTGGGTCTCCGGGTCCAGGCGGCGGCAGAAAGGGCCGCCAGCAGCTCCAAGCAGTTGCTGCGAGCGCTGCACGAGCTGCGGCGCGTGGACTCCATCCTCGAGGGCTGCTGCTGGGAATGCGTGGTCGGTGGGGGGGGGGGGCAGGGCATGGGGGGGCAGAGGCCTGAAGGAAGTGGCTCCCAAGCTTCGGCATTTGATTCCGCAACCAGATGGCCGTGGTTGTCAAAACCCATGGGATCCCATTTTGGGGGTTTCGGTGCACCACCCATTTTAGTCCTTAGTGGGGATTGGGATTGACCCATGGCCACATGGGATGAAAGTGACGTCCAGCCCAGGTTTTGGCATGAAACAATGAAACGAGCCGGGGAGTCGGGAGCCGGGGGGGGGGGCGTATGGCACACTCCGAGAAAGGCTGGAAGGACAGCCAGTGTTTGCCTCGAGATTCTACATTTGTGATAAAAGCTGAACCGTTTGCATCTCCGTTTGTTCCCTTCCAATGTTCTGCCTCAGGGTGGACTCCAGATTTGGTTTAGTCGCCACATCCATGAGACCACCTGTTTGACTTTGGCTCACATTAGCTATTGGCCACATATCACAAGACGATCGAGCACTGCTGGGCTCATACCAAGCTGTTCCTAACTAGGTCCCCCGGTAGTGCCCTCTTGAACCCGTTTTTTGGGAGAGGGTGCCCCTACTAAACTAGACTACAGAAAAAATCGGGTACCCCTACTCTAACCTCTCTGGAGGACCTAGATAAGGCTTCAACCTGCCAGGTAAAGCAGGGGCTAACAAAGCGGCTGAGTGGCCTGCAGAAGTCCAAGTTTGCAGTGACTCACGTACCACCGGCCGGAGTCAACCTGGGAATGGTCAAATTTAGCTCGAAAAGCGCCCTGTGCATGCCCATACAGCGACTAGGTCCCCCAGTAGTGCCCTTTCTCTCCCCTGGTTTGGTTGGGAGAGTTTCCCTACTAAAATGGACAGCAGAAAAAAATCGGGTACCCTTATTCTAACCTCTGTACTGGAGGACCTAGGTGACGGAAACTCAACAAAAGTTTCCCCCAAAAAGTGAGCTTCACATTCCCTCAGAAGTGGGACACCCCTTCTTTCCGCTGCTTCCTGGTGGTTGTGCACAGGAGGCGTGTCATTCTTGGTCAGTGCTTATCACAAACTATTGACATGTCACTCCCCTACAGGAACATGGATCCCCAAAAACTTTCCAGAGAGAGCGGCAACTCCTTTCGGGGTCCCCTTTTTGGGTTCCTTCCGGAAGTTTGTGGAGGAGTATATCGTGCATCTATGCACATCTCATGCATCGGCGGTCCCATCGTGCCCTTCCGCCGCCGAGGCTACGTCTTCTGGGCGAACATGGATGGCACAGCCGGGGTCTCGGTGCCAAAGTTCTGTGGCTCCGATCTGTGAAACAAAAACCGGGGAATATGGTTATGTGTCACAATAGGGGGCACCCTTGCAAAACAAGGGTGTTCCTTTGGATTCCTTAAAACCGTGACCTCCCCCCTCCCACAAAAAAAAAACAAGAATTAGCATACACATACACATATATATTATATATAGAGCAGTTGGCCAACTTGGCTTAGGAATGCGTGGAAGTGGTGCGCTGGACACGTCTCCTTCTGGTGATATTGGCTGCCTGTTGTTTCTGGCAGCCCAGTCAAGAAATCACAGGTCTTTCTCACTCATTGGGGCAAGCTGGGGAGGGACAGAACGGGCAGTCGCTGCAGTCGCTGCAGTCGCTGCAGTCGCTGGCTTAAACAAGTTACCTAGTTGTGGCATCCCAGCTGGCTCACGTCGTTGCGAGTTCATAGTTGTTGTTGTTTTTTGTTTTTGCGGTATGCAGGTAAGGATTCCTTGGGCCACCTGCCTGCCTCAGCACGGTACAGAAAGCGAGAGAGAGGGAGAGAGCCAACAAAAACTGGTACCTCTCCAAACTGGTAACCCCAAAAGAATGAGTACCCTCAACAAGCGACATACCCATTTACCAAAGCGTGTGTTGTTGTTTTTGTTTCAGTTGGTACCCATTTTTTGTGGGCCTTTAAAGGGAAACCGACAGAAGAACCGCAGCCCTTTTCAGGCTCCAGCCTTAAGACGAAGGATCAAGAGATGCTCACGGGATGACCGTTAGGGAGCCCAGAAACATGGCGTTCGCCACCAAATCATGGTTGTTGTTGGGACACATTTTACAGTTTTGCAAATTGTGGTTTAGTGGTTGAAATCCAAATCCACTTAACTGCTAACAACAAATTGATTTTGCTTGCTCCCCCCTTTCAACGTCAACCAAGAAATAGGATTCATCGTATGGTCCATTCAAAGGGATCAGGTTGTCTTCGCGCTTTTTTTTTGCCGGGCCTTGCAAGGGACATTTTAAAAGGAGGAGGGTCCAAGCCTGAAAAAAGGCAGCCAGACCGTGGATGGTTGCGACATCCAATTTACCAAAGAAACCCAACGGAATGATTCGGCTCGCTTCACCAAATTTCAAGCAACGACCGCTGGGTTGGATCTTCAGACTTTGGAAATCGAGGTTTCCACTAAACCCACAAACAGCTAAACTTTTTGCAGAGGAGTCAAGAGCAACCAGTCGTGTTGCAGTGGCTGGTTTGCTTTTACATGTGTCTTCCATTTGCTTGAGACGGTTTGTTTGTTTGATTTCCCCCGGTTTTTTTTGAAAGGGGCACGGTTTAAAGAAAAAGAAACACAAAATCCCCGGGGGCTTCAGCGACTGGACGTGTTCGGGCTCCGTTGGCCTCGAGGTGCAGAAGCTGGGGCAGATGAAGGAGCACGCGGAGAGGCTGGTGAACTTTGCCGGCAGCACCCCCAAGCTCCGGCAGCGATTCGAGCAACGCATGAAGGAGCCGCTCGCCCTGCGGGGCGCCGTTTTTTTGTGTGTGTTTTTTTCTTGTGGGGGACGGCAACTGCACAACTTCTTGGAACAAGTTGGTTTTCTTCCTTCTTTTTCTGGTTGATCGATTGTTTGGTTCATTTTTAGGTTTGGGGCTGCAAAAAACAGTCCGTTTTTTGCAAGCCCATACCAAGGGTTGTGAAGTGCCCAACTTTTGGTTTTCCCTTGTTGAGTTCCCATGGTGAGCGGCCGCAAAAGGTGATCACCTTTTCTTTCCAGGCCCCCCATCGGGAAGTGCAAACCTTCCACGGCCATAGCTTTTCCTGAATTCGCCGGCGGCCAAAAACCCACTCCCAAGCATGTGTGTTGCGGAAGCGGCTCTCGAGGTTATTCCGAGCAAGCACGTTCAACGGAAAGAAAGCAATCAATCAGTCAATCGATCAATCAATCAGTCAGTCAATCAATCAATCAATCAGTCAGTCAATCAATCAATCAATCAGTAAATGATTAAGTGGCCTTTTAGATATAGCCAACTCAATAAACAAATAGGTGGTCTTTTCGAAATAAGCCTGATGCGAGTGCATATCCTTGCCATTCGCACCTTGGATTTCACCGGGGTGCGATTGCCACGCCCTAGCCAAGGTATGGCGACTTTTGGACGGACCTGGAGCGCTTGTGCAGGCAGTACAGCTCCGATCACCACGCATCTCAGCCTGGGAGACTCCATATTCCCATTCTGGCTCGTCTTCTTGAATGCTCTTGGGGCTGAATCTTGAACCTTCAACTCTGTGCAAATCATGATGTTCCCAACAGCTTGCAAACAGGGAAACCGTTTTGGGCAGGGGTATAGTTGCCATCGTTTTTCTCTAGCTCCTGCATGTCAAATGCCGGGAGAGGTCCGGGATCACGGCGCGTTCAATGCACTGTCGCAATAAGAAACCATTTGTACAGAAGGAGGTGGTAGCAGCATTGGGAACTGCGGATTGCTTGAAAGTGCGTTTGTTTGGTTTGGCTTTTTTTTTTCTGAAAGGCAAAGTGAGGTAATTACATGTGGCCTAAGTGTGCTCCCTGGTTCTCTTTGCAAATGCAGAATGCGCAATTGGGACTGATCTGGGGTGGATTTCGGGGGGAGGCCCAAGAATTACCAAGATAAGCATTTTGTGCACCTTGCCTGAGGCAGCATCTGCCAAGATGCGGGAAGTTGTTCGTGCTTCTGGGCAGCACAGGCACAGCCCATTCCTCCCAGAGATTTTCATGTAACCGGGCGCACCCATTCCGCCAAACAATGGCCCTGCGCTGCATCAACCGTCAAGAACTCCCGCTACAAGTTACCCACTTGGAAGTTGAGGAACTCTTTGTTTGAAGGGGCAACGCAGGTATTGGCTTCTGTTAGGTTCTTTGTTTGCCGACCAGTGCTTATGACTCCAAGCACTTTCCCGAGGAAGTGTCCTTTGCCGCTGATGTGCGCGATACCCACGAGAGTGCCTATGCTGGGGCGCGCGCTGGAAATGCTGCCAGATCTTCAGGCTGAGTCGCTGTGCGTTTGGGGGGAGGGAACCTCAACGACTCAAGGATGTGTTTGTTGACTGGCACAGGGTAGCAGCAGTCGTCAGTTGCCCTGAGAGCGGACGGGGAGATTTGCGCTGCAGGAGCTTTTGCTGGCCACGATGCTGCGGCCAGCACGGGCGATTTTCCGAGCGAAAGCGCTTGACACGCATTGAGGCTGAGCGGAGACTTTCGCCTTGAGACCGAATTACTGTTAGGCCGCGATGGGCGGAGAGTAGGAGGTTCCCCGCCTTCAAATCTCTTTATTTGCGCAAATGTCTTCTTGTGCCGACAAGAAGCGTGTGGCTCGGGAGCTTGTTCATTTTTCAAAAAGTGACACCGGCCAGGGGAACTGGACGCAGATTAGGCTAGGTTGTGCCATACCGGCACCTCAGCCATGCATGCGCACGTGGCCGAATCTGCAAGCGATGCCCACGTTCTAGCAAGCATCACATGTTCCAAGGAGCTTACAGTTGAGCCTGGCTCACTTGTTGGATATCCACCAGAGACAATGGCAAGGCCAGGTCAGATTGGCACGTGGTGTTTCCAGCCCATGTGATATGATGTGGTTTGAAAGGGCCCGAGCAGTTCCGTCCGCATATTGTGTGCTCGGGTTGCAGCGCAAGCGTCAGCCACCGGCGAGGTCGTTTGAGGGCGAACGCGCGAAGCAATTGCAGCTTTGCTTTGCCGGTGCTGATGCAGGATTTTCCGTGACAGGGAAGATGGGCTTGGAAGCGAGCTTCAAGACACGACATGGAAAGTTCTGCTCCGGACTGGAGTCTTAGCGTTGCTGTCCTGACGTGAAGCGTCAAGGCGGATTTGCGAGGCGCGAATTCTTTTGTGCCTTTCAGATGAGGCCCAGGTGTGTCTTGAGAGCAAAGGACCCGGTAGAAGCGTCGGCCCTTTCAATCGAATCACAGGTGAGAAAGGGATAGGATTGCCGTTGCCATTCTGGGCCCTGCCTTGAGGACATCACCTTGGCGACAGAAGTTTTGTCGCCCAGCACGAGTCGGGGGGTTGCTCACTGGCTCGAGAAGTTTGCACACGGCATTTGCTATGGAGAAATCCTCAATTCTCTGTGGGGTGCTCTTAGCATCCTTTCAACCAAGGCGAGGTCGTCCCCAATAAAAGGAGCAAGCGCAGGCTTTGGTCTGGCATGCGACCCTGGTGAGAAGGTAAGCATGTTTTTTGGGCTGCATTCTTGGAGGGCAGCATGAATCACAATGCGCATCCGGAAGCTTCGACTTATGCCAAGTCTCCCAAAGCCACGGTTAGCTTGCTGTCTTGCAAGCTGCTCGTATCCCAAGTTCAACTGGAGCCTTTGAGTCCAAAGCCTTTGAGTCTTACCCTGGAGCCTCAAGCTGAGCCTCAAGCGATTAAGACGCGCAGAAGCCTACCATATGCTGTGCCCGGATGCTCGACAAGATCACCCAGAAAGGAGTCCTAGACTTCCAAAAAGAGAGCACCAGGCACAAGCGCGTGGTTTCCAAGACGTGCAAGTGAACAGAAGATTCGAACCTCAAGTCACTTCTTCTGGGCCGAACGGCTTATTTGTTTTGAATCTGATCCAAATGCCAAGTTGAGTTGTCCCCCGGTTGAAAGTGGTCAATGGCAGTTTGAAAGTTTGGCCCTGAGGCTGTTAGTGACGGTGGCAAAAACCCCGTTGTTTTTTCCTTTCCACGAAAACTCGGCGGGGTTCCAGCCATCTCATGATGGGCAACCCTGACAGGTGGCAACAAGCATCTGAGGGTTGCCCGTCCCTCAAGCAAAGCTGGCAGGTGGGTGTGGCTCAAATATTAAGAGTCAGGGTGCCGCAGGTTTTAGTCTACTTTTGCATTTACACAGGTTCCATTTTGGGCCCCTAGTTTGAGCCACACTCAGTTGGTTTTTCCCCAGCCTAAGGGCAAGTGGCAGCGCTGGCAGCAGAGGCTTGTGGGAGATTGAAACCCAAAGAGGCAACCATCGCTTGATAATCATGTTGACTTCCAGGAAGGAAGGGTTGACCATGTCTTTGCGTGGAGGAATGTGCAATGCGCCTAGCCATGGCAGTGAGCCAGGCTACACAGCCATTGAAGACACAACAGAACAAATCCATGTCAACTGACTTGAACGAGTACGATGATGTTCCCAGAGCCTCACAAATGTGCATTGCATAGCCTCTGCTGCCCGCTTGTGAAACTTCAGTGCAGCAGGAAGTGGAAAACGCAGGGACACGTCGTGGGCAGATGAAGTCTTTCTTTGGCAGATGTGTTCCTTTGAGTGGTTCACATACCGCAGATCAGACTTTGTAAACACTGGACCTTGAGCATTTAGAAACTCTGAAGCTGATGAGTTGCTTGCCCTTTTGTGACTGAGAGCCGCTCGCTGAATATTGGTTCAAGTCTTTGCGTGGTGTTGCGCGCGGATAGGTTTCACATGTGATCACGGGCTGAATGGTTATGTTAGGCCCTTTCAAGAGGATCATTTGTTGCGATTTGCTTTGCTTCTTGGTTGGTTTGCTGGCAACTAGGGCTCCTAGCAGTGGAATCTGTTATTTTTTTGCTTGCTTCTTGGTTGGTTAGTCTGCTAGTTTATATTTCAGCCACTACTTTGTCATATATTTTTTTCGGTCTCGCTAAGCGGGATTCCCCATTCGTCTCGAGATCGATTGTTGGGGAAAGCTTCCAGCCGAGCTCCAGTCCGCCCCAAGCCGAGCGCCAGCGTTTCATGGGCAAGAAGGGCGGCTCCTGCCCAGGCCTGAAAAGCGCTAGATCTCGGTTGTTGTGTTCGCCGACTTGGCCCGAAATGCGTATCAACATAGATATGTAATATATATATATATATATGTATATATATATATATATATTGGACATATATATATATATGTATATGCACATACAGAATATAGTATGTACGTGAAAAGCGAGTCTGGGTAATGTTCTGATTCAATAGGTCATGGGAGCCCTGGCCCAAACAGTGATCTATTTGAGTCCTGCCGCAAGCTGAAGTATGGAAAATATGTAGAATTGGACAGCCAATCGCATCAAGATCTTGATGGCCTCCGGCCATCCCCTTAGCTTTCTAGCCTTTCAGTGTTTAGTCTTAGTGGAGGTGTCCACTGAACACACTAAAAGTGAAGCTTCTAGCGGGGGATCTGAGGAAATCCACAGACACGATTTACAAAGAAACAGATGCGCCAGATGCGACCGAAAGAAACACAAGAGAGGAGCGCAGAACAGCTGGGACTTGCGCGTTGTTGGCTTTCAATTGAACTGCATCCGGCATTTTGTCCCCAAATGTCTGCAACCATTGAGAGTGCAAGAATGCATGGTTCACAAGCATGGAGGAAATAGAAGTCGGAGACACCAGTGTACTAGTTGAAAACACGCACATACAGCCCAATGAGGTAGCAATCACACCAGCATCATCTCCTCAAGCGACAAAGTCCGAACGCTGATTGGCGAACTGAGTTTATGCGAGATGCTCTACGTCAGGGCGGGTAGTTTGGCTTTTGGTGCTCCTCAGGTCTCAGCCCAGGCATAGCCCTCTTTCTATTAAGCTGTGAGGTGGCAGCCACCAGTGGTAAAGCGACCTTGTCAGCTCCGTTTCCTTACAAATGAGTTATAAGTCATGGTCTCAACGGTGTTGCCTTTCCTTTTGAGGTCGACCTGAGCGAGATGGGAGGGCCGTCTTTCTGGTTCCTTTGACCTGGAGCACTTTGTCCAGCCCTGGTTTGAACCAGCAAGCCTTGCTGGTTCTACGGAAAGGGTCCCCAACCATCCGTGTCTTTTCCTTAGGTCGACCGAAACCCCCAAAATGGCGGGCGCAAAGGGTTTTCCCCTGGCCTTTGTAACCGAAAATTCCAGCCAACTCGAGCAAGAAGACGAGGCGATGATGAGCTCCAGGAGGGTGAGGGCCTCTTGGAGGCGCAGCGCTACCAAGAGGCGCCTTCAAAGACCGCACGCCGTTCCATTTGAGGAAGCTTCAGTGGTGTCCCACTAACATGGCTGGTGCGATCAGTGGTTCCAACAGCTATTCTAGTTTTGCGTAGGTTGGGCGTGGTCCTGCAGTCGACCAATTTGCGGCGTTTGCGGTCCAAGCTCTACCAATTGATGCGAAGGGCGCTTGGGCCAGCAGTTCTGCGATAACATGAGGTCCCCAATGCTTCGTCACCAAGTCACAGTCTGAGTTGGCATGCATTTCTGTTGGCGCGGTAAGGCACCAGCATTGCATGACATTGGCTGTTGTCTTTGGGTGCTTGGTGCTTGCTTTTTCCCGCAGGGAGAAATCCTTGTTTTGCAGTCCGTGTCCAGATGCAAAGTTTAAGTGTGATTACTGCAGCTCACCGCTTCTGCGAGGCATTCTTACCGGGTTCAAAGTGCCATTGCAACATCTGCTTTTGCCCCTCAAAGAGTGTGTGTGCATGTGGCTTGGTTTTGCCCATGTGCCAACCGGGCCTGTCTCAAAAACAGCCAAGAAACGGAAAACCTGACTGGCTGATCAATATTGCCAGGACTCTGTTGTGATCCATATAGCACCACCCTACTACTGCCGACTCCAATAGTCGCCATGCGCAAAGTCCAACAAAACGGTCGCTGCTATGAAAAGAAGCCCCCCCATCCCCCAACCATCCCCCTGCCCTCCCCCCCAAAAAAGAAGTCGCCATGTTCCACCCCCCCCCCAACTTCCCGAGCTCCCCCCTCCCCAACTCCCCAAACCATCCCCCCCCAAACCATCCCCCCCCAAACCATCCCCCCCCAAACCTCCCCCCAAACCATCCCCCCCACCCGCCTCCCCCCCCAGGCCTTGCAGCACTTCGCTTCCGCCGTGGCGCAGCAGCCGCAGAAGCAGCTGCCCTGGTTCAACCAGGGCCTGGCGGCCGCGGAGCTTTGGGAGGCCCAAGGACCGCGAAGTGGTTTGGGTCAAGCGGCAGGCGGACGGGTTTCCTGGCTAGGTCCCCCAGTAGTGCCCTTGGGGGGAGGGTTCCCCTACTAAAACAGACTGCAGGAAAAAAATCGGGTACCCTTATTCTAACCTCTCTACTGGAGGACCTAGAAGGTGTTCCCAATGACACAGGGTTGTGTTGGGAATCTTCCCTGTTATGTGGGGGGTTAGTGTTTGGGGCTTCATTGTTGCATCACAGAAGTGGTCATTTCCCACAGCCCTGGGGTCAAGCGGCCATGCTTTGCCCGGGCCGCTTGACCCAAACTCAAAACGGCCGTGGCTCAAAAGTGGTACTCAAAATGTCACTTTGCTTGTGGGAACTCAAAACCAGCGGTTTGCCCCTGTTTCATTTTGAGCCACAGTGTTTCCTCTTGCACCTCCGTTAAATACCCCCGCCTGGATGCGGCTGGTTTGCCTAGCCAAAGGCGTCACCCTGCCACCCTGCCATAAGGTTTCAGAAGGAACCGTAGAATGCACCCTGTGAAAGGTCGCCCCTTCGGCTTCCGTCACCGTGGACTTAAACTGGCCCTTGCAAAAGTTTGACGCCCACGTAGATGCTGGCCGTTCAAAGCAATATTTGCGAGGAGGGTTAGCAGTCAATCTGAGTGAAGTAGTGCAAACTTGGAGGGTTCACAATGAGGGTTGTGAGATCAAGGGGTTTTACCCCAGTGTGATACAAGGGAATCTCCCCCGTTATGTGGGGGGGGTTAGTGTTTGGGAAGCCCTTATTGTTGCATCACAGAAGTGGGCATTTCCCACCGCCCTGGTTCACAATGCGCACTGGGGGTATATACTGAGAGAGTGGCTCGGAAGAGCCTCCCAACAAACTGCCCCAACCTTCCAGATAGCCATCGCACGCTGCGGCGGCTTCCTCCCTTCTAAAAGGGCTTGCGTGGTCAGAACAGCTGGGGCCAGTTGGAGCTGCCACCAGCATTCCGAACGAAGAGAACGAAGGCATAGCATGACTTGATACCAGAAGCGTTGGCCGCATTGCCTGGAAGCTGGGAAAGCCATCTTTCTGCAATTGGCCCCCAAGCAGCGTCCCACAACAAAAAAAATAGTACCTGTCAGCGTCTGACATGAGACCTGCAAAGGCTTCAGGTGAAGTTTCAGGCCGAAAAAGCTAGCAGCAAGAATGTAGCGGCAGGATACATGCATCCATGCACATACGATTCCCAAGAATGCTCACAAACAAGTCAGGGATCCCTTGCAGGATGCTGCGATGGAAGTTTGTGCGGGCCTCAGACGGGTGGAGATGCGTGGAGTCCTTGAATTGCTTGCTCTGATCAGGCCATGAGTTTTGCGAACTATGAGAGGGGTATGCTGGTTTTTGCCGTGCTGCGCTCAAGATGCCGGAGACTTTTCATGGTCAGGCCTCAACAAGTTCTTTTGGCAACACACACACACACACTGACTGATTTACCCTATGTAGGAGCATTTCATGCACATGTCAGCTGCCTGAGAAGGCCTTGAGTCTTCCTTGCGTCTGGGGCGCGGGCTGCATGAAAAACCTCTCCCCATTTGTTTTGTAAAATCCTCCTTTTCCCATTCCTACCTGGTCCGCTTCCGCCCCATTCGGCAGCGGGTCCGCAGCTGCTGTTTCAGTTGGGTTTGTGCGACGACCCCAGTACAAACATTGTGACAACCTCCTATTTTCAAAAGGGAACCCCCGCGAACGTGGTTGATGGCATGTCCCCAATGAACAGTTTGAATTTGAATCTATTGGACATTTTGAGCTTTGTTCTCATTGGCTGGGGGCTTGCTACCTTTCGTGTCTCCTTCTCAAGTTGCTTTTTGTTGTGTCTCAAAAAACGATACTGACCGTCACCAGCGATACCCTAAAACCTGAGGCAAAAACCGGACAAACGATACGGATGACCCCCACGTCGGAATGAGTATGGAAAGAAGCTCAAAGCGAAAGTTCGCTTGAAGCATTCGAGGCCACACAGAAGGTCTTTAGACAAGGCTCGGCGCTGCCCAGGCCTTGATTGGATGGTGGGCTTCAGACCGCGCTGGAGAGATTAGCTGTCCGGTTAAGCTGAGGCGACGGGAGTTGCTCTCAGGCATGAGTGATCCCAGGTCGGTTGCCATCACGGTTTCTCTGTTGTTCCGATTTCTTGGCTTCAAGATATATGGTCGCGTGTTCCCTGTTGCTACCCCTCCAGGACCCCCCCCCCCCGGCCCGAGACTCCGACCCCTGAACTCGCACCCCGACACCCCGGCACCCCCACCCCCAGGACAAGCCAACCCGCAACCAACCCGCAACCAACCCTAAACCAACCCTAAACCAACCCTAAACCAACCCTAAATACACGCTAAACCAATCCCTAAACAATAAACCCTAGACCAACCCTAAACCAACCCTAAACCAACCCTAAGTACACCCTAAACCAAACCCTAAACCGTACACCTCTAAACCTAAACCAACCCTAAACCACCACAACCCAACCACAACCACCGGGGGGGGGGGTACTTGTCTGACCCATGACCATTGGGGGGGGGGGACTGCAACGCTGCACCATATGGTTACCATATATATACATATTATGTGTTTTTTTTTTTTTTTATGTATTTATTTATTTATTTATTTATTTATTTATTTAGTTAGTTAGTGATTTTTTGTATTTATTTAAAAACAAATGGGGGGGGTGGCAAGGTTCGAGACTGCCGCGTCGTCATTCCGGACTGTGCTGCAGTTTCCTGGCTGCAGCGCCGGAAACTGGCCTCAACGAGTCCGTGACTGGGGGGTTGTTTGTTTAATTTGTTGTCTAGGTGACCTACTGTTACAGGGCCTTATGCCGGTTGCTTCTGGGAGGTTTAACAAAGGGGCCAAGTTCGAGTCAGACATGCCACGGCGCGTGCGAACTTCGACATGTTGGGTTTGCGTATTGGGCATTTTCTTCAGAAACTGTGTGGTAATTAATTTGCAATGATGGCTTTCTGGGACGGGGCCAGCCAATACACGCACCTAGCCCGTACGCTACTTTCTGCCATCGCACATGAAATGAATTCTTACGGTTGACTCAGTTGATGATGTCTCCAATACTGCTTGTAATCCTTGCCAGTTTTTGCCTCTAGAAACTTCACCCGGGCTCATCAGTCCCTTCTCAAATCAGAATAGGTACTCCGAGACTGAGTTTGCAAATCAAATTGACAGTTGGAAAGGCAATATTTTCAGGGACGCCCTCTGTTTTTGCAAGGCTTGCACATGAGTTCCTGGCTTTTGTTGCTCATTCATTGCCAACCCCACGGAAAGAATGAAGCATTCATCCTTTGTGATTTTAACATGTTGGGTATAATTCCAGAATGAAACATTCATCCCGCACTGGCATAGTTCATGTTCAGAGATTTGTTTCGCGCATGAATAATTAGCTCAGAGAATCGATGTTCAAGTTCAAGTTCATTAGCTCATGTTCAGGTAAGAATGACTAATTCATCCCGCATGGGCATATTTCATCCCTTGTTCCCGTTTCTCATTCACTCCGATAATTTTTCGCCCGGCGGCCCTCACCCCGAAGACTCGCCCCGAGGCTGGACACCTCCGGCCGGGCGGAGCTGCGGTACTTGGCGGCGCTGGCGGCGGGGCGCCTGCTGGCACGGCAGGCTGAGGCCGAGGCAGGGTCCATGGGCTGTGCCACTTTTTCAGGAATCGAAGGCCCCCAAAAACATGCGCTTTTTAGGAAAGACGTGATTGGCGTGGGTGGGTCCTTTTTGTTTTGAAGGGGCCGCTTCCTCTGATACCAAGGACCAAGGAAATCCCAAAGGCGTTGCTAGATCCCCCAGTGCCCTTCTCTCCCCTTTCTTTGGTTGGGTGGGTTCCAACCTACTAAAATAGACTACAGGAAAAAGTTGGCACGCTGATTCTAACCTCTCTACCGGAGGACCTAGCAAAAAAGATGTGGGGTTTTCCAGTTGCCAGAAACGATGTATGGTTTTCCGACCAAGCCTAAAAAAAGATAGAGCCGATGGTGGGAAAACGGAGGTAGGCGGCCAGAAAAACACATGTGATGTTTCTTTGAGTTCCCTGGGGGGTTGAGCTGCCTTTGACACAAAGTAGCAGCCCAACGGGCCAAGTTTCATATCAAACGCGGGTATGTCTCACAAATGTGGTGCTTGGGCTAGTGCCTTTTGCCCGGTTTCCACCTGAAAATCGTTCCAGGGGCACTGACACTGGCCAATGCGCCTTTGTTGGTTGGGGGAGACTTTGTCGCTGGATAGTCCCGCCTGTTGACCGTTGGCAATGGCCATGTGGCTGTTGAATTCTGAGCATGCTTGCAACCTGCATTGTGAGGTGTGTGCTACAAAACTCTACTGCTATTGGCTCGAATCTTTACACTTCAACTCTTTGGGAAATCAAGGGTGTTCCATTAAACCCACAACAAGTTGAACTTTTTGCAGAGGGGCCAACAGCGACCTTAAAATTGTGAGGTGCGTGCTACAAAAGATAAATGGTCTAGAAAAAGAAGCGAGACTCCCCGTGGCCCAGGAACTAGAGGATTGCCGCGGGAGATAAAATTGCATGCTGAACTTGGTTTCTGCTTTAGGGCCACCTGGAGCTGTTTTATGTCCAGTAAACGTTGGTGCATTTTGCCAAGGGATGTTAGGACTTTAACTTTTTGTCAACTAATGGGATTTCAATTAAACCACTAAAAGTTAAACTTTTAGCAGGGGAGCAGAAAGCAACCAAGGAAAGGTGGCGACAGGCAAGGGGCCTTTGGCACGGCTTGTGATAATATCTCCTATATCGGTTTCTCCGGACGTGACCCTGCAGATCCAGTACATGACAATGCAGAGGTTTGCTTGGCAAGTGTTCTCTTCCCGACTGGTGTTTGCCATGTGTGATTAGACATGCAATCTTACAAGTCTGCCTGTCTATGCCATCTCGCCTTTTGCCCCGGCATGATGTGTGTGTGTGTGTTTGACAGGCTCACGTGCAGAGTTTCTGCCAATCGTTTTTTCCTCTCGTTGTTGTATTGCTGCTGCCGTTACATGTCGCCGAAATGTAATAGTCAGCAAACCAGCAAGGCTGGCTCGTGAAAACATTCCAATTTGCATCACGAAAGAAGCAGGAACAGGGCGAACAGGGCCAGGAGCAAAGGACTGGCGCAGGGCACAGCAGGGCGAGGGCGCACTCACGCCGTGCCGCCTGTGCTCAGGACAGCGGGCCCGCAACATTGCCAGAAGCCTTGCAGCATTTCGCCGAGGAGTGCTGGGAGAGAAGTGTGAGTGCGATCACCTGCAGGTTGTGCCCCTTTGAACTTCCTGTGTCACTTATACAACCTGTTGCGTTTGAGCCATGCATATATCCCATTCTGCCCAGAAAGTGAGAGTTTCAATGGAGCCCGGCGACCATCCGCTTTTGCAGGAGACATCGGGATGGGTCATATGAAACCACCAGGATATGGTCCATTAGGATCAGGGAGGGGATAGGCACCTGGCACGTGGTCCATATGATCCAACCATTTGGATCCCCACCCCTTTAAAAATGGAATAAGGGGAGGGGGTGAGCTCCATGTTTGGGTTGACAAAAGGAGGGGGGTTCATTTTTTTAGTCCATATTTTGGACCCAAGCCCAAGTGGTCTGCCTCCAGGCAGACTTAAACCTAGGGGTTCTCCTTTTTGGGGGAATAAACCACCCCTGGGTTTAAGTCTACCCTCGTCGAAAACGTGGAACCCTGTTCCATTTTGGATCCCCACCCCTTCAAAATGGAATTGGGGAAGGGAGATCTCCATGTTTGGGTTCCTGTGAATTTCTTGGTGGCTCCCAGCCATCCCCTTAGCCTTTTAGCTTTTTCGCGTTTAGTGGAGTCCCTCGAAGTGAAACTTTTAGCCGGGGATCTCAATACGGGCCCAGAGATGTTAAGGTAGAGGTTTCATTTGGGGTTTTTTGGACCTGCACGAGGCTCAGCGGCTCGTGGAGCAATGGGGTCACCCGGATCTGGGCTCCGCCGCCTTGGCTGACTGGGCCAAGGCAGTGGCCTTGCAGATGCGCAGGCGAGCCAAGCTGTAGGGTGGCCAGCCGTTCGGTTCCTCAGCCTTTTAGGCTTTTACTTGGTTTAGTGGCTAGATTTCCATGCCACCCATGTACTTTTTAGGGTTTAGTGGCTAGATGTCCATTTCACCCACTAAAGTTATTCACTTTTAGCAGGGTATCTGAGGGCAGCCCAGCTGTTTCAACGGGTCCAGCTCGAGTTCCCCTTTTTGGCGGTAGAAAAACATCGCTTTTTTTGGCCCCAAGGTGAGTGTGCCTTGGGGTGATGTTTTAAGGGGGAAATAATAGGGAGCCCTGTGTTGTTTTTCCCCAGACAGCCAGGTCATGTGGTTTTGTGTTTTTCTTGTTTTGTTGTTTGTTTGGTGTTTCCCCCCCCCCTTTTTCCTCATCTAGAGTTTGTTGGGTGTTTTCCATTTTTTGTAGGAGGTGGTTTGGGTCCAGGCGTGCAGGAGTCGATGTGTCGAAGTGTTTGGTTTGATTGTGCAGCGGATGCCGAGGTGCATTCAGTTCCGGGCTTGTGCTTGCCCATGTGTCTGCATGATTGGTTTGTTTCTTTTTTGCTGAGTGCTTGCGGTAGTTTGGAGGTTTCGAGTCCTTCGAATTCAGATCATGTAGCGAGATCGTGTTTCCTCCTAGCTAGCATCGCATCATTCGGATTAAAAGAAAAGATGTTGCACCGGGCTGTAAAACTGCCATTCCCATCGGCTGGAGCTCGTTTACACGGGAAGCAACAAAGCTTGGAGCGTGTGCTCAGCCAACAATTGGGATGCTGAATCGAAATAAGCAAATGCGAAGCATAGCACGCCCTGCGTGCAGGCAGATCGCAGCGATTTCTTTGCCGAACAGCGGCATCAACTGGGATTCGCTGCTGGGGACGCTGTCGGCGCTATGCCGGTCCCTTACATTTGATCGAGGAGCTTTTTGGGGTCCAGAAAAACTGAGGTTTTGTTCTCACACCCTCTGGATCCAGTGTTTCTTTGGCCATCGAAGCTCGGCCTTTTGATCTTGAACCGGGGCTGGATGAGTTTCGACCTCAGTGGGTGTCGTTTTCGCCTCCCGTGTAAAAAAGTTCCAACCCGAGAGGGGTCCACCGTCCACCATATTGAGGAGCACCCAAAATTTGACTCAGCATGCCGTCACAGGCCTGCAGGCTTCGCGTGCTGAGGCGAGGATGCGGCCGAGAAGTTTGAGAAGTCTCGGTCATCGCCTGCAGGCCCCTGCAGGGTTGTGGGATCACTCGGGGTTTTACGCCACTTCTGTGATACTGTTGGGAATCTCCCCCGCTATGTGGGGGGTTAGTGTTTGGGGTTAGGCCCGTATTGTTGTAGCACAGAAGTGGATTCAGTTTCAACCGCAGCCCTGCGCTGCAGGCTTAGTCAAAGTTTTCGGGTGTTCCTCCATATGGTGGACCCCTTTTGGTTGGAATTGAATGAACGGGAGGCCAACAAGAAACCAACCATGTAGGGGACCACCCACTACTTTGGGAAACTATAATATTTTACGCATGTAAGGATCTTTCCCATTAAGGGGGTGGGACCATCTACCTCAGGTTCTGGTGATGGTGAGGCAAAAAGTGACTTCTAGCAGCACACCAGCATGTGTTTGATGCGTGGGACATGGGAAACGGGCATGGACCGGGCGCTTCCATCATGTTTTGCTTGGCGTGCATCAGTCAGACCCTAAAACGGGCTCTCAGAAACAGTGTTCTCGCTTCCGTCGCGTGGCATGGCGCCATGGACTCATTTGAAATTTAAAACGCCAGTTAGGATCGCCCAAGTCAAGCCATGATGCATATGAGTTGTTCACAGCTCATGTTTTTTGCCCAGCCCTTTCACAATGCTGCACATTGCCATGTGCTCGGATCCATGACAAGGTAGGCATCCGGGCGAAGCTTCCTAAGCGAAGGAAAACTGGGATGCAAAGGCATTGGGTGCTTTGTGCTGTGTGGATTTCGCTGTGGGCTCTCAGCTGCAGCATGTTGTGGGCAATCATCCAAGCTGGTGCAGCGATTGTTGGCAAGGCATGGGAGGAGAGTGAGGTGGTTTACAAACACGCTTCATGGTGATTGATGCCCGCCCGGAGCCAGCTTAGCTCATTAGGTGGAAGGCTTGCGGGGCGCTGCCAATCAACCTGATCACATATATACATACATATATATATATACTATATGATATGATATTTCTTTTGTATAACAATAGTTTATATATAATATATGCACTGCGTAAATTGTGCCACACCTGAAGTGATGGTCATTAGCGCGCACCAGGGGAAAATTGCAAATGCCTTTTTGGATCCCTTGTTGGTGGCGACGACAAGTTCTCGTTCTTGGCATCGCATGCACGACCAAACATCGCAAGCATCAAGCCCCGCCGAGCGCAAAAAGTTTTCGCCGGGCATGGCGACCATGGAGAATCAGAAGTACAGCTTCGAGTGCTACTCCCCGCGAGCGGCCTACTGGTCCTACGACGGGATTCCCTTCACCAGTTTCTACGTGGCTTCCATGTGCTGAAACGATTTGTTTTAATTGTCCCTTGTTGGTTCTAAAAGGAATGTATCATTGCTTAAGAATATGTTCTTATGTTTTCCCGTGTTTTTAATCAAAAAAAAACACACATCCAGCAGTCTTAAGCAAAAAGGTGGTGGTGCTGGCGGCCGTCCTGGCCCGGCAAAGCTTTGTGGCGGATCATCTGCTGCTGCTGCTGGTGCCGGCGGCGCTGCACGTCTTGCTGCCTGGACTCAATAGAGCCGTGGTGGTCAAATCCGTTTGGTTGATTCCCAAAATGGTTGGTGAATTCACCTACCCCAAAATGGGATCCCATTGGTTTTGACCCATAGCCATATAGCCACTAATATAGCCACAGCACACCGATAGTAGGGGTTGATTCCTTTTGCATTCTTGTCAACCATTGTTCTTTTCAAGAAACCGCCGTTTTCCCTGGGTTTCCGGAGGTTTTCTAGAACGAAGGATCCCTGGAAAGAATGGGGAATGTACCCCTGGAATTTTGGGGTAGGTGAATTCACCACCCATCTTAGAACCTATGTTAGTGGGGATTGGGATGTTCACTGGCAGTACGGGATTTTGACCCATGGCCTTAAAAGGACGCCAATGAGTTTGACACTGCGAGGGGTGTTTAGCTTCCCACTGAAAGTCTTCTCCGGTTTGATTTCAGAGATCCAGATCTCAAGGTTGACGAAATATGAAGCAGAATCTGACATACTTCTTGGTGTACCCCGTACCCTGCGGTTGGGCCAATGCCTTTGGGAAGGACCGAGGGCTGCCGACACACAAGACATGCTTTCCCTCTTTCCTTTTTGTTTGCAAAGAGACCAGCTGGATAAGACCTTCCCTTCGGTGGCGTCAAAAGTAGATTAGGTTCATGATCACCTCGCTCATTCACTCATTTCTTACCTTGGCACCGCACGAAGGGGGGAGACTGTGATTGGCACACATACATGCAGCATTGTGTCCTTCACTTGCATTTTGCTGAAATCCGTGTTTTCGCTTCCGTACTTCAGTTGCTTGGTTGTCAGAGCCTTGCCTTCCATCACCAGGTCCATACACGAGGCAGTTTCACGAAGCTGTCTCTTGAATTCTAGCAACAGTGGAGTGTATGATGGCTCACTGATTCGCACTTGGGGCGATACTCCCCGTTGGTTTGCAAAGGACGGCATATGTTTGCGCTTGGTCAAAGTTGGTGCTAGCTGACGACAGACTGTGATGGAAGGCCGGCAAAAAGGGTTAAGAAAGCAAAATGCTCATACCGCAAGACTGGACAACTGCAAATTGCTCAGGGTCGATGGGATTCAGGGCGCGTCATATAAATCATAAGCAAAGAGAAAGAACGAGTACGTTGATAGGATTTGTACCGTGGTATGGTTGTGAAATCAGATTTGCATCTGGTTTAAGACCTTTCGCGTTTCGATTTCCGGCAGCTAAGGCTCTTCCTGGCCACGCAGTGGTCCGTGCAGGTGAGGTGCTTGGTTCGATTCAAGCAGGAGGACATTCAGAGGGCCAGCCATGTGAAGGTAGTGCCTACCTCCAATGCCAAGCAGAACTCCAAGATGCTCGGGTTGTTCGTTTTTTTTTTTTTTTTTTTCTGACAAAGGCCCCGAAACTTAAATGAGCAATGATCATAGATCCTCTTTTTATTTGGGGTTGGCTGTGTTGTTTCTTTCTTTTTCTGACAAAGGCCCATCATAGACCCTCTTTTTATTTGGGGTGGAGGGATGGTCATCCACCTGGTGATAATGATCCTGAATCATCATAATGATTCCTATTTGGGAAACCATGGCCGTCTTGACCATGGCTCACATTGCCTTCTCCCGTTTGCAAAAGGTGGTTTGACCTTTTGCAAACGGGAAAACCCAGGATTCTGCTGGTGCCGGTGCATCGTCACGATGGGCAGGTGTCTATTTCCTACCTCAAGAAGAGGTTCATTTATTCTGAGGAGCATGGCACGTTCCAGCGCCTTCAGTTCGACATCCAGTCCCCTTTGAGCAAGTACTTGGCCTCAACGGGCCTCGCGGCACCGGAGATCGCAGAGCAACGACGCACATTCGGGGAGAATGTCTATGACATTCCCTTGCCTACCTTTGGGGAGCTTTTTCAGGAGCACGCTGTAGCACCATTCTTTGTTTTCCAGCTGTTTTGCGTTCTGCTGTGGCTCATGGACGACTACTGGTACTACTCCTTGCTGACCTTATTTCTGCTGGCGCCTTTCCTTGAATCAGTCGTAAAGCCCAAAAGGCCCCGCCCTTCTCCCGCGCATTTACGGCACCTTCGGAAGCTTGCCATGTGGGTACAGGCCAGAATTAAACCACCGGGGTACTTTTAGGCCTTGGTTCCATTTTCCAGGGTTCCATTTTGGATATTTTGGGTACCTATTTTTTAATTGACATTCAACAAACGAAATTCCCAGCAAGATGCGCAAATCAGAAGACCAGTGCAAGCAGACCAGTTCGCCCAGGGGGAATGCCACTTGTGCTCCTTACGCCTTGTTTCTAGGCTTACCGCTGGGATGGCCTTGCAAGCTGCGCATGTTGACTTGCGTTCAATTGTAGCGGTAGAATCGGCTCGGCAGCTTCACCCAGCGAGGTTGGCTCATGTGTTGCCACAGATGCGGCGCAGTCGTTCAATTTCATGTGCTGCATTTGTGGATAGCACACCGTGTGCAGCACACCCTTCACGGGGGCTATCATTGGTTTTGGATGTCTTCTTTGTGATCTGTGGCTGGTTTGGGAGGTGAAATGCTGGTTCTTGGCTCTTACGACCGTCAACTCCGCACAAACCGCCCAATGGTTTGAGGCCAGCTGAAACTCAGTTCCCCGGACCAGGCCAAATGGGGTTGTCTTCTTTGAGGCTACCCGCCTTGGGCTGCTTTACAGGAAGCCAAAGGGAAGAACCCGTCCATTTTGGGAGTGCCCCCCAATTTGTTTACACATACTTGTTTTCTGCGATTTGCTCCCCTTCTTTCGGCCTTGTTCAGTCGGCCGGAACTCTCTTGCTGGTGCTCAGGGAATGTGGGAATGAACCGGAACGGCGGCCCCGAGGAAACCACCAGTGGTCTTTCTTGGGTTCATTCCATCCCTGTCTTGCCATCCCCTGTAAACAGGGTTCCTTAAAAGATCTCCATTTTGCAACCATTTGAAACATGTGGCTTTTGAACCAAAATAAAGGGAACCCACCATTTACAAGGCAATGTTTAGGTGTATGATGCATCCGGATCCCTGGTAAACCATCCCCTATTCCGTTAAGGGGACCTTTGGGTTCATGAGCCATTTCTCGGTCTTTTTTTTGCCATCTCTCGCACCGATAACCCACCCCGTTTCGCTCGGTGTCCGCTCGGTGCGAAGGTGGTATGAGCCACATAAACCATCCCTTGTGGTTTCCTAGGGAATTCCTAGATTCATTCCCAACACCGTGTATCATCCCCTGAGCGCTGCTGAGGTGGTGCTGGAGGCGCAGTTGGTGCACCGCCGCCGCAGCGACCTCTCGGAGCTTCGGGCCATGCGCATCCCGCCGCGGCCCACGCACGTGCTGCGGAAGGGCAAGTGGCAGGTGGAGCAAAGCAACGAGCGGCTCGGAGCGGGCGAAGGAAATGGGGGTGTATATTGTTTTTCGTGTTTTTTGTTGGTTGTTGTTTTGTTTTTTGTGTGTGTGTGTGTGTTTTTTCTCGGAACTTGGGAGGGTTTCAAGGGGACTGACTGGGGTGGTTTCAGAGGGAAGCCGAAAGGAAGCAAACTTCTAGGGGGACCTTCCCCATTCTTTCCAGGGATCCTTTTTTCCAGAAACCCAGGGAAAAACGGGCGAGCATTGTTTTTGTTAGGAAAGTGCGGAAGACCAGCCTGGACCAAATTGAAGAATTGAAGGTGTGAGGGGAGCCCTCAAAATTTGGTGGGAGGTAGCTTTTGGCCAAGAATGGACTGGCTGCTTCCGCTATCTGTGACAATGCAGGGGAACCATCGAGTCGGAAAGCAACTGTTCAAAGCTCGAATCCCTCGCTCCGCGCTGCTGGCTGACTGAGATTTCATTTCTTTGGCCTGGGTTAAGATCCAACTTGTTTTGGGTTACGTAGTCGCCTTTCCAGCTTTTCTAGGGGTTGATTCCAATTCCATTCTTTTCAACCATCGTTCTGTCCAAGAACCGGGCCGTTTTCCTGGGCTTCCGGAGGTTTTCTAGATCCCTGGAAAGAATGGGGAAGGTAGCCCTAGAGTTTTTGTTTTGGCGATGGATCGGGATTGGCGGAGTCTTTGTTTTGAGTCCTTTTGCTTCGCCTTGAAACCAAACCAAAAGCTAGTCAAAAGCAACGAGAGTCAGGCTGTTGCCTGGTGACATCATCGGCATCCAGCGGAGTCCCGACGCATCCTTCCCCTGCGACGCGCTGCTGCTACAGGGCAGCGTCCTGGTGAATGAGGCGATGCTCACGGGCGAAAGTGTGCCGCAGATGAAGGCAGCGACGGGTTCGAATCGAGAGCCAGCGAATCTTTAACCCCGGAGGAACCACCCCCTGTCTATTAATAGGGGGTATTCCTGGGTTTAGTGGGGCTTTCTCACTTTTGGAGGGGAGCACCCCCATATAAATACACTGTTTATTGGGGACTTGTCACTTCTGGAGAGAACACAACGCCCCCATGTGAATAAGCAGGGCTAGTCTAGGGTCAACATTAGGGAGAAAGGGCCTTTGAGATAGGTAGAAAAGAATTGCGGTTGTGTTCCATACAGAAAGGACCATTGTTTGAGAGATTCGTGTCACGGTTCAAAGCAGCAAGTTTACTCTCTCGCACCCCTTGGGCTAAGATACTGGTGGCATGCATGTGCCCATGTTTCAGCCTTTGGCCGAAGACATGTCAAGACCAAGGGCCCTTCCAAAACTGTTTGGAATTTGCTCGTTGCTTTATTTGGGTGCATTATAACGACCTCACACGACCAAATTCACCCCAAATGGTGGTGTATGTGGGGAATATCCCTCCGACCACCTTATTTCGGGCTGGTGACCTAGTTGTGACGTGTGGATGGACGAAATTGTGCACCACTTTGAGATCATTGTCTGTTGGTATTTACAGAGGGCTCATCATCCCAGGGTTTCTTGGGTGGTGCGTTGGGTGGATTTTGTCCATCCACAGCATCACATGGTCGGATCCTTGGCTCGTTGGATCGCCAGGTGCACGCCACCTCCTCCGAGGAGGCCTTGGACATGGCAGGCCGCCACCGGCAGCACGTGGTCAGCGCGGGCACCAACATCATGATGCACCAGAGCTCCGGGGCCAGAGGCTTTCCGAAGGCGCAAAACAGGGAGGGGAGGGGAGGGGAGGGGAGGGGAGGGGAGGGGAGGGGAGGAGGAGGGGAGGAGGAGGGGAGAGGGGAGAGGGGAGGGAGGGGAGGGGCTGCGTCTTGAGATGATGATTTACATTTCATGTCGTTGGGTGTGGTGTACTCAGTTTGTTTTCTTTTCTTTAAGTGGGTTCGGATATATATTTTTTGTGTCTGAGTTGTGTACTCTGAATTTTGTGTGTTTTGAGATGTGATTGGCATGTGTCTGAATTGTGTGAGGATGATGGGGGGGTTGATCAAAAGGTCCGATGAACATGGGACGACCATCAGTTAGAAACCACCAAGAAAGATGACTTTCCCCACTCAACAAAAAGCTCCCCATGGTCATTTGGGGGGCCAGGACTATTGATCAACCCCATTTCAACTTGGCTCCCAGCCATCCAGTTCCTTGGCGATTTTGCTTTTTGTTTTTTTGTTTTTTGCTTTTTAGGGTTTAGTGGGGGTTTCCAGCTAACCGACTAAAAGCTAAACTGTTAGCAGGGGACCTGAGGGAAGCCCAGTCATGTGGCTAGGGGTGATAGCCTATGCCGAGCCATTTTGGGGCGGATTGAACACCCATGTAGCACCTATTTTGATGTTCACCAGGGGTACGGGGTTTTGACCCACAGCCATGTGTGTGTGTGTGTGTTGTGTACTCTGAATGTCGTGGGCTCTGCGTTGATTTTTTTCCGCAGGTGCCGGTCGTTGGCTCCTCCCCGGTAGCGATTGGATACGTTCTGCGCACGGGCTTTGACACGACCCAAGGGAAGCTATGCAGAACCATCCTCTTCAGCGCAGATCGGGTGACTGTGTCAAGCAAGGACGCATATCATTTCATCCTGATCCTGCTCTTCTTTGCGCTGGTTGCATGCGCTTATGTGCTCTACGATGGCCTGATCGTGGCGCCCACCCGCGAAACACCCAGATCGACATTCAAGCTCCTGCTGGCAGTGAGCCATATCATCACAGCCGTGGTGCCGCCGGAGTTCCCTATTATGCTTTCTCTGGCGGCGACTCGACGGCGCATGGTGTGTGTCAAATGTTCGGCACACGACTTTTGCTTCTCTATGGTTTGAAAACTGAGTTGCAGCTAAATTCGAGAGTAGGACACAGGCAGGCAGCCGGAGCCAGCTCGACCGCAGCATCCAGCTGGAAGCCACGTTGAGTTTGACTCAATCCGTTTTCCCTAGTGCTTCTCACTACATCATATGGCTCAGGTAACCCTTAGTCTAGTTGGGCAATCCAAGGATTTGGATTTGAACCTCTGGCTTTTAGAGTTCATAAATGGTTGAAACCCGGCTCACCAAAACTCCAATCCAAACTATGGAGGTAAGCTGAAATGAGAAGTTTGCTTGGGGTCAGTAAGGTGAATTTGAGCCTAGTGGAGCTGGTGAAGAAGCGCATCTTTTGCACCGAGCCCTTTCGTGTCCCGCTGGCTGGGACGCTTTTGGCGGCAGAAAGAAACCACAGCCGGCCGTTTTGGGGATTGGGAGCCGTTCTTTCGAGTCAGAGAACTTGTGGCACTTGAAGGATGTTTGTGGGTTGAATTTGGGGCCTACCCAAATTTCCAACGGGAAAAAGAAAGCTTTCGTTTGGGATTTTGGGCAAGGAAGATTCAGACCTGCTGCTTTGACAAGACGGGGACCTTGACCAGCGACTCCATGGAGGTTGGGGGGGTGCACGGCCTGGAGTACGCGCCCCCGCCTTTCACGCCCGCGGACGAAGGGGAGCGGGAGAGGAGTTCGAGAGCCTTGGAGCAGCAGCGCGGCTGAAGAACTCTGGGTGTGGTGTGTGTCAGTGTGCATGTAGGAGATGAATGTTGCTCCGCGCTTTGGCTTCTGGGGCCCCGGTCAAGTTTCCACGGATTTGTTTTATTCTTTTTTTTGCGGGATGAAGTGGGAGACTGGGCATGGGTCAAAATCAATCCGCGGGGCCGCGGATTTTCGTCCTTGGTTCCATGTACTCATGCAACCCATTTGGAGCATAGGAGTCCTTGTTGGTTGTTTTGCTTGAAAGTAGATGGCGATGGTTGGTATTTTCCTGGTGGTTTTTTCTCTACCAGGGAAGCCCATTTGTTTCCAACCAAAAATTGGACTGTGATTTTGGGGGGTTACAACCGATTTTCGAGCACCAGAGCCACAGACAGGTGGTGGGTTTCAGAGCTGAGGAAGTTGCCCTTCCTCTCCACTGCGGTGATGGCGGCCTGCAACGGCCTCACCCTGGTGGAGGAGACGGTGGTGGGAGATCCCCTGGAGAAAGCCGCGCAGCAGGCGGTGCAGTGGAGGAGCCCTGAACAGGGGGGGAGGGGTGGGGTGGAGGGTGGGGTGGAGGGGGGGGTGGAGTGGAGGGGGGGGTGGGTGGGGGGTGGGTGGGGGTAGGGGGGGGAGGGGAAGCATTCGATTTGGCCAGGTTGGCGCTTGGGTTTTTTGTGACCGCGGCATGTGCATGCATGTACACCACGCGTGTTGATGGAACGTGCCTTTTTGGGGAGGCTGTTTTGGAGGGTGGTGGTGAAGGACAGCCAAAAGGGATCCCGCCGCATTTTCCGGTGCTCCCCGAAACGGCAAAGCCACAAACGCGTCTCACGCAGGATGTCTGGCGCTGACCAGGCCACCTCCAAGCTCGGGCGCGGCGCCTTGGATACAGCGGTCTCTCTCTGAGACCTTTAGTGCCCAGTTCGGTCGTTGGCTTCCCCACCATCAACTCCCATCCGAATTTCACCTGGTGAAAGTGGAACTTTTAGGGGGATCTGGGGACAGCCCAGCACAGAGGGTTACCTTTTGACCAGGGCCACCGAAGAATTGGGCGATTGATTGAAAGTCTGGGCTGATTTGCAGATGGAAATCGGGCTCTGTTTTCGCAACTGTGCGACGGATGGCGAACTTACGGGGCCCTGCACGTCCGTACGTGGAAGCTTTGAGACGTTTCCATCCCAAGCTTGGGCCGAACAAGTTGGATGGGCACCAGCCAGACGGGTTCGTGAAAAAATGTTTCGATGGACATCTCGCACCAATGTCCTATATAATACGTCCGGCTTGCCGTTGGCAAAAGGGTAGGCGGATTCCAAACCTCGGAAAAAGACAAATGTCATGCGCCAGCAGATCCCTTTGCTTGGCGGGCAGGTTTCCTTTGTGTTGACTGGCTGGCTTTTTGAGAGAAGCCTTGCCAAGTTGGCAAGGGAAGGAAGAAGGAAGGCCACAATTCTGGGGATCCAAATCCCCATGTTGACAGATTTTTTCGCGCTGAAGCTTCGCGTTTTTCAGGACCAGATCGGCTACACATCCTTCGGCGATACCCTTTCGCCTCCGAGAAACTCGGCTTTTCCATGTTGGCTTCTGATTTCAAGTGGGTTTCATGTTAGCGGACAGGAGGGTAATCCTTATCATTTGAGATTGTGTTGCTTGCTTGGCGGATTTTGGTGGTGTGCTGTCTCTCTCAGTTGTCTTTGAACCGCTGCTTTCTGCCAAAGCTGATGGTTCCTATGTAAATGGCGATTTCTTTGCCTCAAAGCACCATGGCTCGGGTTTTCTTGCTGGCGCAGTAGGGAATGAAGGAATGGACCTGAAAATTCCCCAAACGGAAACCAAATCGGGGATGGTTCATTCCCTCATTCCCTGCCTATCGCACTCGGGTTTGTTGGCTGGGACGAGGCTGCAGCGAATGGCTGTCCTTGTGAGACACCGTGGGCCCGGCCTGGGCTTCTGCGAGGAGGCGGGGGCTGGCGTGTCGCATCTTGTTTTCGGAAAAGGGAGGAGCTCGGGTTGAGCGCGTTTGGGCCATGGGTGGTTTTGGCAAGATACACTCCCACCAATTAACATGGAACCTGACTATTTTTTGGGGGGGGTCCTGGTTTTTTAAAGGGACCGGGTCCCGAACGGCAGGTTCCATGTGAATTGGTGGGAGGGTACTGGCTCCTGGACTGGAACCAAAAAGCTTGGAATTGTTCCGATCAATCCACTCAGGAATCGAGTTTTAGCTTAGAGCGAACAGGAGCACCACCTGTTGGCAGGCCCCTCTTTGACGCTACTTTCCTTCGGACCAAAGGCCCCTTGAGACGAAAAGCACGGCAGCGGCGGAGTCGCCGGGACTTCCTTCACGCAGCGATTTCGGTGGAGCCCTCAAAGTGGATCTCGCAACCCATCGGTTTGTTTTTTCACCACGGCTGCAGAAACAAAGAAAGTAGATGCGCGGTCCGTGTGGCAAAAGCTGCTTTGCGAAAGGCATCGCGACCGGAGTCCGCCCCCGGCGACGGCTTTCTCTTCTTTTGTGCGTTGGTTTTCTTCTTTGGGTCCTTGCGGTTCAAAACAGAAAAAAACTTCAGGTAACCCTTCATTGGTGGTTTGGATTGATTTGGGGGTTCGAATCCCTGGCTTTTGTAGAGGGTAAATGGGAAACCCGTTGACCAAGCTCCCCAATCAAAGGAAAGTTGAAATCTGCAACCTCTTCATTGAGTTTATTAAAAACATTACATGATTAGAAAGAATTATAATAAGTATAGGAATGATTGAAAGATATGGTTCAATGATTGAAATAGATACTAGATTGTTGTATAATGTTGAATTAAAGCCGTCCCGTTCCCTGACCAAACCTCCAAAAGCACTCAGAGGGGAGATCTGCGATGCTGCCGTCCGAGGGCCGCGGCGCGGTGAGCGACCGGGTGCTTGCCTTGGTGAAAGGCTCTTGCGATGCCCTGAAGCCGCGTTTGGCGCAAGCGCCGCAGAACCTGGACGAGCTGCAGGAGAGGTCTCTGGCTGGGTGAATTTTAAGGACCTTACACGACCGAATTCACCCCAAATGGTGGTTTTTGTGGGAAAATAGCCCCCCAACCACCTTATTTCAGGTTGGTGAAATAGGATAATTCACCCAGATCCGCGGGAAAAGCGAAAAGCCTTGCCCAAAATTTTGGAAAAATCTGTGTGTGTGTGAGTGTGTGAGTGTGTGTGTGTGTGTGTGTGTGTGTGTGTGTGTGTGTGTGGGTGTGTGTGTGTGTGTGGGTGTGGGTGTGGGCGTGGGTGTGGGGGGGCGGGGGGTGTGGGGGGGGGGGGGTTCTTTGTTTAAGGTTGGGGTTCCCGAAAAATGTTGTGGTTTTCCGGTGGGTTTCCCCCTCAAAACCGAGCAACAGGGGGGGTCCCTAAAATAGACACACCCATACGTTTTTTGGAGTTGGCATAGCCGAAGCCAATTTTGAGGGGACCAAATCCCTACTTTGACTCACCGAATGAAGGTCAGGGACAGTCACTGGCGGTTTTCCGCCTTAAAACTCAAGACATGATTCTGTGTAGACCACTTTAGTAGCAGGTGTTGATTATGGCGCCCCACAATCCTAAGCAGCCCCATTTCCTGCCAAGGTGGAAATCGGACATATTGACAGTGATAGCAGGGTGGCGACCAGAATGACAGTTTGTTTTGTTTTCCGTCGAGTGAGTTGCCGAGTCGGCCCAGCCATCCTGGCAAAACCGCTGTGTTTTCCTTGGGCCCTGTGCCTTTGTTTCAATGGCCGGCCAGAGGAGTCCTCGATGTGTCCGTGTGCCTTCCCAGTAATGTTGACCCAGGATTAATAAACCTGTCCCATTATTAGGGGGTGTTCCCTCTAAAAGTGATGAATCCCCACTAAAAGGGGACACCCCCCTATTAATCAACCAGGGATTGTTTAATCCGGGGTTAACAATAGGTGCTGAGAGTTGGTGAAGATCAGGTGGGGTAGGCAAGCCAGGTCCCCAGTTGAAATGGTTGAAACCTCGATCCATGTCGACCGGGGTGAAGCAGTGCTTCCCCCAAATGTGGGGCACCCCCATATGAATTCAAAGGTCAAAAATTCCGCGTGCCCATTAGTTGCAGGCACAAATCGATGAAAGAAGCCTCCGCCAAGCTGAATACATGGGAGCAGAGCTGAGGCAGCTTTCCTTTGAGCTTCTCCCTGTCTTTGATACCTCCCACTGACGGAATCCATAAAAACGTGCCGATCAGAACCTGAAGTTTCCCAGTGCTTTGCTGGATAGCCAAGCCTTGCGCAAATTGAGACATATTCCATTTGTGAGCTTCCTTTCGGGTTTCCCAAACCGGCATCAACACCATTCTCAGTCATATGACGGCCACAACATCCAAGCATCAACCCAAGCCTCCTCGCAGGACCAGCTGACCAAGTCGGGCTTCCGAGTCCTTTGCTTGGCTGCCAAAGAGATGGCCGGGGAGGTGGCGAAGTTTGATGCTGAGGCTCTGGAGAGAGAGGCGGTGGAGCCTTGGCAAAAAAAAACATTAGCCGTGGCACCAGTGGGAACATGCTTTTAAAGCGACCTGTCAGGTCCCATGGCACCGCTAACATTCTGCGGGCAGCTTCCATTTCCATTCTTTCCATTCATCCGGATTTTTCCAGAAAGCCACCAAAAACCCCGGGGCAGCTGCTGGTGATTGAAAAGAACGATAGTTGGAAAGAATGGAAAAGGAATCAACCCCTAGACACATGGCACCAGTGGGAAAATACCAGGAAGATCCACATCCTCCCAAAGCGACCTGTCAGGTGCCATGGTGCCATGGCAACGTGGGGAGGGTTTTTCGGGTTTGTACCTTCCGCGATTTGCCTTAGCTGGGGCCCCCGTTCTCTCGTTGAAACGGGTTTCCCCGTTTTTCCCCGTGGCCCCGGTTTCCTTGGCTGGGGCCCTTGACTCTCGTGGGGTTTCCCCGTTTCCATCCGAAAGCTGAGGAGTCAGAGCTGCAGTTCTGCGGGCTGCTGGTGCTCCGGAACTCGGTGAAGCCCAACACCTCCAGCACCATCCGCCAGCTGCGGAAGAGTTACTTTGGTGCTATTTGCCAAGGGATGTTCGGACCTTAGGTGTCCTTTTTGGGCCCTGGTTTACCTGGTGGTTTAATCATCTACCAGGGCCATCTATTTCCCCTGAAAGGACACCTATGGTTAGGACCTGAACACTTTTTGCCAACTGTTAGGGGTTTTCCGTGAAAAGCCACTAAAAGTTGTTAAGCTTTTTGCAGGGGAGCAGACAGCAACCGAGGTTACCACCGGGTGCTGATGATCACCGGAGACCACCCGCAGACCGCATGCCAAGTGGCCATGAACGCCACACGACTTTGGAGTGAGTAAAACGCCTTTGGATGCGCAGGGTGTAACAAACGCAACTAGTAGTCTAGGGGTCTAGGGGTTGATTCCCCATTATTTTCAACCATCTTTCTTTTCAAAAATCGGGTGGTTCCCCTGGGGTTTTGATGGTTTGGAAAGAATGGGGAAGGTACACCTAGAACTAGGTCTTTGTGATTTTTGACTGACTGACTTCACCGGTTAGGATGTGGCCGCAAATGCACCCAGTTAAGGTGTGCATGGCCAACGGGCGGTTCCTGGTCTTGGAGGGGAGTGGTGACCTGGAATGGAGATATCAAGACCACGAGCAGCACCAGCAGATCCCCTTCAAGACAGCAGCCTCTGGGCTGCAATTTTGAAGTTTGCTGAAGAAAAGGCCACATTGGCCACTCTATTGGCCAGAGGCGCCTCGTTCGTGAACCACCCGCTCGTACGCAAGAACAAAAAAAATCCGCGCTCGCGTGACGAAAATTTCGGATCCGAGTTCTGAGGAGCTGCTGGACTTGGCTCGGAGCCACACGCTTTGTGTGCCCGGCTCGGCGTTGGCCAAGCTGCGGCAAGAGGAAGTCGAAGAAGCCTGGCTGATGGGTCTAACTTGTGTTTGGTGTTTGGGTTGGAGCCAACGGCCGCCATTTCTGGGGGGGGGGGGGCGATTTTTAAGACTAAGACACTCCCAGAGTGGTTTTTGGGTTTAGTTTCTTTCTGGGGACATCTGGGGACCAAAGGAATACTGTACCAATCGTGAAAGGACTTGAAAGGGCCTCGGTTATTTGAGTCATCGCTTCGGCATGACAGGTGCAAGAAAGGCCGTCGGGCCTTTACATTGTTGGGACAATGTAGATGGGGGTTGGGTTCACTGCAAATCAGGGGGGTGTTGGGTTTCCTCGGTTAGGAAGTGGTTGGAGCTGTGACGGTCTTTGCGCGAGTCTCGCCGCAGCAGAAGGAGCAAGTGATCTTGGCGCTGAATCAGAGGGCCCACACCGTTATGGCGCCATGGGAATCACAAATGCGGGTGTGCCTCTTTTTGAGGGTTCCCAATTTTTCTGGTGGGTTTAAAAGAAACCAAGAGGAAAGCCATGATTTTGGGAGTCTCCTGAAAAAGACACACCCATGTCTCAAAGCTGGGTCCTGCCTTGTTTTTTTTTGTTGCGAGGGGATCCAAATGTGTTGGAATTCCTGTCCGTTGCACTTGCAAGCTTTTCGAAAGTGTGTCTCAAAACAACCCCCCCCCCCAAAAAAAAAAACAAGAAGTTTTCCCTTGTCCGTTTCACAAAATCACCCAAACAAATGAGGAACAAAAGGCGCCCCGAAAAAATCACGGAGCCACGGCCCAACGGAGCCTCTCCTCCCCCCCCCTTCCCCCCCCACCCCCCTTCCCCCCCGCACCTCGAGAGGTGGGGGACGGCACCAACGACGTGGGGGCGCTGAAGCATGCTCACGTGGGCATCTCCTTGATGACCACCCAGGCGGGGGGGCAGGGGTGCAAGCCAGAGAGCCGAAGAGGGGTGAAGCCCCAAGAGGCGTTTTCGGAGAGGCGACCATAGCTCTGTTGCCTAGTGGATTCCGCCCTTTGTCAACTTGTTTTTTGGGGGGCAGGGTTCCCCTTTAAACTCAACCAACCAAAAAAAAGATGCCCTTTTTTCCCGTGGCCGCTGGGCATCTGAGATAGAATAACACTCAACAAACAGTCCAAACGTTTTGCATTGACGAGTCCGCTTCCAAGGGATCACGCCATAGCCAGCTGCACCAATCACAGAGCAAGCGACCGTAGAATCCTTTGCCGGAGGGCGTACCGGGGATTTTCCTTGTCACACACCGACAGCCGACTTGATCCAATCGGCTTTGCGGAGAGGCGAGCGATCATGAAATGTATTTTCCACCAGAGTACCCCCCTTAAAATGGTGTACGGTTCCATGTCCACGTTCTTCTCGGTTCCATGGGTTTCTTGGCGAGTGGAGGGAGGGCCAGGTGTTTTTTTTACGCGCAGGTGGCGCCCAGAGCTCGCACTCAGCAGGAGTTGATGGCGGACAACGGGCAGGCGCCTTTGGTGCGCCTGGGCGACGCCAGCATTGCCAGCCCCTTCACCTACAAGGGGGACTCCATCAAGTGCTGTATCCAAGTCCTGCGCAGTGGCAGGGCCACCCTGTGCTCCGTTTTGATGATGTACCTTGAACTTCAGCTTGCTTTTTTACCCCTCGTTTTGGAACATTGCCATTGTCTTACTCACCAACACGTCGCCGCTGATGATTGTTTTTTTGTTTTTCTTTCTGGGTGCGGGTGCGGGGGTGTGGGGGTGTGCAAGCTTATCAGGTGACCCCTAATTGGAGGCTTGGATTGGTGGTTTGAGGGTTTGAACCTCTAAACCACCAAGCCAAACAACCACTTGGAGAGAGCGCAAGAACAACAACCAGTTGAGGGGGGGCAGCCGGGCTTAGGTACAAGATCATGGGTCTGAACTCCGTCATGTCCGCCTTCGCGATGTCCGCGCTGACCCTCGATGGCGTGAAACTGGGGGACAGCCAGACGGCCATGGAGTCCCTCTTCACCTCCATGTGCCTCGGCTTTTGCGTGGGGCAATTTAGCCATAGACTGTAGCCTTTGCCATAGCCTTTAAGTTTGCTGGGAACCACAAATTAACCAAACAAAGCAACCAACCAACCAACCAACCAAACCAACCTACCTACCAACCTACCAACCTACCAACATACCCAACCTACCCAACCTACCAAACCCACCAAACCCACCAAACCTACCAAACCTACCAAACCTACAAACCTATTAAACCTAAAAAAATCATTAGTCAACAGTTAAGCTCCCACAAGCAAAAGTTGAGCTTACAGCAGCTTTCCGAGGTGCTTCTTCCTGGTCTCGCGCTCGGCGCCAGCCAAGCAGCTTGCCAAGCAGCAGCCCATCAGCAGCGTCTTCGAGTGGTCAGTGATGCTGACACTGGCGTGTCAGCTGGTCATCCACTTGGTGACCCTCTTTTGCGGCTGGCAAATGGCGAACCAGTATAGGGCCAAAGACTTCAAGCGAGATCTAGAAGGCGACATGGTGGATCAGAAGGTCCTGTAGGATGGCCATCAGGGAAACTACCAAAAGAAGATGCCCTTCCCCGTGAAACCGGAGAAGTTACCCACGGACATGTCGGGGTCCGAAATGGAATATGGGTCAACCCCCAGATCTTTTGGCATGGGATTGCCAAGCCCTCAGACCAAGCAAGTTGATGTTCCTTCCGCCCGCGCCCGGCAAATTTCAAGGAGCAAACAGCCAAGCATCCAAGGTGATGTTAGAACTATGGGAGAAAAGGGGGAGTGTCTCAAAATATTGGACCAGGAAACCACCTAGCTACAAAAAAAGAGTCACCAACTTTGAGCATTGTAGGGAACCCCCAAAATTGTGGTTTTCCTTGTGGCTTCCCTTTGAATCCGTTCCCTGAATAAACGACACGCATATAGGAAACCCTGCCCAGGCGAGTTCGAGCCAAACTTAACCAACACCGTGGTCTTCGAGCTGATGGCAGCGATGCACGCCGCCTCGTTCCTGGCCAACTACGACGGCCATCCCTTCATGCAGCCGCTCTCAGCCCCCGATCCGCAAAGGATGGCTTGCCAGCCACCCCCCGTTTCAGAGTGAGCCAGATTTTTCAAGTTGGTTTTGCCTGGATCTGCAGGCGGCCGTGTTTTGCTCCGATTTCTGGGGTTCACCCCGGAAGGGGCAACCTGTTTGCAGCAGAAAAAATGGGCCTTCGCTAAGTGTGGTTGGCTTCTGTTTTGGGCCTTGCCTCCACCTCCCCCACGTTGTGTCTTCGCCACATATCAGGCCTCCGTCGGCTGCCAGGATTCTTGAAGCACAGGCCATGCCGTCCAAAGCACGGACGTTTCTCACTACCTTCCCCAAGCCACCGCTGAAACGAGGTGCTCAGGGAAACCGATGGCAAGCCTTCGAGTTATCCCAAAATCCCAACCGACGGATCTTAGGCGAACAGGCCGTTGATGTACAGCCTGGGCTTCTTCGTGCTCATCATTCTGGTCTGCGCATCTGAGCTCGTCCCAGGCCTCAACGAGTCCCTGTCCTTGGTGGTGAGTCCTACTCCGGACTTCCGGAATAAGATCCTGCTGCTTGCGCCCCGGCTGGAGCGACGTGCGAGCTACATAGCTGGCCGGTTGCAAGGGGCCCTTCATCCTTCCCACCCCTGATTTTTATGGGTCTCCTCCAAATTTTCGGGGGTCTCCTCCAAATTTTCGGGGGGGGGGGGGAATCTCCTCCACATAGTCAGCGGTCTGCTCCGCATTTTCGAGGGTCTCCTCCAAGTTTGCAGGGGTCTCCAAATTTTCAGGGGTCTCCCTGAAACGGTAAAAAATGAGCAAGACGTCCATTTCTTCTTCCACTCTTATCCCTGCAAATCAATTTCCAGGTGCTCGGCGACCTGAGCCTCTCCTGCTTGCTGGCCCGCAGCATCTCACAGTTGGCCCACAAAGCGAGGGGCCGCGCCGCGGAGACCCGGGCCAAACACCTGGGCCTCGCGGAAAAGATGTCCGGGCCCCAGGCGGACGAAACTGGGGGTCTCCTGCTACATGCATGTGTCAATACAAATGTGTATATATATATATATGTATATATCTATATGTAGATTCAAAGGGAGGGAGGGAGGGAGGGAGGGAGGGAGGGAGGGAGGGAGGGAGGGAGGGAGGGAGGGAGGGAGGAGGGAGGGAGGGAGGGAGGGAGGGAGGGAGGGAGGGAGGGGGGAGGGGGGAGGGGGAGGGGGGGAGGGGGGGAGGAGGGGAGCGGGGAGGGGGGAGGGGGGAGGGAGAGAGACGAAATGTTGACAAAGTTGTTTGGGAGTTAGGCAAAAACTTTACGTGATTTCAGGAACTGATTCGGAACTTCGACGAACGGTTCTGCGGAACCGTTTTGATACTTGTTGAATTTGCACCGCAGCTTCGAGGAACCCTTTGAAGATCACTTTTGCAGAACCCTCCCAAGAAACCCTTTTTCTCGCCAAAGTCCGCGGCTGTCCAGGCTGCCCACCCCTCCTGTAGTCAAACAGACGAGACAGAGAGAGAGAGAGAAAGAGAGAGAATCAGAGAGACAGAGAGACAGAGAGGGAGGGAGAGAAAAAGAGAGGGAGTGAGCGAGAGAGAGAGAGAGAAATGTAAAGGTAGGCTAAACATGGAACAAAGCCACAAAAGATTGTGTGGTGTTTTTGCACCTTGTAAACTACGTGTCCCTTTCGGGACCCCTGGGTTGAAGTTCACCAGTACATCCAAAAACCCTGACTTCCTATGAATCACCAGCTGGTGAGTAACACGGTGGAAGGATACCTCAAAGAAACACCTGCTTTGCAAGGATTTAGGCCCTCCAAATCAGCTGGTTAGAGGTCATTGTTCCACTGACCCAGATGTGTCCTTTAAGGGACCTTGAGCTGAAAGCAGTTTGATCTGGTCAGCTTGCAGCTACTTGGGCATTTTTTTGGTGGGTGACTGCTTGGCAGTCTTCAGTGTGGAGGCAATGCTTTGCAGTGAGATTTGATCAGAAGCAAACGATCGTTCTGTGTTTGTGCAGAATTCAGCTTGCAAGGCTCGGGGCAAACGGCTCCTCAAACAACGCAAGGCTACAGATGCATTTGGCTTCAAACTGCGCACTCTGGCTCATGGTTTAAGTGCCATTGTGTGGTGGTCAGGCAGGATATCTACCCCTGTCCAAGTTTCTGCACAGAGTGGTTAGTGTACTACGACAGTTCGCACTGAGACAACCACTGCGCCAGTGATTTTGGCTGGTCCTTTTTGCGGGTGTCGCAGGTCTGAGGGGCAAATCGGTTGCTGTGATTCAGTTTGCTGACTCACCCGAGGTGAATGAAGCCGTGCGCTTCAGGTGGGCAATGCTGCGCGGCGCCGCGGTGCGGGCAGCGCATAAGACGCACCGGGAAAAGCGAGCTATGCCTGGCTAAACGGGCCAAGTGGGGAAAAAGAATCGGGGAGGGAGGGAAGGTGGGTGTGTGTGACTGGGTTCGGACTGAGGGATGAAAGGCGGTTTCGTGAGAAATTTGGCGTCAACTCAAAGGGCCATGTCGGCAGGGGAGTTCTGGGCAAACGTGCTCCGAAAAGTAAGGCTGACCCAGGATCTAAGTAGACCCGTCCCATTAGGGGGCGGTTCCCTCCAAAAGTGGTCTGAATCCCCACTAAAGGGGGACACCGCCCTATAAATCAACCGGGGGTATATTAATCCGGGGTTAACATTAGTTTGCAGGCGAGGACGAGGACGAGGAGCAAGACCTGGACTCCATGATTCTTCACGTCGAGCTGCTTCGATGCGATAAGCAAGCTGTTGCAAGGCCAGCGTTACACGCAGAATTGTTAGGCAAACATCCATAGAAAGCCGTAGAATTTCTCAGGTAAGCTGGTAATCTCGAATTGCATAACAGGGGTTGTTGCTGGAAGATGCTTGAAGCAGGCCAAGGACCTGTGGGTGTGCCGGCTGGTGCAGCTAGCCCTGCACCCAGCCTGCGAGGAGCCAGAAGCACACCAGGCCAAGAACATTCAAGCGTTCAAAGCTCATGCGTGGGCGGGAGGTCAAAGAACAATGTGCAGCGAAAAAATCGTGTCTCCCACACCACAAATGAAGCTGCACGCTGTGCTCCGTGCGCCCAACGAAACCAAGCCAAGCAAAGCGCGGCCCTTAGACTCCGACGCGTTTGCGGAAGAGTCTGTAGCAATTGGTGGCTCCTGGAGAGCCCATGGTCAGTTCTGGCTGTGTCTCCGGGGTGGCCCCGTTGCGGGCTCACAATCTCAGAGGTGCATCTGGAGGCTTTGGCACGACTCGTGATGCTAATCAGCATTGCACGCAGTGCAGTGCGATGTATTCTCGGCTTTACAGGCTTTGCGACAATGAGGGCAGCGAAGCGGCCAAGTCTTTGTGCTGCAGGGTGCTGGGTACTGGTGCAACGCGCTGAGTCCGGGCGGACTTGCGGTGAACTTGAACAAGGAGCACAAGGTTGACTTGAGCTCTTCTAGGTCCCCCAGTAGTGCCCTCGTACCTTTTTTTGGGAGAGGGTTCCCCTACTAAAATAGACTGCAGAAAAAAGGGTACCCTTATTCTGACCTCTCTACTGGAGGACCTACGTAGTCTTTTCTGGCCTGGGAGCTGCTGTGAGAGGCGGAGCTTGCGTCGTGCTCTCCTCCGACTTGAGGGGGTGTCGCTCCTCAGCTGGGTGCAGCTGGGGTAGCTGCGCCAGCCGGTTCTTTTTGCAGCGCGAGCTATGTGGGGCCGGTTGCGTCGGAGTCGGCAGGGTCGGCGAGCACAAAACGACCGGAGCATCCAAGACCCGCAAAGGGATGGACGCTTGATGCTGAACGGCGTTCCCGGAAAGCCACGCCCGGAAAGCAGCATCGCTTCCAGCACGTGAAAATTGAAGAACACTGCACTCGTTACCATTGCTGAACCGCGGGCAAGCCAAAGCGGCGTCCGAGAGAGAAGAAACTCCGCAGTTGGCCACGCTATGAGACTTCCAGCCACACAAAAGGTGTGCAGCCGCCACAGGCCGCGTTCCCCTGAAAAAGGGGTACCCACAAAATAGAACATGTACCCATCATTTGGGCAAGTTAAGGCTTAAGCTGAGAAGCCAAAGCTTCGGAGGCACTGCTGATTGCCGTTTGGTACTTGCTTGTGTTGCACAAAGCCCCCCGTGACCTGATTGGAGTTTGGGCATGTGGAAGGTCACATGGGTTTCGTCCGTCCGCACCGAGTGAGGCACTTGCTGGAGTTTGTGAACTTCACCAGCAAAGCTCTGTCCCACGTGACCCAAGGTCTGGAATCTTGGCACGCACACGCGGTTTGTTTAAGCGCCTTAGAGCCATAAGCTTGCAATCGTATATCATGTCCCCTTCTGCGCAATAGAAATGTTGTTGCTTGCCATCAAACGGTTTGATGGTTGATGAAGGGTGTGGCCACCCTTCTGATTCTTTGCAGGGTCTTGGGTTCCCCCTGGTGAACCAGGCTTGATTCTCACGTGGCATCTTGGCAGATGAAACTTTGGAACCAAGCTGTCTGTGCAAGACTCGGTCCAGGGTTTGGCCTATTCAGGTATTACGCTGTTTCCGAAGAAGCAATTTACCCGTTCCAGGGTGGAGAGACTCTCCGCTGTCGCGACGCCGCCGAGGAATGGCTGCGGCGAGGCTTGCTGGCCTGGCAGTCTGCCATGCGCTTGGCGCTGGCCCTAGGGCACCTGGCTGCGCCGGAGTGGAGGTTCGAGGCACTGCGAGGCGGGGGGGGTCTTCAAACCCGCGGGCCCCTCGACTTTTGGATGGGTTGAAGGAAACAGAAGGGAACAAGCCTTTTTATAGGGTAGTCTATTTGCGTCGAAAGGCGCATTTGTCCCTTTGCTTCAAGTAACTCGGTCAACAAGTTCGAATGTGACACGTGTGATTTCCAAGGTCCATGAATTCCAAAAGGATACCAGTCAGACTTGGCCCAATGCAGGAGATGTTAGGCATCAAAACTCAGTTGTTGGACTTGAGTGACTTCGGGGAATCGCAGGGACACGGTTTTCGCCCAGAGCCTCGCCAAGTTAAAGCGGGGAGTTGCAAGCGACTGGGCGCAACCAGGAGATGTTCTTGCTGCGGGCTGCCACCTTCTTGGTCAAGGAGTGCCCAAAGTAGAAGAGGCCCTGCAGCAGGGCCGCTTGACTGGTCATTGTTGTCGCTTTGCCTGGCCTTAAATTGCCAAGCAATTCACACATCCGATTGACAGGAGACAAATCCGGCAGAGCTTCAAGGAGTGTTTTCTATGTGCGGAAGCATAGAAGCAGGGGTGTTTTTGTGTTGCGCCTGGCTGGCGGCTGGCTGGTGGGAAAGTAATCGCCGCACAGACGGGCTGCGCTGCGACTCAGGTTCTTTGCCTCCTCAGTGGGGCCAATTGCTGGGCACGGCTGGTGTGATTGTGCCGGCAGGGCCCAGGAGCGGCAGCCACGCGGCACCAGGGGTGGATAGCTTCTTGTCCCCTTGCTGATAGGGCTGTGGGTCAAAAATGGGGAATCCTTGCAAATGGAAACATGGACTAAAACCTGCGGTCCCCTGTTGGTTTAATTTTGACCCATACCCATATAACACTTGAGGTAGCTGCAGCCTTGCAGGATCGTCCACTGCTAGCGAGTTCCGCGCGCACTGCATGCCACACATTTATCAGTTGCAGTGAGACTGCAAGCTTGCAGTTCTCAACGAAAACACCCTGTGTCAAATGGCAAGCTCGTGCACTCATAAGAAAAGAGCAGCCCGCAGTTAGAAACAGCCTAAAGGCAGGTGTACGCGGAAGCTGCTCTCCATATTCTGTGTGCCGCGTTTGTGTGTTGCCCGCGTTTTTGCAGCCCAAGGCTCTGATGTGGCCTCAGCGACGGAAGCAAACGAGGAGCAGCTTGCAGCAGCCGCAGAGGACGCCCCGAGAGCTCTGAAACCAAGCGCGCCGTATTTTGCTGCGAAGTCCAGAGGGGTTGACCGTCGATGGTGCTCTTTGGACGTGCTTTTCCACTGTGGAAGAAAACCATACACTCCTTTCCCCAGAACTAGTTCCCTTTCTATTTGTTTGCTTTTTTGGGACTAACCAGGCAAACCATATCTCGCTTTTTGCTAGGGTAGTTCCAGCCAAGAATCCGGAGCTCCGGGCGTGCCGGCCAGTTCTGCAATCGCTGGATCGGATCGGAACGTCTTGATTTGCCACACACCCGGCTCCCGATGGTTTTTGGGCTCTCAACATGGGCTGTTTTTGAGGGCCCTTGAGGAATTGGTCCGGGTTCTTCATTGGAGGGCCCGGCCGCAGCGCATTGTAGGGGCCATGAGCCCCAGGGCAAGGACGCCTGCATTTGAGCAACCAAAGCCCATGTTGATCATTCTGGTTGGCTTCATGGGGGTTGTAGTACGTAAGGGCTATTTCCGGAGGTTCAATTCCTACTGCGGAAGAAGGCTGCGAAGGAAAAGCAAATGCAATGAGCGCGTATGAGGGTTAATGAAAATCCGAGATACGCATTATAGCCCACAGAATGTATGTATGTGGAATTGTGATGGAGTATAGTAATTGTGACAATCATGATTCTAATGAACTTTGGGGTTGGGCTAAGATAACATGTCATTTTTAGGTATATATAGATGTCATTTTATGTATGATATCTTACTGCAGCAGGTTCCCATGATGCTACGAGTCAATGGACATAAGAGACCTGGCTCATGACAAGTGAACGTGGCGCTCGGCCAGTACGGCCGGGGCAACCTTAACCATAGACTTGTGCTCATGAGATGCTTCGGTCGGCATCACCCTTTTTTGGGCCTCTTTTGCAGGTAAGTTCCCGTTTTGGGGCGTGTTAGGAGAATGCCCCGAAACGTCACGTTTCGTGAGGGTATCATGGGAACCCCAGATGAACAAACCCCTTGATGTTCATTGGGGTGTGTCCCGTTCTAGTGTGCATTCAGACCAGTTTTGGAGGGGCCGCCACCCCTCTAATCATAGGCCGGGTTGATTAATCCGGGGTCAACATAGGGAACCCTGTCAGTTGTTCAAAGCGAATCGACCTTCTGACCTTTTGGCTTTCCCATGTTTGCCCACATGTATTCAAGGTTCTAAAAGGTCAACCTTCTATATTCAGGTCCTTTGGGCAAATGAGTTTTACTTCAGTTTGGTTGAACATCGGGTAGATTGGTTCCAATCGTTTACCAGTGCAATCTATTTTACCAAACGGACACATGAATGGGTATGTTTCGAAGGGGACTCCTCGAAATCGCTGGTTTTTGTTTTGGTTTCCTCGTAACAGCGGTCGCTGCAAGAATTTCTCGGCCCTTTGGGCCAAGGAGGCCTACTCGAAGGCGGTACACCTCGGCGGCGGAAGTGGTCCGCTGCTGCAGCTGGGCGAACTGCACCTGGAGCGCGCGCGCCGTGGTAGGCGCGTGGCGCGGGGCAGGGGGAACTGCTTCCGATTGCTTTGGGCTCTGAACATGGGCTGTTTTTGAGGGCCCTTGAGGAATTGGTCCGGGTTCTCCATTGGAGGGGACCGGGGGCCGCAGCGCATTGTAGATAGGGGCCATGAGCCTTAGGGGGGGGAAGTCCAACCGTCCTTAGAGGTTTCTCAAAATAGGGATCCGGTTCCAAAAAACCGGTGGTCTCCCATTTTCCCCTTTAAAATTACCAAAAGCGGGGTCCACCATTTTGAGGAGCGCCCCTCCGGTTTCAGCCCTGCTTTCAAACCAGGGCTCCTGTCGTTTGATGCCATGAGTTTGCGCTGGTACCTTGAAGGATTGGCTGGTGTTCTATCTGCCTATGACGAACTATTCTTATGCAACGAATGTGTTGTATGCAGGCCTTGTCATTTTCAATTAGGCCATTCTACACAGGAATTCAACACATCTTCAAACTTTGTCGATCAAGGTTGCTTCAAAGCACGGCCTTTCTCTTGGGGAATTCTTGGACCCAATCAAATGAGTCCCTGTTTGATGATTTTAAGGGCCGCCCTGACCAAAAATGCCAGGAGCTGTGGGGAGAGCATGGGCAAAGGAGAATAAACTGAACGCATGTGTGTGCTTCCAGCACGCTGTCCAGAAATGAGCCGCCTCTAGGATCAAACCCCCCTTCATATCCTTTCATGATCCCGTGGTGTGTGATCTAAGAAGCCATGAGCATAGGTGTCCTGTTTAGGTTAGTTTGGCTAGAAACAGATGACACTTGTTTAGATTGGTGCTTTTGCATTTACAAGCCCACCCGTGTCGCCTGTCTCACCCTGAAATTCTACGATTTCCTCATTGATCTTTGACATTCTTTGACCATGCAGTTGGCTCGGAAGGCCCCCAAGTTGACCTCCCTTTCGGCCCATGTACAGAAGTCCTTACCTGACAAGAACACCAAGCGCCCCACTTCAGGGGGACCTCTCCAGACTGTCACGCGATATATGTCCCCTTGCGGGTTTTGGCTTTGTGTGGTTCATAGAATTTGTGTGTGTTTTTCCCGCATCATCAGTTGGATTGTTGGCTTGCCAATGGTCAGGCTACTCTTACTTGGCGGTTTGGGTGGGTGAAATCGGGGGGGGTTTGGACCCTTGCTTCTGAAAGGTCTGAAGTTTGAATCAGTGAAGGGCGAATTGGAAAACCATCCTACCAAACCCATCCAAATCACCAGTTAAAAGGCTGAATTATCAGTTTTAGTTTTTATCTCATTTCTTTCCGCATAATATTCTATAGTAGCTATATTATAGAAATAATTATTTCGTTGGTTTTGTACAAATTCATTGAAATGCCGCTCCAGGCCAATGGCTTTGGCCGCGGCCCACGCCTTCCAGGCAGCTGCTCGGGCGGGTGAAGGCGCGAAGAGAGAAGACATGTCGCCAGAAGGCGCGAAGGAAGACAGGGACGGAGGTCCAAAGGGTTGGGACCAAACCAAATCGACCTTTCGAAGTTTTTTTGGTTTTGGAGAAGCCCAGCAGTCGGTTGCGGCAATTTGTTCTTCGCGACTCAATCGCTGAGCCCTTTGATGTTGGCATCGGGAGCTGATGTTGGCATCGGGAGCTTCAAGGAGTCATCCAAATTTGATTGGCAGACCTATATCGCCCGAGTTGTTGTTTGGGGCAAAGCACGCAGCTCTCGACTGCAGGCACAGCTGATGTAGCGAGTTGGGAAGCACACGTCCATTTTGGCGCAGGGGAGGATCGTGCCACTGCCTGGTACAACTTGGCCTGTGTTGCGGGTCTAGCTGGGCAGCCTATAGCAGCAGCCAAAGCCCTGAGGACCGGGGCAGTTTTGTTGGGAGCTCTCCGGCATAGGTCATTGTCCCATTTGCTGAAGCGCCATTTGAGATAAGGTAAGAGTCATGGCGGGCATCAACACATGCCATCCCCACCCCCTAAAATATGGAATTGGGGGAGGAAGGTGACCTCAAAAATTCCATTTGTAGTTCCATTTCCTTTGCAAGGGCTGGAATTGGGATAATTGGGAACCTTCCCCTTTAGGGATATGACGCCGTTTTGGGACCTTGGTTCTTGCTCCTTCATGTGTCACACTTGCTAGGACGTGCCTGGGAATTCTGAAGCCAGCGTGCCATCAGAGTTGGATCAAGGAAGCCCTTTCAGACACGGAGCCTTGGTCAGTATACGCAGCTGTCTACCTGTGAATCTGCATTCGTTTGCATGCTGGCCAAGGATTTGCAGCAAGTAATTGCGCATCCAGATGTACAAGCAATCTTGACCAAAAATGAAATGTATGCTTAACAAACGCATTCGCTGACACCACGTTCGTTTGTGTGCTTATTCCCGTGTGTCTTTGTTTGTTTGCCCGTTTGTTTGTTTGGTCTTTGCATTTGTGCACTCATCGATGTGGCCGTTTTATCAACTTTGTTTTTGCAGCCCTCTTTTATTTTATCTCTTGGCAACACCGTATTGTAATGCATTTACTATATATATATATATATATTTATGTGTATAGATATATAAAAAAATATTTATAATTATGTAATTTATTTATGTTATTTATGTATATTGGTTTGTTTATTTAAGAAAAAAAATAATTGTTATATATGTATATAAAGAATTTTGAATATTTAAAAAACAATTATTTATAATTTTAGGAATTATAATGTTAAAGAAATAATTGTAAAATGATCGAAATAATTATTGAGAATACTAATTAATAAAAAGAAGGTATACAATTAATTTGTTGGATATATTTTTGAATTATATATTGATTTTGGAAATGATGAATATGTTTATGTTTGATATATTGGTGTATATATTGTTCTAAATGATGTTTATATTATATATTTAGATGATTTATTATGAACAATGATGATTGGGATATATATTTATTGGATTTTATTATTAGAATATTCATTTATATAAAATTAAAGAAAATATAATTTATTTAATATATATATATATGGTTTGTTTATATATATAATTTATCTAATATTATATTGGAAAATAACTAAATTTGAGAGGTAAAAAGAGTAACTATTGTTTTAATTTAAAATATGGAATTTTTAGCCGTATAAAATATTATATTGGTGATTAATAATTGTTGATTTGGAATGTTTTAAATTAATCATCTGTTCTTGAGATAATATTCGTTTGCTCCATTTAGAAATATATCTCTATTGGGGGACGTAAAGGCCTTGACCATGGGGTTATGTTTTAACTTATGTTATGGATTTTGTTTCTTTTCTTAGTGGATTCCTAACCAATGGTCATGTTATGTTTATCGGAGCTTTTAACCAACCTCTAGCTGCTTGGATTTGGATTCCTCTAAGATTGTTCCATCGTGGCTCCCCATGCTTGAAACCAAGAGGAATTTCATCTTGAGGATCGTCACTTGAAGGATCAGTTTTCTTTGCGCAGCGCCAGTTTCTTGCTGATTCTCAGTAATTAGGGAATGATTTTGTATATGATTTGTTTTAGGGATCCTTAGCACACCACAAGTTGGATGGTGAATGTTCTTGGTTATGTCCTTATCCCTTGCCCAGGCAACCCAAACAACAGTGAAACAGGTTTCAAGAAGCATAGTTGTGCATGGTCTTAGGTGATCTCCTGTTGGTCTCTTGAAAAAAATCAACGCCCAAAAAGCGTGCTGGTTTCCGGGCACAACACCTCCCCAAAATACCATATCTAAAGACCTCTAGGGGGTCCCCCAATGTATTATGTTAAGAACCGCCCAGAAAACCAACTGTGTCCCTCAACTATATATACCTTGTGTACTATAAATCTCTTTTACATAAAGTCATTAACAATTAATCGTAAATTCGTTTTATATAGCCCATTATAGGTGTCGGAATAGTTTCATCGTATAACCCATAGATGTTTACATAATCCATCCTATCGTGTAAGCCCCAATATATCATATCTTATCTCACACTGTATTATAGCGCCCCCCCCATCCCGTCGTGTAATCCGTCGCACCCCGTCATTTGCCCATCGTAGTCCCCTATATAACCCTCGTAGTCCGGTCATTCACCCGTTATGACCCCCCCCCCTATTATGGTCTATTCCACACCCACCATAGCGACGGATTACACGACGAGACGGAGGGGGAATTTATATAATTCATAATAAAATATAATATATTGGTAGCCCCTTAGGCCAGATAAACACCCGTGTATCGTACGACAATACCCGCGACAAAATCATTATGAGATCTATGACGGGCCACACAAAATTAAAAGACCGGATAACCCCACATGCTATGTTTTTCCCAAGGATGTGAGTTCAAATGTCCACACACATGTACCGTGCGCAAGTGGTTGTGCTACAAGCTTGTGGCAGGGCTCATGAACATCGCGGAGACAACTAGCATGCGTTCTGTCACCTCATCCCGCAAACAACTGCGCGAACCTTTTTTTACCTTTCTTGCTACGCTGACCTTGGCTCGGGCGCAGCTCATGCCACACTGACTGTCAGTTCCGGCAGCAATGCTTCGTGCGGACGCGTCGCGTCTGTTTTTCGCCAGCTGCGTAATGACGACACTGAACAAGCTCGGTAAACTTCTCAATCCGAGTTGCGTGGCTCAAACTGAAGAATCTCGATACGTGGCTCGACATACTATTTGCAGCAGCTAACGGCCAATATATTGCTTCAAGGTTAGCTACTGGTTTTGCCAAGCAGAGCCACGCTTCAAAGGATTCGGACAACATTTCGCTGTGATAGCTGCGTCATGCTTCTCATTCCGAGTCGCGCGGCGCCCAAAAATGCAATCACAGCAGCTAGTGTCGAACATTGTTTCATGCCTGCTCTAGCACTGGTCTTGCCAAGCAGAGCTCGTCTTAAAAGGGGTTGGCATGCTGTCTCGTAGCGTGCGCGCTCGCTTACCGGGAGTCCACTCACTGGCATAGCTCAGAGCAGCAGCCGCCGTCTGCTTGGAGATGATGTGAGAGTAGTACGCGTTGACAGCCAGCGCCGCCTTCTCGTGAACCTCCACGTGCCAGAGGACAGACCACTCATTCTCCGCGTCGGCTTGCATGATGACCACTTGGTGGACTTCACCTGGCCGTGCTCGGAGGATCCAATTCACTGCAGACGCAGGGCCTGCTGCTCGGATTTTGCTCCGGAAAGGCAAGAGGGTTTCAGCGTCGGGCACTGACAAGCAGCAGTCCACCGAGCGCTTGACTCGCATGGCCGATGCAGATTGCGGGTCTTGCTGCAGAGACTCATCATCTGGCAGCTGGACTTCGTTGAACATGACGAGCGCTCGCACAGACGGAGCGTCGATCTCTTGAATCGTCAAAGAGCCCAAGTCTGTGTCCACGCGTAAGTCGCGCAAAGCAGCAACCGGGCAGCCGCCGCCCAGAGAGCAGCGTGGAAGTTCCAGCATGTGGGGCGTCAGGTCCGGGCAGTCCTGGTTGAAGGGCAGGAAAGGCGTCAGATGGCGACACTCCAACTCCAGTATCTGCTGGTAGTCGTTCTCCCGAAAGGTGACTTTGCAAGTCCACAGTGCGCTCCGGAATGCGTTTCGCACTTCGGACCGCAGCTCTGCAGTGTCTTTGCAAGGATTCGGCAGCGAGTAACCCTGCTCCTGCAAGGCCAACTCGACGTGGTCGTGGTAGAGCACCATGCTGCACTGGCAGTCGCTATCCGCGAACACAGCGCGCAGGGCCACGCGCTTCTCTTCAGCAGCATCTGGATGTGCCTGCACAAAAGCTTGACAGATTTAATTTTTCATGCTGAATAACATTAATCAGAACATCCTGATTGACATTTCTGCGTGCCTGGCAAGGGAAAGCTCTCTTGCACGTGCTGCAGCTGGACAAGATCCACTCGTCCGTTTCGGACTTGACCGAGCTCAAGCCATGATCTGCAGTCCGGAGACGAGGAACACAGTGTCCACCTTCCGCAACTGCCCGGGGACAATCGTGCCCACGAGCGCGCTCAATGTGCTCTGCACTGCCTCGCATTCCTTCCAATTCCTGGTCGGAATGAGAGTGAGCATGCGGCAGTCGCCAGGCTCCATGATGCGCTCTCCAATGTTCTTGGCAAGCTCTTCAGGGCACTCCAGAATTTGAGTGCCTCGCCAGCTGCCAATCTCCCATGATCCTTCCTTTTTCTTCTCCACCAACACTTGGTAGAGCAGGATGCAGGTTCCAGCCTGGCAGGTCGCGAGCTTTTCAGCGTGCTCCCTCCAGAAAGCGCACCGCGCTCGAACGCCATTCTGCTGCACGATGGCATTGCAGACCAGAACGCGGCCTTGGACGGTGTCCCTCTCGATCGCGCCCGGGTTGTCGTCCACTTGCGCGGCCACACAGATCTGCTGTCGGTCTTTCACGCGAGCCAGCGACTGCAGTGGCACCAAAGGATGATGAGCAGGGACGCCGCTCCAGGGCAAGCTCTCCAACTTTTGGACCAACACTTGCGTACCCACAATGCCTTTGACGCGAAGGTGGTAAGGTAGCCTAGAAGTGGAGTACATCTGCGCAGTGGAGATCACGGTCGCGCCCGTGAGGGCGATCAAGTCTCCCACCTTGCAGCGTAGGCCGAGTTGAGTAGCTTGCTCTCCCCAAGCCTCCATATACACCACCTCATTCACTGAGTCTGCGCCTGCGATGTGCATTTCCAACTTCGTGGAAGATGGCGGCTGCGAGCTTGCTTTCAAGGACTTCTTGCCTTTCCGAAGGCGTGGCCGCCGCGGCGGAAGCAGCTTTGCTCTTCACTTCCTGCTCCACCATAATGACGACCCGGCCAGCGACTGCCGTGCCTTTGAGCCCACCATACTCCGAAGGCTTCAGCGACAGCGACATCGCGCGGTCTTCGTGAGTGGGCTTCCTGTTCGAGCTGCTTGAAATCGTTGCTAAGTCACACATGCACAGCAAACACGACAACCAAGCGGTACAAGCTCCGAGAAGTCTTGAGAAAACATGTGGATCACTCGGCGCTCTGCGATCCACGTGGATCTGCGATGCGCCAGACACAGACAGCCTGTGGGTCAGTCGCCATCGCATGCCTTGCAGCAAATGGCTTGAGTCCAAAGGGCAGTGGCGACAGACTGCTGCGGCCACGGCGAAGTAAAGTAGTAAGCAGTCAATGGCGACGTGATCCTGGGCGCTAGGCTAAGAATGACTGAAAGCAGCTTTGTGCCAAGGTCCCAAGGCGCCTCGGCATGTTCTTCGGCTATATGGTGTTCAGTCAAAACTCAAATTGTCGCTGAGGTCGAGACACGCGCAAGTCAGCAGGTCCGAGTCAATGGCCATCGTATGCCTGCCAGCAAATGGCTCCAAGCAAAAGGGCAGTGGCAACAGATTGCTGTGGCCTCGGCGAAGTCCTTTAGCAAGCAGTCGAGATGAAATGTTCCTGGGCGCCAGGCTGCGAAGGGCTGAAGCAGTTCTGTGCCAAGGTTTAAAAGTGCCTCGGGTTGTTGTCCTACTATATGGAGAAGCTCACCTGCGGTGTAGGGAAAAGTCTGCAAAAAACTTTAACAAACTGTTGATTGCTTTTAAATGGTGCTCAGAAAAAAAAAGATAGAAATCAAGCAGCCGCTGAGGTTGCAACACATGCTGCGTGGAGGCAGAGTCCGGTCAGTGGCCAAGACCACGCAGCCATTCAGCATCTGACTGCAGGGCCAAAGCTTCCGTGGCAAAGTGCTCCCGCAGCAATGCTTTCGCAGCGCCCAAGACCCCAGCGCAGCCAGGACTGCTCTCCAGCCTGCGTGCTCGAGTTGCCAGAGCGTTGGCGGCAGGCGTGCCCCGAGCAAAGTCATCGCAGTGCCCTTGCCGCAACCACTGACTAAAGCAGTCCAGCACGGTCTGCAACATGGAGTCGACCATCTTGCTGTCGTACCCAGCAGACGAAGCGGTGGGATCCACTCCCACAACGTCCTTCTCCGAGTTGGCCGCATCTCTCAATGCTTGCCCCGCCGCCGCAAGGGCAGACAAACCTTCTTGGGCAACGTCCTGCAAGTGCGCCAAGTCGAGCTCAGCCTCTCTCACCAATGCTCGACATGGCCCTCGCACTCGTGAGCTAGCTTTGCACACGCACGCTCGCCATGCGCCTTTGTGGCGTTCGATCGGCATCTTTAGCCAAGCGAACACGTCTCATACAACGATTCTGCCATGCGATCGAACTGCTCAACATTCTTCTGCAAACTTCTGACAACACTTCTGCAATCTTCTGCCAACTTCTGACAAAACTTCTGCAAAATATAAGTTCGTAACCCTGGACACAAAGCTTCTGCGAGCCCAATCTCAACATCCAACAGCTTGCCTCACAATGCACCCTGCCTCATGTACTCACAGCTCTGCACTTACACAAGCCTTGTAGACGACCCTTTAGACATCCGAGAAGTGTGAGGGAGTGTGAATATGAATGCGAGCGAATAAGTGACAAAATGCTGCCCCTGCCACACAAACACACACCCAGATGCACAGAATGCTGCGCCTGCCACGACTTCGGCAATGGCATCTCCACACCCAGATGCACAGAATGCAGCGCCTGCCACGACTTCGGCAACGGCATCGCCAAGTGCTGCGCCTGCCACGATTTCGCACGGCATCGCAAATACCCCTGCCACACAAACACACACCCAGATACAGAATGCTGCGCCTGCCACGACTTCGGCAACGCCTGCCACGATTTCGCAACGGCATCGCCAAAGTGCGCACCACGATTTCGCACGCCCCCCGCCGCGCGCGCGACAACATCCTGTCCCTCTAGACAGCTGCCGAATGCGACCCCTGCCACACAAACACACACCCAGATGCACAGAATGCTGCGCCTGCCACGACTTCGGCAACGGCATCGCCAAAGTGCTGCGCCTGCCACGATTTCGCAACGGCATCGCCAAAGTGCTGCGCCTGCCACGATTTCGCACACCCCCCGCCGCGCGCGCGACAACATCCTGTCCCTCTAGACAGCTGCCGAATGCGACCCCTGCCACACAAACACACACCCAGATGCACAGAATGCTGCGCCTGCCACGACTTCGGCAACGGCATCGCCAAAGTGCTGCGCCTGCCACGATTTCGCAACGGCATCGCCAAAGTGCTGCGCCTGCCACGATTTCGCACGCCCCCCGCCGCGCGCGCGACAACATCCTGTCCCTCTAGACAGCTGCCGAATGCGACCCCTGCCACACAAACACACACCCAGATGCACAGAATGCTGCGCCTGCCACGACTTCGGCAACGGCATCGCCAAAGTGCTGCGCCTGCCACGATTTCGCAACGGCATCGCCAAAGTGCTGCGCCTGCCACGATTTCGCACGCCCCCCGCCGCGCGCGCGACAACATCCTGTCCCTCTAGACAGCTGCCGAATGCGACCCCTGCCACACAAACACACACCCAGATGCACAGAATGCTGCGCCTGCCACGACTTCGGCAACGGCATCGCCAAAGTGCTGCGCCTGCCACGATTTCGCAACGGCATCGCCAAAGTGCTGCGCCTGCCACGATTTCGCACGCCCCCCGCCGCGCGCGCGACAACATCCTGTCCCTCTAGTGAGTGTGAGTGAGTGAGTGAGCGAGTGAGTGAGTGAGTGAGTGAATGAGAGTGAGTGAATGAGAGTGAGTGTGAGTGAGTGAGTGTGAGTGAGCGTGAGTGAGTGAGTGTGAGTGAGCGTGAGTGAGTGAGTGTGAGTGAGTGTGAGTGAGTGAGTGTGAGTGAGTGTGAGTGAGTGAGTGTGAGTGAGTGTGAGTGACTGAGTGAGTGAGTGAGTGAACGAGTGTGAGTTGAGTGAGTGTGAGTTGAGTGAGTGTGAGTTGAGTGAGTGAGAGTGAGTGAGTGAGTGAGACGGAGACGAGCGGGAGGAGGAGGAGGAGGAGACGCGGCGCGCGGACGACGAGCGGCAAAAGTAAGCATCCCACACAAAAATATGGGGAACAAATTTATATCATTCGCCAAATAAGTCCCGAAATATACTAAAGCCCGGACTAATTACGATAAGGTCGCATAAAACAGCAATCGCCCAAACAAAATAAAAACGAAGCCGCAAAATATTAGCCTCAACACCTCTACAAGTATTACAAACGCAAGCGAAATCAATCCAAAATCAATCCAAAAATGAATATAAAAATACAACCAAAATAATTTTTTACCTAAAAATATAAATTCCTATCTTGGCTGGCGGATTTTGTTCCCCTTCTATGAGAGCATTTGAGTCACATTCGAACCCCGGGTAATTGCCACAAATGGTTGTGGCCGCCTTTTCATTTCGTTATATGGCTCTGGGAAATGAATTATCTTAGTGTGAATAGTTGTTAATAAGATTATTTGTTATATGTTTATTTTTGGATCTTTCAAAATTAAGAGATGTTACGGGGTAAAAAATACATATATAATAATTCCTAATGTTTGAATGCGAAATAGCTTCGTGGAATTGTTTCCCCGTAAGAAGGTATAAGGTATATGTATGCGGTTGGATATGAAATTTGTAATATTGAATTAAATATATTTGTTATTAAAAAATAATTTAAATTCATTCCTTGGAATTAAACAGGAAGTCCGTACTCTCAGAAAGCCCTCTAATATGGAAATGCCTTCCCGTCTTTTCCTGGGGAAATGTTTGTCTCATTTTTTTTTATTGGGAAGGTACGACCATCTCCTAACATAGAATTTGTGCTAGGTGCCCCTCGCCACGGTAATCCTAGGGTTTTCCAAAAATTCTTCGGGGGGCCGGTTTCGAGTCTACACTTCCATGTAAACCAAAAACACGAGAGTGAATATACACGTTCTAACCAACGAAAATATCTAACATAGAACCTGAAAATGGGCCCTACACTTCCATGTAAAGGAGAACACGTGCGCTTAACCTTGAAATGCAGATTCGTCGTTTGCCATATTGTTCTTCGGGGGTTAATAGGGAAACTATGATTATGTTAGGAGCGGTTTCGTATATCCCTGAGAAAAGTCGTGAAGCGGCAAAAGTCGTGAAGCGGCCTTTCCCCGGTCGCTTAAAATTACGGTGTGTCCGCCCGCTAATGTAAAAAATACGGTTTCCGAGCTAATCTCACCCCCACATGCCCAGTTGTACGGCGTACGTAGGTGGGGTTCTGGGCCAGTTCTGGAAGGGGTGTGGGGGGAGTTCGGTTTGTGGTAGGGGGGAGGGGAGGGTTTTTGAGGGTTTGAGGGAGCCGTTGCCCAAACCATCGTCGGAAGTTAGCTACGTGTTCTGAAATGCGGAAGCCGATATAAAAATTCAGGGATTTCTATGTTAGTATTTCTCAAAAGCCTGGTTTTTTCGCCTAACCTACAAAAAAATACAAAATAAAATTTCGGAGTTTCCTATTTAATTCCAGGGAGTGTATCTCTTTTTGCCTCCCCCCGATAAACCTATCGTCCGCAAAAGCCGGCGTAAATTCTGGTGAATAAATCAAAACAAAGGATTCATGATGGGGAATTCTATTGTTTTCATGAATATTGTTCTAGTTATCCTTGGTAAATCAAATGAGATGGGGTTCTATAACAATAAGAAGTAAATCGAGTCGAGGAGGGAGTGTAATTACGAGTATCTTTTAAGAATTGAATAGGCAATATTTTATTAAATTTGTTATAAATAACGATTTATAAAAGAATATAAATGGGCCTAACACAAATATTGTATTTAATCTATTTTCGTATTATATGGATCATGATCTCAGTATCATAAAAAATATCGATGCCCAATTAATTAGGTGTTAAATATTGTTAAATTTCGGGACGATTCACTGTTAAAGTGGATTTAAATTCAAATTTCGGCTAAGTAAACCCTATAATAATCGGGCGAGTGTCCTTATCCAATGGGATGGATTCTCCCCGGGCATCGGTTTTCCTAATCCCAAATAATTAGTTGCCGCTAATCCAAGGACATAGATACGCGGGGGCCAATCCATCAGCCAATAATTGAGCAAAGTCGTGAAAAAGCGGTATTATAAGTTCATCCGAGCCGGAACCCAGAAGAATTTTCACCCGTCCAATTCCGGACCAATACTTATGACAAAAGAACGGATCTGCCGGAGTATTATCGGATTTTAGGATCAAAAAACAGCATAGCCATAAATTAAGGCAACGATTCTAGCGGACAAAGAGGACATTTGGTTAACATTGGTTTAATTTCCTTCCATTGCAGAATTTCCCCCCATCTAAATAATCCAAAAGCACAAATGAAACATTAAAAAAAAACCTTCTCCTATCAACAAACCTTAATACACACAAAAAGATACTCATTATCATTACCTATATATATATATATATCATAGCAATTATAACAACCCCCAACATCCTCAAATTCCAAGAAAATCACAATTCATATCTTCAAAATACACCAATAAAATCAATACCAAACAAATCACCATGCCAACCATAATTCCAAAACCAATATTTATTTAATTACCTTAATGTTTGTTTAAAACCAATATTTTCTCATATATTATTCTAAACTAATATTATAACCTAAACAAAATCTATTTACAAAAACAATAATAAATAAATTTATTCCTACCATTATAATATACAAATTTAATATAGAATTCTATAAATATCCAAATCAATAAATTCCAATAAAAATAATATTCAAATTATATAAATCAATTTAAAAAATATCAATAAAAATAATAATATAATTAATCTATCTGTATGTATATCCCATAATAAATTATAATAACTAAAAATATTCAAATTCTAAAAATTAAATTATCCTATTCAGAACACAAAATTCCCAACCACACAAAAACAACATCTTAAAATACATCATTAATAAACAAACCAAATAAAGCGTATCCTCATCTATTTCTAAACCGATTTTCCGACTAAACACGAATAAACAAAAAAGACAAACAAATAAACAAACAAATAGACAAACAGGCAAACAAACAGACAAGCAAACAGACAAACAGACAAACAAACAAACAGACAAACAAACAAACAAACAGACAAACAGACAAACAGACAAACAGACAAACAATCAAACAGACAAACAGACAAACAGACAAACAGACAAACAAACAAACAAACAGACGAACAGACAAACAGACAAGCAGGCCGACCAGTAGCCGAACAAACAAACAAAGCAGGTAATATCAATATAAACAATTTCTAAGAACATTTATTAATAATCACAATTGTTCTGCTCCGGGCGCTCGGGAACAGAAAAACAAACTCGGTAGTAAATATACTCCTAGCAATCTGTAAATTGTTCAGCATGCGTATATATATATATACACGAATACTTGATGTTTCTGAAGATTCAGTAGAAGCTCGTCTAGATCCAGTTGCTGCCTGGGCAGGAGTCATAATCAAAGCCGGGCACTGAAAGGCTCTACCCGCAACTGTTCATTGTAACTTCCCCATTGGATTCGGGCGCGTCTGTTTTTGAGGGCGCCCGTTTTCGTGGTAAACGGGAACCAAAAGGCAAACCAGGGTCCCCAAAGAAGATACTGCCATAGGTGTCCTTTTAGGTTGGAAATAGATGGGTTTTGCTGGTAGATAGGCAAACAAACACCAGGTAAACCAGGGAATCGCCCTCTATTTCTCGAGCAAAACCACGAAAAAGGACACTTATAAATACTGCTTCATCCCGGCCTGGAAGAGCCTTCAGCTGCCGAGCCCTCCTGTGAAGCTTCGCGCGAAAGCGCATGGGGAAGCAAGGATGCGGATGCAGACAAGGCCAACTTTGGAGACTCATCCCAGGAATCCGCCTAAACAATACCCTGGGCTCTAGGAATACCCGAAGTTGACTGTTTTACGTTGCATTTCGAGGGAAGCTTTGACCAAAAAAAAGAGCTCCGCTGACGGGACTCTGCTGTGGTCCTGAGTGCATTCAGCTCCTTGAGCAAAGCAACCCATCGCAGCCCCAACCTCATTCCGCGCCGCGCGAACGAACCGCCAGAGCTGGGGCAACTGGGCCACCGACTCCACAGTCGCATGGGAGGCTCCAAGGCACATCTGTGAAGTACTCCAACCTTGGCGCACTCCCAAGATGCAGACACCAAGCCTCTCCACGCAAGCGTCTTTGTGTTTGAGTCGGGAGCTGACCTCACCCGCATTGCCCCAAGAGTCTATCGCCCCAATTGTCGCTGTCTGGCTGATTTGCGCTGCTCCGACTTTCCAAACCTCAACCCCGATCTGGCGACGACCGAATTGCCCCAAGCCTTATCCGTCCTAGCGAAGCAACTGGCCTTGCTGAAGACTCAGCAGCGGGAACTCTCAACCGCTGTGAAACGCACAACAACGGATAAACAAACGTGCACAGATACAAACACGGTGCTTCCTTTGAACTGCCAAGCAAAGCTGAGTGAAGGTGCAAGCATTTGGTTCAACTTGCAACGCTGTGGCACCACGCTTGAAACCGAGGCACACGGCAAGGTGCAACCGCCAGGTAGCTATGCCACTGTCTAGCGCTCCTACTGAACCCAGGATGCCACAGAAAGCAACCCGGACAAATTGAAAGCGCACAGCAATTCAAGGCCAACGCATTTCGCAACTCAACAGGCTAATCCAGCTTGATCCCGTCATTGCCCTCAAAGGTTCGCCCTGTTGTTCGCGATGGCCGAAGAAGCACTCTGCGCGAGAGTCGAACTGTACCAACGACCTGAAAATTCAAGCACAATTCCTACCCTGCAGCAGTCGACTTTGAACTGACAAGCCAAGCCGAGTGAAGGTGCCAGCGTTGGGTTCAACTTGCACCGCTGTGGCACCACGCTTGAAACCGAGGCACACGGCAAGGTGCAACCGCCAGGTAGCTATGCCACTGTCTAGCGCTCCTACTGAACCCAGGATGCCACAGAAAGCAACCCGGACAAATTGAAAGCGCACAGCAATTCAAGGCCAACGCATTTCGCAACTCAACAGGCTAATCCAGCTTGATCCCGTCATTGCCCTCAAAGGTTCGACCTGTTGTTCGCGATGGCCGAAGAAGCACTCTGCGCGAGAGTCGAACTGTACCAACGACCTGAAAATTCAAGCACAATTCCTACCCTGCAGCAGTCGACTTTGAACTGACAAGCCAAGCCGAGTGAAGGTGCCAGCGTTGGGTTCAACTTGCACCGCTGTGGCACCACGCTTGAAACCGAGGCACACGGCAAGGTGCAACCGCCAGGTAGCTATGCCACTGTCTAGCGCTCCTACTGAACCCAGGATGCCACAGAAAGCAACGCGGGCAATTTGAAAGCGCAAGGCAATTCAAGGCCAACGCAGTGCGCAACGCAACAGGCTAATCCAGCTTGATCCCGTCGTTGCCCGCCAAGATTAGCCGTTCGTGATGGCCCGAGTAGCACTCAGGCTAAAGCAATTGCTTGTACAGCAAACCACTTGCTCAAGCCACCTGAACCCCCCAACCTGAACAAGAGTCGAACTGTACCAACGACCCAAAAATTCAAGCACAATTCCTACCCCTACAGCAGTCGACAGGTAGCTATGCCACTGTCTAGCGCTCCTACTGAACCCAGGATGCCACAGAGAGCAACCCGGGCAATTTGAAAGCGCACAGCAAGTCAAGGCCAACGCATTTCGCAACTCAACAGGCTAATCCAGCTTGATCCCGTCGTTGCCCGCAAAGAGTAGCTGTTCGTGATGGCCCACCTGAACCGCCCAACCTGCACAAGAGTCGAACTGTACCAACGACCCGAAAATTCAAGCACAATTTCTAGCCCTGCAGCAGTCGACTTTGAACTGCCAAGCCAAGACGAGTGAAGGTGCCAGCGTTGGGTTCAACTTGTACCGCTGTGGCACCACGCTTGAAACCGAGGCACACGGCAAGGTGCAACCGCCAGGTAGCTATGCCACTGTCTAGCGCTCCTACTGAACCCAGGATGCCACAGAGAGCAACCCGGGCAATTTGAAAGCGCACAGCAAGTCAAGGCCAACGCATTTCGCAACTCAACAGGCTAATCCAGCTTGATCCCGTCGTTGCCCGCCAAGATTAGCCGTTCGTGATGGCCCGAGTAGCACTCAGGCTAAAGCAATTGCTTGTACAGCAAACCACTTGCTCAAGCCACCTAAACCCCCCAACCTGCACAAGAGTCGAACTGTACCAACGACCCGAAAATTCAAGCACAATTCCTACCCCTACAGCAGTCGACAGGTAGCTATGCCACTGTCTAGCGCTCCTACTGAACCCAGGATGCCACAGAGAGCAACCCGGGCAATTTGAAAGCGCAAGGCAAGTCAAGGCCAACGCATTTCGCAACTCAACAGGCTAATCCAGCTTGATCCGGTCGTTGCCCACAAAGATTAGCCGTTCGTGATGGCCCGAGTAGCACTCAGGCTAAAGCAATTGCTTGTACAGCAAAACTTGCTCAAGCTACCCCCTCCCACCTGAACCCCCCAACCTGCACAAGAGTCGAACTGTACCAACGACCCAAACATTTAAGCACAATTCCTACCCCTGCAGCAGTCGACTTTAAACTGCCAAGCCAAGCCGAGTGAAGGTGCCAGCGTTGGGTTCAACTTGTACCGCTGTGGCACCATGCTTGAAACCGAGGCACACGGCAAGGTGCAACCGCCAGGTAGCTATGCCACTGTCTAGCGCTCCTACTGAACCCAGGATGCCACAGAGAGCAACCCGGGCAATTTGAAAGCGCGCAGCAAGTCAAGGCCAATGTATTTCGCAACTCAACAGGCTAATCCAGCTTGATCCCGTCGTTGCCCGCAAAGAGTAGCTGTTCGTGATGGCCCACCTGAACCCCCCAACCTGCACAAGAGTCTAACTGTACCAACGACCCGAACATTCAAGCACAATTTCTAGCCCTGCAGCAGTCGACTTTGAACTGCCAAGCAAAGCCGAGTGAAGGTGCCAGCGTTGGGTTCAACTTGCACCGCTGTGGCACCACACTTGAAACCGAGGCACACGGCAAGGTGCAACCGCCAGGTAGCTATGCCACTGTCTAGCGCTCCTACTGAACCCAGGATGCCACAGAGAGCAACCCGGGCAATTTGAAAGCGCAAGGCAAGTCAAGGCCAATGCATTTCGCAACTCAACAGGCTAATCCAGCTTGATCCCGTCGTTGCCCGCAAAGATTAGCCGTTCGTGATGGCCCACCTGAACCCCCCAACCTGCACAAGAGTCTAACTGTACCAACGACCCGACAATTCAAGCACAATTCCTAGCCCTGCAGCAGTCGACTTTGAACTGCCAAGCCAAGCCGAGTGAAGGTGCCAGCGTTGGGTTCAACTTGCACCGCTGTGGCACCACACTTGAAACCGAGGCACACGGCAAGGTGCAACCGCCAGGTAGCTATGCCACTGTCTAGCGCTCCTACTGAACCCAGGATGCCACAGAGAGCAACCCGGGCAATTTGAAAGCGCACAGCAAGTCAAGGCCAACGCATTTCGCAACTCAACAGGCTAATCCAGCTTTATCCCGTCGTTGCCCGCAAAGATTAGCCGTTCGTGATGGCCCACCTGAACCCCCCAACCTGCACAAGAGTCTAACTGTACCAACGACCCGACAATTCAAGCACAATTCCTAGCCCTGCAGCAGTCGACTTTGAACTGCCAAGCAAAGCCGAGTGAAAGTGCCAGCGTTGGGTTCAACTTGCACCGCTGTGGCACCACGCTTGAAACCGAGGCACACGGCAAGGTGCAACTGCCACGGTAGCTATGCCACTGTCTAGCGCTCCTACTGAACCCAGGATGCCACAGAGAGCAACCCGGGCAATTTGAAAGCGCACAACATTTCGCCCCAAAAGCCAAACACAGGTCACCGGTCCCGAATCTTTTTGCAAGCTGCTCTAATTTTTCAGGTCTCTGTGAAGGGGGACGTGCCGAGTTCCCGGCTTCTCTGCCCAGCCATGGTAGACTGCACAGCAATCCAGGCCTCAAGCAATACCAGCTTGCAAGTGCATAGTGCCTCTTTCCTTCTCCCCCCCCCCCCCCCCCGCAATTTTTCGCGTGTTGTGAATGAACCGCAAGGATATTCCCTCAAAGTAAACCACCAGTTGGCTGGTTTTTTGTCGGTCTCCTTCCATCGTTCCCATCGAACCCGCCCAGTGCTTCGAGCCCCGGGCCCTGCACCCCGCAGCTCGCGCCGCTTCCATCGCCCGGGGCTGCTGGGGCGCGCTGGTCGGGCCGCCGCGCGAAGAACCAACCCTCGAAGTCCAGCCAGCGGCAGGGGAACAGCGCCGACCGCAGCCGCCGCGCCGCGGGGAGCCGCGCCCGCAGCGCCTGCAACGGAGGCTTGAAAGTTGGCTAGGGACAGAGTTCGGACATAGAGCGCTGGTCAGGAAAACGTGCTAGAAACCGTGGCCACGACGAGAGAAACACATATCGGTCAACTCACACAAGTGCTCGCCATGCATCTTCATGGATTCGTACACCATACGCCTGCCATTTGGCTTCACTTGTTCCAAAGCGGGCAGGTATCAAAATAGGGAGACCCAAAAAAAATGGGCGGTGCTCCTTTTAAAAGCCGCCTTACAAGTTTAACCAACCTCCAAACGCAATTGGCTGAGCAGTTGTCCTTTTGGCTTCCCCTTAACAACCCTTGACATTGACATGGCAGCAAGAAACTTTGTTTTTGCAGCGCCCTACTACAAAATGGCCAGAACCCAAAACACAACAAAAACGTGATCCAACACCAACAACCTGATCCAACAAGAGCGAAGTACCCGCCGCACCACCAGACGCGCTGGATTCTCGCGTTGAATCGCAGTCGACCGCCTGGCTGAGTCGCAGGGGGTGCTCCAGCTGAAGCACCGGGAACTGCTCCAGGCCTCTCCGCAGCTCCGCCAGAGAGCCGCTCTCCAAATCCGTCGGCTCCAACGTTTTCGCCGGGAGCTCCCGAAACTCCTGGCGGCCCGAGCCTGGTGGGGGCAACCGAAAGCTTTTAAGAGGGATGGGAAAAAGGGTTCAAGGTGGGGCATTTCTCAAAAGGCGCCGATTTGTCCCTTAGAAACCATCCAGAAAGGGGTCCCTATCTTGAGAAACACCCACCTGTCGAAGTGTCAGAAATTTCTAGCAACTGCGACCCAGCTCTCCCTGTGTTTCTTCTGCAGCCATCTGGGTGGGTGCACGGGCGTTTGTAGAGAGAGGGTAATCGTTTCAGGTTGGGTGGCAAAGGGACACCAACGAGAAAGCCGAATGCCACCTGTTTTTGCGGGGGGATGGTGTTTGGAGGTATCCTTCCGCCGGATCCCTGAACTAGCGGACTGACCCGGTCGCTTCACCCTCCCACAAACGCCTTCTGTTACTGGGAGGGAGGGCCTTTTAACTCACCCGCGGATTTCCAAAAGCCGCCACCTCCCGCCCTCGGATCGATCCGGTCCGGCTCCGGACCCGGCGCACCCGGCGCCTCTCCTCGGACCGTGCCAGGCCAGCCTCCAGCACCACGTGCCCAAAGCGCTTCACGAAGCCCTCCGCATCCGCGAAGAAGTCGAAGGTGCACGCCTCCTGCCGCTACCGCGCGAGAGGAGAAAAAAAGGGGCCGCGGGTTGCTTTCTTTTTTTTGGGGGGGGGTCCGGTTTTTTACGGATGAAAACCAAAGGAAAACAAAAGAACAGGCCCAACAAAAAGACAGACAAACATGAGCCATGGCCAAACAGTCCAGATTTCAGCCCTAGGCGAAAGAAAAAAGTCCCCTCCTGGGGGGGAGGTTTACACCTCAAGAAGAATGGGTTCGCTTGGAGCTGATGAGGTGTGCTTCTGGCTTCGCGGTGGCGTTAGTTTTTTCTTTAGGCTTCGGTTGGGTGAGTTTTGGACTACTGTAGTTTTGGTTTGGGGCACTCCAAAACCACTCCTAAACAGGGATCCTTACATTATACACCTGAAAATTGCCTTGTAAATTGTGGTTTCCCTTTATTTTGGTGGAAAAAGCCAGGCAAAATGTATCTTTTAAGGAGCCCTGCTAAACCAGCCCAAAAACCATCACACCCTAAAGCAATAAAGCCGCTGCTAAACCAGCAGCACACCCAACAGCAGCCTGGATGTCAGCCCTTTGCTGAGCCGAAATGATTCCCAAACCAACCCAAGACCCGGCCTCAGGATCTAAGCCAGCCGAAACCCACCCCCATTGATTGAACCAGCCCCGAGCAACTCCCAACTGCCCCGTAGGCAGCCTTAGATCCAAGTGACGCCGGTGCTGGGGATGCGAAAAGCCAGCGCTAGGAAAAAAGAAGGTCCTTGGCAAGAAAAAAAACACACCCCTCTCCCTCAATTGAAGTTAGTTCAAGGTATAATAAAAGTCCGGTTCCCTGGCTGACGATTGGTTGGTTGGTTGGTTGGTTGGTCGGTACCTGGGTTGGTTGGTTGGTCGGTCGGTCGGTCGGTCGGTCGGTGGGTTGGTTGGTTGGTTGGTCACATCCCCCGACGTCACCAGCCTCACTTGACCCTGAGGTTGGCTATCGGCTCTGAGTCGGTGGCAGTTGGGAGTTGCACAGACCCTGAGTCGGCAAGTGGGAGTCGGTCGAGTGGTTGGACACACACACACACACACACACACACAGCCGCGCGAGGCCAGATCATCTCGGCAGCTGAGAGATCACATCCCGAAAGGCTTGGCGCAAACCTTTTTTTCCCCCAGCTCCTCCCCCCCCCCCCAAATCAACTTCCACACATCTCCTTCTCCGACCGGAAGGTAGCAGGCATCCGGTAGGCCTCCCATTGGCGAAATTGGTTCTTGAACGACCATGCTTGGTATCCGGGTATCCCCTTCAAAGGCAACCGAAAGGAGATTGTGTTGTTTAAACCACGGATTCAACATCTTCAACACCCAAACCCCACCCCCCACCCTCCTCCATCGCACTTTTTAGAACTGCAACACTGCAAAAGCCCAAGCAACCATTAATCCCATGCTTTTGTTAACTCAACTGCCTAGTTTTCACCCGCAAAGCCAGGCTAAAACATCCCGGGCAAGAGACATCTCACCTTAAAATTGGCAACCAAAGGATGATGTGTAAAACCTCAACAACAAAAAGGAAGGAACGGGTGCGTGTCCTTTTTGAGGGAACCCTTTTCAGCTTGGTTAGGTGGATTTCAGCGCACAAAAGAAGAAAAAATACGCAGACCCCCGAGCCCCTGAACCCCCCCCCAACCCCCTGACCCCCCCAATCCCCAGCCTGACGCCCAACCCCCCCAACCACCTCGCGCCTCCCACATGGGCAGCAGGCGGCAGTCCCAGTCCTCCGGCAGCACCAGGCGCCTTTGCAGCGCCGCCGCCAGCTCCAAACCGCTGGCCAGCACCAGGAATTGGCACCCCACCCCCTGCGCCAAGCGCCACGCGAGCGCCAAGCGCCAAGCGACCGCGAAAAGCGCGTCCGATTTTGGGAGTGCGGCGAAGGAAAAACCCCGGTGTTTTTTGCGCGCGTCCCCAGATCCGGATGAAGCTGAAAAAAATCAGATCTTCTTTCTGGGTGGTTTTATTTGGTGGGTTGGTGGGTGGGAGGCTTGGAGGGTTGGTTGGTGGTGTGGAGGCTTGAAGGTTTGGAGGCTTGGATGTTTGGAGGTGTTCCAGGCAAGATTCCCAATGCACAAACTCAGTTTTCCCATCTTCCTCTAGAACCAGGATTCATCCCCAAACCAATCCAAACCACACATTAGGGGCTGTGGCTCGGTTGCTCCCCTCAGGGTGGCAAAGGTTGATCACCTGATATCCCTGATATCGAAAAGCCGCTTGGGTATGTGTCTCAAAATAGGGAATTGAATGGTGGTGTTCCAGCTGATTTCCTTTTGAACCAACCCCAAGAAGGGTACCCTCAAAACAGACACACACACACAGAGAGAGATGTGTATGGCGATTCGGTCACATCAAGACCAGCCATGGGGCTATTGGGTGGGGTGTGTGTGTGTGTGTGTCCTTTGCCCAGTCTTCCCCTGAAGACAGGCAGTTCATAGTTTTGTTGCTTTCTCTTTGTTTTGGTGTGAAGGGATTTCGCTTCCTTTTGGCTTCCCCAACTCAATCGACTAGTTGAATGCTCCAAACACATCTGGCTCTGAATTCACCTGGAACCCAACCGCTCCGGACACAAGTTTGACATCGCTCACCTTGGCGCCACGTCGGCGCCAAATGTCTTCCCCCCCCCCCCGCCCCAACCAGCGACCGATTCGCGCCTCAACCCCCCAGCCAGCGCAGTCCTCCGCCCGGTGCCGGTACCGCACGAAGCCGCCGGTGGCGTTGCTTCGGAACTCTTCGGGCAGCACCGCCGCCGGGAAGTACTCGTCTGTGGAGGGCGGCTCCAAGAGGCGCGCCGAGAAGGGCTCGAACCAAACGTTCCGGTCACGGAGGAAGTAGACCTGGCCCATAGGCTTAGGTGAGGGGCTTGAACGGGGTGTCTCTCTTGATGGTGCCCTTTTTTGTGGGGCCGGTTTGTAACAAGAAACCAAAGGGAAACCGCCTCTTTGGGGGGAGGGGGTCAAAACCTTTGAAACGGCCGCATCCAACGGCTTCAACCCCAGCCACCGTCCGGCCCCGGGCCGGGTCGCGCCTTGTGCCTGCCAAAGTTGGCGTGGGCGATGGGCGGGCGCTCCAGGCCCCGCAGACGGGACCAGCGCAGCCAGAAGAAGGCGGCCCCGTGGGCGACGACTTCGGGGTGCAGCACCCGCACCGTGAACTTGGCGCCGTCCAGCCTCCAGTGCCGCCACCCGCCACGCGAGCAGAGACGAGACGGAGAGATGAGCCAAGCACGGCAGCTAAGAAGTGGCCCAAGAACCAAAGCAAAGCGCAGAATCCTTTTCAAAGGACTGCGCATCTCAATTTTCCGGGGCGCTATTGGAAGGCTCATTAAAGCGCGATCGTCGCAAGCAAGGCGCGAGCTGCCATAGGTCAAGTTCTCCATCAGCGAGAAGCAGCGGCCAGCTTCTATCTGCCTCACGGCCCAGTATGGGGTTGCCTTGCCGCACAAAACGAACTCGTGGAAGATTCAGGCAATCAGCCTCCCTCTACTTGGTGCTTTGGAGCCAGCTGGTTCAGAGGTTAAGTGATTCTCATTCACCCAGAACAAGGGACTCCAAGCCCACCCATCCAAAAAAACGGCTAAGGGGACCCCACCTCCGCACGAAGCGCCCGAAGATCCGCTGGTCGAAGAGGTCGAAGCCGCCCCCCAGGCCCGGAGGCCCCTCCTCTGCCGCCCAGGGCGAGTGGTGGGCCTGGATGAAGCGCTGGACCTGGGCCGGGATATGCTCAGCTCGGTTTTTCTGCGACCCTGGAAAAAAAAAGGAACCCAAACAATTCTTGGGGCTTGGACCATTTTTAGTGGGGCAGTCACCAAAAGAAGGGGGGAAACAGGGGGCCACTGAACAACTGAGTCAAGGTTCAGCTTCCCTCTAATTGGTGTCGGAGGGGGAGGGACTTGCCACAGGTGGCCCTTCGGTTTGGTGGTTTGGATGTTTGGTTTGGATTGGTTTGGATTGGTTTGGATTGGCTTGTTTTGGCGGTTAAAGGGAGTCGTTTCCCATTTGCCCTCCAACAACTACCTGAAAGGCCGGGGGGTGGGGGAGGGCGGGCTGCGGTTTTCGTTGAGGCCACCCCTTTCAGGGGGGTGCTTGCAAAGGGGCGCTTTCCCAATCTGTTTGGAGGAGAAAAAACAACAGCACACACACAGAAACAGAAACACACAGAGAAACACAGCCAGGGAAGCCACTCTGGGAACCGTCTCAAGTCCACGACCAGATCCCAAGAGCCTGGACGACACCAAAGGAAAGCCCCCGAATCCGACGAAGCCTAAGAGCCTGCAATAAGGGCTTGGCCAAAGCCAGCGCTCCAGGAGAGCTGCGCGCATACATGAACCCGGTGTTGATGTGCTCCTCGGAGGTGCTTTCTGCTTTTTGTTCCGCGGCTTTTCTCAATGGAAGCTGCCTGAAACGCAGCAAGCTGCTTCGTTTGGCAGGCAGCAAGGATTGTAGTGATTGCAAGTGCCATGAAAAGTGTCCAACCCATCCACACGTTCCTTGTTGTCTTCTACTGCTAACTGGGCGAAGTTTAGGACTCAATCGCCGAACCTCGATTGAACCACGGTCTTTTGGCCGGAGAAGGCGATTGCGCTCCGCTTCGTTCTCATGCTGTCGGCCCAGCCAACCGAGAACTCCGGATGGATCCGGAGGACATTCCTCCAAGGATTTGCCCTGAAACCACGAGCCATACCTTGCGCATCCTCCGAATGGTAATTTCGGAGTTGACATGCACCTATTTCTACACGAGGACATCAGCACCCGAGTTCGTCCTCTGACAGGGCTCAATGCCCTGGAATTCGGTGAAACATCTGAGGCGAGCCTGCGACTCACCAAGGCCATGTTTTGGTCATCTCAAACATGCACACACCAACTCCAGCTTCTGGGCTGTCCTCAGATCCCTTGCTAACTGTTTGACTTTTCTCGTGGCTTTCACGGACACCCGACCCCTAAACCAAACAGAAACCCAAAAACCTCGAGGGGATGGCTGGGAACCACCTCAAGTTCCCAAGACTCTTATCGTGTCGCAAGCCACTCGCGTACATGCACTTGGTTGCTGTTGACCCCTTGCAAAAAGTTCAACTTTTGAGGCTCAATGGAAAACCCCAACTTGATTTCAACCCAAAAGCTAAAGTCCAAAGATCTCCGTTACCCAATAGCAGTCAAGTGCAACGGCGTGCTCAGGGCTTCGGTGTGAGACTGGCAAGCCTGGCCTTGAGCTCGGCCAACTCCCTGCCGGAGAGCGCCGGTTTCGCGTCAAACAAATAACCGCGGCCCGCCCTTTGTTCGCTCACATCGCCCAATTGGCAACCAGCTCCAGGGTTCAGGGTTCAGGGTTTAGGGTTTAGGGTTTAGGGTTTAGGTCAACATGCGGAAGGCCTTCCCTTCAAAATTCAAACGGGTCGGTCCACCCCTCGGAGTTGCCTTAAAAAAGGAGCGGAGCCCTGGGCAAAGCGGTGAACTTTGTGGCTTGCTTTCCCCGGCAAAAAAATGCAAAAAGCCCAACTCCCTAAAACAAAAAATGCAAAAAGCCCAACCCCCCCAAACCAAAAATGCAAAATCCCCCCCCCCCGCCCAAAACAAGCTCAGGTGACATCCCCAACAGCATGCGGAGCTTTCAGCTGTTGGGGAAAAATGCAAAAATTGCCCCCCTCCCCCCTTTAAAAAAATAAAATAAACAGCCCCCAAAAGGAGCCGTCGTTTCGCCGCCCATTTTTGGCCCAAATTTTTCAGCAGCGCCCGCCTCTCCAGGGCCTCGCGGCGCTCCCGCTCCAGCATCAGCTCCAGGTCCAGCACCGTGGACCGCACCGCCTGCATCGATCCATCGCGGAGCCACGTGGCCGGGGAGGTCAGGGCATGGGTTGCTTGGGGTTGCTTGGGGTTGCACCAGTGGGAAAGCAATGTTTGTTTTTTGTTTTTTTTCTAGGGGGCTTGGGGCAAAAAGGGGGGGAAAGCAATGTTTTGTTTTTTCTAGGGGTTTCTAGGGGTTTGATTCCCAAAAATGGCTCTTTGGAGGGGAACAGCTCCCTATTGGCAAACTGGGGGGGGGGGGTGTGAATGTTCTGGATCCCTGGAAAGAATGGGGAAGCTACCCTTTGATTCTTACCCAAATCCACCCGAAACCTAACTCCCAACAAAGGGCAACCCCCCCCCTGTCACCCCCTTCCACAAAAGAAGACCCTAAACCTCAAAAAAGGGTCCCCCCCCCCGTCACTTGCTTCCCAACAAAACAACCCCAAACCTCAAAAAAGGGTCCCCCACCCCCTGGTCACCCCCTTCCCAAACAGGAGCCCCCCCCCTCCATTTGCGAATACGTCCACTGGAACAAAAAAAAAGGTGCCGGTCGTGATACATTCCCTTTAAAAAACGGCAGGGAAAACTAAAAAAAACTATTCATTTCAGCAAAATGGCAGGATTCTCTTGGGCCCTTCTTTTTCCCGAGAAAAACAAAAAAACGGAGGGCGGGGGGTCGTGCGCGAGACTCGCTTCTTTAAGGCTGGTCAGACCCGGCCTGGGAAGGCACGGAGGACTGAACGCTCCTGCAAAAGTCTGCACAAAGAGCTCGCTTCAACGCATTCATGCATCCTGGCAAAAAAGGGAACCCATTTTTTTGGGGGGGAAGATCAGTGTTAGTGGGGCAACAACTGAGCCAAGATAGGGGCGTGGCTCAAAATCTAAGAGCCGGGGCAAACCGCAGGTTTTAGTCTTTGGCTCCATTTCCAAGTTTACCAAGGGGCCATTCTAGTACATGTTCTTGAGCCACAGCTGACATGCATCCAGAGCGAGAGCAACCATGAAACAAATAAACCCCGAGCACCTTTGCCGCAGTGGGCCTCGAAAACCCGTAGTCCAGTAGTGCCTTCATTGTCTGTCTCGGATTTGGTTTGCTGTGCTCTTTCTAGGTTGCCGACCCCTCTGCAAAAAGCTTAACTTGTGAGGCCAATGGAAAATCCGGCCTGCTTCTCAACAAGTCCAACAAGTCCAACAATCCGACCTGCTTCCCAAAGATCCCACCAAATAGCCATAGAGGCTTGGTGCTTGCTTCTAGTTAAGTCTTCTGCGCCTCGATCCCGCGCCCGGCATGTTTTGCCTTCCACTCCCTTATTATACGCCGGAGAACCCGGCGCGGCTGCGAACACATCGCCTCATCAAAGCAGCCGCGCATTTTTTCCCCTCTCGCAAGCAACATGTGTCATAGGCTTGAAGCCATCAGAATCATTGCCATGCTCACACGGCGCGACGCGTCAAGAAAACTGCGTCCCACAAAACCGCGGCACGTGCCTCTCGCACAAGGGAGACCGTTGCACGCTGTCCCGCGCGGGTTGGCTTTCGCCTTTCAAACAGCAAAAGGAAAAAACGGAAGAAAAATGGACCGCCCGCGCAATATCTTGTTTCCATGGCCGTTTGGGGTGGCTCGCTCGCTCACTTGCTCCTTCCCATTCCTTGGTTGCTGCTGATCCCTCTGCAAAACGTTTCTAACTTCTTGCGGGTTTAGCGGAAACCCCAACTTGACTTCAAACCAAAAAGCCAAGGTCCAAAGATCTCCGTTACCCCCATAGCAGCCAAGAAACGCTTCCTGGCCAGCGGCTCCATCCAATTCTCAATGGCGCTCACTGCTCCTGGTAGGTGATGGTCACCGGCATGTCGATGGTCTCCGCGCCCCCGAACTTGAAGGTGCCGCCCCCGCCCACGCCGCCGTACTCCTTGGACCCCGCGCCCTCGAAGTTGTTCGCCGAGACACCCGCCTCCTTCATGTTCAGCGACAGAGCCGCCACGGGGTCCAACACCTGCCGGCAAAGCGTCTTCGGCCAAAACGGGTACCACCAAAAACACGGAAACACGAGTGTAGACATGTGTGTATGATATGTGTATATGTGCACATACAAAACATATGTATATATATATATGTAGGCAAGTGAGTACCTGCCAAGCAAAAACAAGACGTCAAGTGAGTCGCAAACAAAACCTGGTGCTAAAATGTGGCTCCCCCCAACCATCTTTGTTTCATGCACAACCCTTTCAAAACGCCAAGGCGTTTAAGCCGGGTAGCCCACAAGAGCCAAGCTCCTGACAACAGGTTGCCAAAAATTGCCATCTGAGTCACTTGCTCAAAACCCGGTATTAAAATGGTGAACTCAGAACCATGTAAAGAATGAAGAAGGCGGATATCCGCAGCTATTTCTGGTTGGGATTGTCCCTTACCAACCTTCAACCCGGGTTTTGATTGTGGCTCAAGTGACATTCGACCTGCTTCAGGTTCTTCCTCTTTGAAACCCTGCACCAAAACGGGTACCACTAAAAACACGGAAACACAAGTGTAGACATGTGTATTCTGTATACATGTTATGCAATATGTCATATGTCAGCGGTTCTTGTGGTTCCATCATCTTGGGGGTCGAAGTCACAGCTGGGCTGACTTCTGGTCTACACCTAGCAGTTGAGGGGCGATGTTGATGGTAAAATTGAAAAGAAAAAGAGACCTCAAAGAAAGACACGCTCAATTGCTTATGTTTAAGCAAGCAACCAACTTGAAACAAACCATCTGAGGAGGTGTAATCCTCAGGTACACTGGGAATGTGCTCCCAACTCAAGACCCCTCCAAGCGAGCGATCGTGGCTTTGCCGAACATGCATGGGGGGGCCAGCGTTGCAAAGGGGGAAAGGCCTTGCTGACCTTTCGGACAAGGGATCTGGAAGTCGCACCGCATTCAATCCAAAGGGTACAAACAACATTCCAAACATGTCCAAGGACAAAAACGTAAGATCGAGACCTATGCCTATCCAACAGCCTATGTCCTTCGCCCCTTCAAAACCTTGCACGGAACCAAGGGATTTGAATCCTGGATGGTGGGAAGCCTGAAAGAGGTCCCCTGTTCCAACTTCTATTTGTTTGGAGTTGGTACCCTTTCTGGGTTGGAGTGAAGGGAAACCAAAACGAAGACCACAGCCTGCCATGTTGTGGGGTCGCGGTCCCACATTAAGACGCATATCGTCACATACCCATTGTGATTTTACCTGTTGGACTGTTTGGTGGTGAAACGGGTGGTTTCCCATCTGCCCGCTAGAACCAGGGACCTCAGGGACCCAACTCCAAATTCCAACTCCAAACCACGGAGGGGCAAGCTCCGCAAGCCCCGCGAGCCCTGAACTCTCGCGCCGCGGCGCCTCGTCGTCCAAGCTCTCCATGATCTTCTCGAAAGGCACGCCGGTCACGTCCGCGCCGTTCACCGCCCTGCGGGGGGTGGGGGGGGGGGAAAAACGGGCCGCCGGGTTAGAGACAAAAAACCGCCAAGCCAGGAGCACAACTCTGGTACAAAAAAAAATAAAATGGAAGAACATGCTACAGTCGGTGATCTTCTCAAAATAGGGGGAAAGCTTCCATTTGAGAAACCACCCCAACATGGGCGGCCCTCAAAAACACCGCGTGGGGTCCCCTAGAACGGCAAGGGTGTTCTTTGGGTTCCCTTTGACATACCAACCAAAAAGAGTACAAGCAGTTTGGGAAAAACACAAAAAGGAACAGTACAGCATCGCGACAAGGGTGACCGGTTTCAAAGGCGAGGCTTAGCTTCTCGGAGAAAAATAGAGAAAAAAGGAGAAACCGGTCTCCTTTACATGTGATTGATATAGTGGCATGAGAACCATCGTGTCCAATCAGAGGCCATAGCCTTACCCGACTTACCCTAAACATCTCCTAAACCATCCTGCTGGCCATGCCAGAAATCGAAATTCTCAACTGGCAGGGCCAGACTACTAGCAGTCCCGGCGAAGAGCCGGCTCCCCTGCTTCTCTCTTGGCCATTGTTTCCAAACTGTGCATCAGTGTCCCACTTCTGCCTGGGGAAGCAAAACACACACAAAAAAGGCATTTCACACGTCTTCCTTCGTTTACTCCACCAGTGGAGTGCTCCTCCTTTCTGCCCAAAAGAGAAAACCACACACCAGTGGAGGACTGGCGTGATCATTTCAGCCAAAACAACTTCCTGGAGGGAGTGGTTGTTCAGCCAACAAAACAACACACCAGTGGAGTCCGTGGCGTGGTTTTCCTTTTTCCACCCCACCCCACCCCACCCCACCCCACCCCACCCCGCCCCACCCCACCCCACCCCACCCCACCCCACCCCACCCCACCCCACCCCACCCCACCCCACCCCACCCCACCCCACCGGTCGAAGAAAAAAAAGAAGGAAAAACAACGGCCCCGGCCTGACCACCCAGTTGGGCTGGACCCCTGCCACAAAGGCCTGGCCCTGGGGGTCCCCGGGGTATCGGCTCTGCTGGGTGACCTCCCGCACCACCGCGCCGTTGCCGCTGGCCCCCGGGGCGTACCGCGCGATGCCGAAGGGCCGCTTCTTGTAGGTCACGTCGTGGGTGGCGCCTGCCGTCTCTCGCGGTCTCGCGCGGTCTCTCCCCGACCCCGAAGAATCGGCCGCTGGAGGCAATTAATTTTCTCAAGGGGAAGGGCGAAGAAACGAAACCACGGAAGAGCTGTTCATGGGGAGACCACTTTCTAGACGTTTGAATGCTGGCCCATGTTTTAAACTTCGAGTCCAAACATGGGGGCCTTCCGAGTTGCTCTTGAAACGAAGTCCGAGGCATGACTCGTGCACACCACGGCGACTCAAAAAAAATGGTGCTTCCCGCGCGCCTGCGGCCCCCGCCGGGTTGCCCAAAGGAGGGTCCGCGTCCTTGGGCCCGTTGCGGAGCAAGTAGTCCACCCCCACAGAGCGCGCCACCTTCTCCCCGCGAGGCGCCATCTCCGCCGTGCCCACGAAGCCCAGGCCCATCTTGGCTGCAGCCAGCAGGGCGGCACCCACCAGGAACTTGCTCGCGCGACGGGGAGCCATGAGTGCAGCGTCAGAGAGAGAATTGAGCGACGACTTGGGCCACACGGCTTTCTGGAGTCAGCACGTGCAAACACCTCCAAGAAATGACCCCCGTGCCATAAAGCACCCACATGCAAACTGTGGCAACCTCATCTGATGGCTCAGGTGCAGATCCCCAAATGCACACAACAGCAAAGGGGAACCCAGTTTCAGTGCCCCCCCATAGGGGTTTCCCCTCCTTTGCATGCTGAAAGCCTGCGCCCTTCCTGCGCCCTCCAACGAACGACGCGCCGGGCTCCTGGACGCTGCCGAGCCGGCCGTGCTGAAGCTCCGCGAGCACCGGCCCGAGGACCCCGGCGCCGAGCGGCGCGAGCGGAGCGAGCGGAGCGCGGACTCCGAGCTGCTCCGACTGGGCCGGGACCTGGAAGGGCTGAAGGCTTCAAGTCACTTCGCGACTTGCGCATTCCCTCGCGTCAATGAGTCATGTCCCTTTCTTGGTTGGCGAGACACTTGGAGCGAAAAGTGTGACCCTCTTTTGGTGGGGTGTGACATGGAGAAAAAGGCCTTGAAGTCCCAAAAAGCTGAAGTCTGAAGATCCAACCCAATAGCAACCAAGACTTCAGAGACGAAGTTGGGGACACTTTCTGCAAAAAGGACTTTCCTCTTGAAATTCTTCGCCTGAACTCACCAAGGACCTCTCACCTCAAAACCCCCCGACTCGAAGCAGACCTTGACAGCGGCAGGCTGGCCAGCGGCAGCGAAACCAGGGGCGGCGCTAGCGCCGGCGCGGGCGGCGCGGCCGCGGGCGGCGCGGCCGCGGGCGGCGCGAGCGCCCGCCTGGCCTCCCGCTGCCCAACCTTGAAGCCCCGGCCGCCCACCTCCCCCGAGCAGGGCTTCCGCAGCGGGTAGGACAGGGACAGCCTCAGCCGAATGCCCCGCATGCCCCGCATGCCCCCGCATGCGGCGCAAGGGGCAAGCACTGCAAAAGGCTGGGGGGCACTGCAGCCCGAAAAGCGCTGGGGCAAAACGAGCGAAGGAATGTCTGCCAACTGACTCGTTGGCTGATTTTTTCCTGCCGATGCTGACTCAGCATCAAGTCTCGGAGTCTCGCACTTCATACTGCCTGGCGCGAAATCTCCACCATCCTCATGTTCGGCAAACTGTGCACTTCTTGTCCTGGCCCCCGGGCTGATTCGTCCAATCCTCCCAATGGCGTTTGCACATAAAGTGAGCACCTGTGCACCTTGGCGCCTTCACAGGGGCAAGAACTTGATTTCCCTCCTCCAAGCAGAAATTGCAGAGTCGATCCTCGTGATGTGGAACTGCCCTTGACGCTTTCGCCCACCCGACCTCTATCTGTTTGAGCTGTGTCAGGAACTGCTCATCTGGAACAGATTTCAGCTGTTCCAGCATCTGTTTGACCTTCTCAATGTCGTTCTTGGCCTCTTCCGCGAGATACACGTATTCACTGTGCGGTGTCCAGGCAAGCCAACAGATCATGATGGAAACTCCGATGCTTGCCCCGGCTGCCAGTGTCATAGGTAGAGACAAGGGTGCCGACACGAGATTCAGCATATAGAAAATGTGGACGCCGTCCAGGAATAAGATACACATAATTCCAGCAGCGCATGCGCCGCCGACAGCCGCTATGCCAGCAGCCGACCAAGGATTCATCACCGCCCATGATCGAAGGCGTTCTGTTTGAACTGCAAACCATTGATCCTCGACGCCCAATATCGAGTAGAAGTGAACCTCCATCTTGTCGAAGAGCTGTGCCATCTCTCGGAGGATTTTGGCCAGCTGGCCTTTCTCTGCTTTGATATCCGTGTCATCATACTGCTCACTGACTACCACTTCTTTCAACTTCAGCACTTTACGGATGGCCTTGTAGCCATCTAACGCTCCTCGAATATGCTCGAGCTTCAGGGTGACTGCAGTTGGACTATCTTCCTTTGCACTTTCTGCTGCATCAGAGCTAGCCTGACGCTGCAGCAGCTGCAAATGCTGAACCTCGTACTGAACTCGCTCCACTGCCAACTCGCAGTTGTCCAAAGAAGCTCTGAATTGCTTCTTTGGACAGGGGGAGAAGGGAAGGCAGCCTCTGCCCGGAGCCAACGCAGCCATGGCTGACCTGGATGGAGCTTGGCACCTGGGTGCTTTCGTGTGAGCCTAATCCTGGTTTTTGATCCAGTATGTCTGGTTTAGTGTGTCCTTGCAGAGCAGCTTGACGGCATAGCTATGTGGCTGTGGCTCAAAAAAAAGGTACTCAAATGGAGCCCTGGTAAGTGGAAACATGGACCAACACCTGCGTAACCCCAGCTGCTTAATTTTGAGCCACATCCATGTAAAGCGAACAGGCCAAGGTGCAACTAACATTATTGCACCCAAGCAACATCTGCTTTGCGCTCAGCGTCTGCACGCGGTGGAGGGCGGCATCGCACGCAAGCCAGCCCAGAAGGGGGCTCTAGCTGGTTCCTGTTTGCTTCTCTCTTGCCTTCAAGGAGTATTCACTGCAAATCTACCAAAATGAAAAAGAGGTTGCCTCTGTTTAGGGTTGGGTCTGCTTTCCAACTACCCAAATGTTTGCTTTGGCTCAAGTGGTGTGTGCGGTTTCTTTCAACGTTTGGATGATTTGCCTTCTAACCAGTCACCACCGACGTCTGTTTCCGGCGGCTACCTGAAGCCAAGCATGAGGCCACCGGTGGACCAAAAGGTCCCAAAAGTCACGAGACAAGGCCGCATGGCACGTCTCCTCGTCCCGCCACCTGGCATCCCACAGATCTCTCTCCGGAAAGAGGTGGTCCGTCATGACCTGCCAGGTCACCCGGGCGACCCTTCCCCGTGCCAAAGCAGATTTGGCCGCCAACCCGAGAAAAAAAAGAAAAAGAAAAAAAGAAAAAAAAACCTAAGAGGGGGGGGGGGAGGGGAAGTTATGCTCCGAACGGGCAACATAGACCCTAAGAATGCCCAGTTGAGAAAATAGACCCTAAGTCTCCACCACACACACACTGCCCTACACACAGCCCTTCCCCTCCCTCCACGGGAACCCGGCGACCCTGAGCCTCCAGGTCAGCATCCTGGAAGAAGTACGGAAAGGGATCCGACAGGAAGACCACATCCTCGCGGTTGTTCGCGGACCCAACTCTCCAGGGTTCCATTTCTTGACAATCCCAGGGCACACTTAAACGCAGCTGTTGTTCACTTCCCCAAGAGGAGAACCCCTGTGTTTGGGTCTGCCTTGGGACATTCAGAACAATGGATCTCTCCCTCTCTCTCTCCCTTCTCTCTCTGCAAGGTGTCAAGCTGTTTGCTCGTATGTTGTTCAGTGCCTCTGAATGACAAATTAAGGCCTGGTTCACATGCCTCAGAGCTGCCAACTGCCTTTAGCACGTGTTTTTTTTCTTTTTCAAGACCGTCTTTTGGCCCTCCGGAGATGGTCGTAGCCCTTCGGTGCGTTCAACCGAAGATCATTCAAGCCATGGTTTCTGGAAACTGCATGCGTTCCCTCTTTTGACCGCTGTCAAAAGGGGGCTGGCTGTATCAGAATGATGCACGGCCACAGGAATGCACGACTTCGCGGCTTGCGAAAAAGCTTCCGCCGGGCCCCTTGATGATCACCCTCCCCCTTCCGTTGCAAACAGGAGGCTGACAGGGATGCTTGCACATTTCGCGTGTTTGAATCAATTCAGCATCTTCGCTTCCCTCTCAAAGGGTGCACTACCTAGTTGAACCCATTTGGGTCTGGCTTAATTTGAAGGGGTTTGCCCTTCTTGGGATTTGTTGCAGGGGAGAGAGGCACGGCCAGGTTCCTCCATGAGGCTGAACCATTCTTCGCGTGGTTTTCCTTTTGGCATCCCTTTAACAACACAAGACAAGAGGTACCCTCCGAAAAAGACACACCACACAGAAAAAACACACACCCATGTGTAGTCGGTTTCAGAACCCAGGGAACCAAGGGTCTTCCGGGTGTGCAACTCGCTGAACGACGCCAAAGGACCAGCTTATTAATCTCACAACCACGTAAAGGGGCGACAGCATGACTCAAAAGAGTGTTTCCCAGTCGTGGAAAAGGCCCCGGTTTTTCTTGGCAAGCCAAAAAGCAACCCAAAACAAACAATTTTCGAGGCCCAAGTCCTGTTAGAATGTGAGTTCTAATTTGGGACCCTTTGGTGGGCATCATTTAGGGGGGTGTTGTATCCACCAACTCTTGAAACGCATAGCCAGTTGGCTGTGGCTCAAAAAACCGGTACCAAAATGGAACCCTGGTAAGTGGAACCAAAGCCTAAAACTTGCGTAGCCCCTCCTGTTTAATTTTGAGCCATACCCATTTGGGTGAGTTTGTTGGAGGGTGCCCAAACCATGCTTGGCCTATCTGCGTCGTTGAGGGACCCCCTTTTTGGAGTGCTTTTGTTCTAAAACCCAAACGAAGCCAGCGACGTTGGGGAAAGGCGGGGGGGAGGAGAGGGGAGCTCGGCGGTGGCAGGCTGGACGCTCTTGGGGACGCTGCTGCGGGGGGGGGGGACGCTCTTGGGGACGCTAAATGGGGTTTCTTGGAAACTCGGAAAAACCCTCCCCCCCCCCCTCCGCCCCTCTCCCCCCCTCGTTCCCTCAAAGGCCCCACGAAGCACCCCCCAAGCCCAAGCCCTCCAACGCCCCGCCCCGCCGTGTCGGTGAGGAGCACCTCGAAGCCTGCGGCCACCAAGCCCGCCAGCAGCCGCCTCGGATCCGAACGGAAGCAAGCGCCCCGAGAAGCCGCTGCTTCAACGGATCTGACGGCCCCGTTTTGGGGTCCAAACCAAGCAAAGGCTGGAAACAGAGGGCCTTTCGAGCGTTGGAGTTGGACACCCGCTTTTTCTTGGACTTCCAAACAAAACAAAAAACGAGAGTGGCGAACCACGCGAGAGAAGGGCGGCGACTCGAGAATTGTTCAAGGCAAGTATTGGACGCACAAGTTCAGCCAAGCGCGCCCAACCGCCGGCAGACAATCAGTTGACAATCAGTTCTGCACGAAAGAAATATATGCTGCCTTGCACTGAGTTTGTCTTTCGTTTTTTAGCATAAAATGAAGCTGAAAGTGCCTCCACCCGAGCACGACGCGACGAGTTGCCAGTAAGTATTGGGCATCGGTCCCAAAGTTGGCTTTTGACATTGAAATCCATCAAAATCCACTTTCAGGAGGTACATTCAAATTGGCTCTTGGTACAGGGATAAAAGAGGAGCTTCAGTCGAATCCACCCGCAAATGCAACACAATCTCCAGTGCCCGGCCAGCGGGTCATGTAAATGTCCACAGTTTCCTGGGTCACAGCATGTGCAGTCAAAGAGGAGGCCATTTTCGTCGGAAAACCATGGGGGGGTTGTCCAAATAGGACTTGCCAGGCTCGAGGGAAGGCCCGGTTTTGCACGTTCCTCGCTCAAGGATGAACATCTGGCTGTGAGTCAAACATAGGTACCCAACAAATAGGACCCTGGTAGGTGAAAACATGGACCAAAACGGTTTCGTTTTGATCCATCCCCATATCTTGGGAGTCGTGCGGCCTGCTCAAAAACATGTACCAACATGGCACCCGCAAATGGAACCAAGACTAAAACCTGCGTGCTGTAGCCGAGCTTCATGGAGCCAGGTGGTGATTCCCTTCCTCCGCAAGAAACTCTCGGTCCTGGGCCAGCACTCCCAACGAGGGCATTTTGTTCTACTCAGCCCCCTTGACGAGGACATGTGGCTGCGGCGAATTCAAAAAGCCGGAAGTCCAAAATGGGTTGCCCGATCGGTGAGTGGAAACATGGGTACCAAAACCTGCGGTTTGCCCATCCTGGTTAACTTTGAGCCACACCCAAGTAAGCAACACTGTACCTCTTGGCCCCCAACGAACTTACCTCTTGGTTTTGCATCATAACCCCTCTGCATACCTAAAGTAGCAACTTTCAAATGCAATCCCAAAGATCCCTTTTGGGCCCCAAACCGGTTTGTTCTTGTTGGCCTGTGTGAGTGAACTCGGATGGCCCGAGCTTGGAGACCTGGGAGAGCGTCCATTTTTTTTTGTCGAGGCAGGAAAGGGGGTGTACCCGTTGGTTGATGCAAAGGGAACCCAAAAAAAAGCCTGACACATACCCGCTTCACCCATGTTGGGTTGGTTCAACGGGAAGCCCAAGAAGCAAAACCACAATTTGGATTGTGTTTGAGGGGGGCCGCTTTTGGTTCGTTCGAAGGCCCATCATCACAACCTGGTATTAAAATGGTCTACCCAAAACCATGCTTCAAGAACTTCGCAGGCGGATATCCGCACCCATTTGGCTGTGGCTCAAAAAGAGGTACCAAAATTGCACCTTGGTAAATAGAACCGAAGACTAAAACCTGCTTAACTCTAGCTGTTTAACCTTCAGCCGCACCCTTTTAGTTTGCAGCTTGTCAAAGGCAAACCGAACCCCGCTTTTACCGGGTTCTGCTACAGGGATATTAGATTATACACCTGAACATTGCAACTTGTAAATGGTGGTGTCCAACTTTAGTTTGGTGGAAAAAGCCACATGTTTCAAACTTTTGGGTTTTCCGCCATTTTGACAGATCAGATCAATCTGGCGCCATGGGAGGGTGACTGTCCCGATCTGGGGACTCCGGGCTCTACGTCCAGCGCTAGGACCACGAAGGCGGGCGCCTGTCACCGGGATTCGCTCGGTTCTGTTGAGGCCATCCTTTCCAAAGTAAACCAAACAGAAACTCCTGCGACATATTAAAAAAACATCGCATGATTTTCCCTTTCTTCACGTAAAAAAACGCAGGGCTCTTGGGACAAATTGGCCTCTCAAACCAAAAGGAAACCATGTGATCCTCCAACTTCTTCAGTCTGGTCGGACAATTTACCCACTGGAAGCCAACTTACCGGCAAACTTAGCAGCAAGCGAAAACAACATAAAAAAAAAAAAAACATATTATTCTTCTTCCTCTTCTTCTTCTTCCTCCTCTTCTCCTTCTTCTTCTTCCTCTTCTAGTGGGGGGGCAAGAACTTGGAGTCCTCGGCCCCCCGGAACTTTGGGCAATCCATTTGGCTAAGACCCCTGGAAAACATGAGAAAATGTGTCCAGTAGTGATAGATTCCTTTTAAAACCAACAAGGGAAAATCATCATCATAATAATGATAATTTAAAAAGAAGTCTTAAGCAAATGGAAGTGGGGCAATCCATTGCCCCGATCCGCTGCTCGACTTCTCGACTTCGTCCGCTTTTCGTCGCTTCCGGGGCCCCGAGCCCAGCGAGGAGCGTTCAGGCGGATGGAGCTGAAGAGGTTCAGGGCCTGAGGAAACCCGACTTCGGCGCATTTCGTCTTGCTCTCCAGTACTTGGGTCCTGGTGTGTCCTTCAGATCAAGTCTTAGACCCATCCCCTGAAAAATGATGTTTCTCTGATCCCAAGTCCTGGCTTCTTGGAACCTTATGGGTTGCTTCCTTGTGGGTTTTCCTTCTGCGATTTTGTGACGCTGCGCGACCAAACGCCGCAACGAAGCTGCTTGGCTGCCCGCCATCTTGGCAAACTTGTCGCCGCCGCCCGACCACGTGCAAACCTTCATCGATGAAACCCAGAGAGGCAGGCAACCAATGCATCGACGGCGCTGGATGCCGAGGCATGGTCGCAAATTTGCGGGGGATACGTGAATGTGAAATGCAAACCTTCGATAGCAACCGGAACCTTCCGGATTCCGGACCCCGAGTTTTAGGGTTTCACCCCAACGTCTGTCACGGGTCACTGGATTTCCACAAATCAAAGGTTGCATTTTTTTTCCTGGTGGTTTGCATAGAAACGATCGCAACTTTTGGAGGTACCCCAAAAAGGGAAAGTCAGTCGCCCACAGGACCCAGAAATCCAAAGTTCACCTTTTGGCACCCCTACTAGAAACTGGGGCTCCCAAAAATGGGCGAACCCGAAACAAATCGGTCGTCTTTGGGCAAGACGAGAAAAGCTTGACATGACTCGGGGGAACGTCTCTCCTGCCCGTCTGTGCAGGAGAGAGACGTCGAGCAAAAGCCTGGGGCACCCGGCCAGGGTATTGTCCACCGCCACCTGTCTCAACATGTCGGCGGGCACTGGCCTCGGCGGCTCGGCGCATGGAGGCCGGTGGCGCCGGTGCTATCGAGCCCCCTCGAACTTCCGCGAGGCAGAAAACAGAAGGCGCCTCTAGGAATTGTTGACCCCAGATTGTTTCATCAACCAGTTTATGAATATGGTGATTTTGGGCCCCTCCAAGAGTGGTCTGATTCCAACCACTCAACCCAGAGACACCCGCATTCATATACCGAGGGACCCCTATGTAGGGGGGAGGGGGGACCCCCGCATATACATTTAAGCTGCGACCACAATCCTACCGCACCCCCCCCCCATATACATAAAAATCCGCTTTTGCTGGTTTTTGCCCCAAACATCAGCAAGAGACCAAAGCCAAGCAGGCCCATGGCAGACCCTGAAAAACTCCAGCTGCGCAAAAAGAAACGGCGCCCACACACAACAAGCAAATTAGGAGCCCTCCTGAAAGACGAAAGCAGCAGGCCGACCCAGCCGGCCAGCGCTAGGGCCTGAAAAAAAACACAGCTAGCGCAACAAAACGGCAGCCACACACAACAAGCAAATTAGACACCCTACGCAAAAAGTCAATTAAGAAAGCAGCAGCCCGACCAAGCAAACTGGTAAACGGCGAAATAAATCTAACCGCGCAAAAAAAAAACAATCAAGAAACAATCAAGTGGGTTAGTGACAAGCCCGAAACAAAAACAAACTGCAAAAACACAAAGCGCAGCGACACACAACAAACAGTTGACAAAAAAACAGCTGCCCGAACAAGCAGACCAGTGACAGGACCTGAAAACAAGCCGCGCACAAAAAATCCAGAAGCCCCACTAAAAACATCCCACTTGACGAAGAGCAGCAGCCCCGACCAAGCAAACAACTAGCAGGCCCTGAAAAACAACTTCGCAAAAAAAGGCACCCACACACAACAAGAAAATTGGAAGCCCTACAAAAAGCATCACATTTCACGAAAAGCATCAGCCCGGGCCAGTGACAGGCCCTAAACAAAAGCTAGCTGCAAAAACACGGCGGCAGCTACAAACAACAAGCAAATTAGAACCATTGAAGGGGCGACCGCCGAGGGGGTCATGGCCCGACCGGCGACGGGGTCGGGGCCCGACCGCCGGCAGGGTCGGGGCCCGACCGGCGACGGGGTCGGGGCCCGACCGGCGACGCGGTCGGGGCCCGACCGCCGGCGGGGTCGGGGCCCGACCGCCGACGGAGTTGGGGCCCGACCACAGGCCCTGAACAACATCAATCTGCACAAAAGAAAGGCAGCCACACACAAGCGAATTAGAAGCTCTACCTTGACGAAAAGCAGCAGCCCGACCAAGCAGCCCAGTGACAGCCCTGTAAAAAATCAAGCCGCGCAAAAAAGGGCGGCAGCCACACAACAAACCAGAAGCCCGGCGAAGACATCCCACTTGCAAAAAAAACAAGAGACCAGAAGAGCACGGGAGCAGGAGATTAAGGAACATGATTGAAACGTGTCTTGTTTTTTGATGTCCTTTGTAGCCACCTGTGTAGGTTACATTTCAGCGCCCGGTCGCAAAGGAAACTGTGCGTGCTGTCGGGCCCCGACCCCGCCAGCAGTCGGGCCCCGACCCCGCCAGCAGTCGGGTCCCGACCCCGCCAGCCGACCTTTTCCTGAAGCAGGATGTTTTGAGTAGCACTTCTAATTTGCATGTTGTCTGTGTTACCGCCTTTCTTTGTCCAGCTGATATTTGTCAGGGCATGTCACTGGCCTACTTGTTGGGCTGATGATTTTCGTGAATTTGGTTTTTTCTCCAACAGCTGAAAGCTTTGGGGCCTCAGCCCAGATAGGCTCCGGGGTGGTGCCGGACGGCCCTGAGGTGAGGTTCCACGAGGGTTCCACGAGGGTTCCACGAGGGTTCCACGAGGTTCTGCGAGGGGTGAGAGCACCGCTTATTTTTTTAGGTAGAGCGACTGTTTTGAATTTGTTCACCGTTTATTTTGGGCAGCTGGATTGTGTTCAGGGCCTGGCGCTGGCCTACTTGTCTGGCTGATGATTCTCGTGAAGTGGGAGTTTTTAGCAGAGCTTCTAATTAGCTTTTTGTGTGGGGTTGCCGCCTTTTTTTTGCGTAGCTGGATTTTTGTCAGGGCCTGTCACTGGCCTACTTGTCGGGCTGATGATTTTCGTGTAGTTGGTTTTTATGTAAAAATTCTATTTTGTTCGCCGTGTATTTTGTGCAGCTGGATTTTTTCAAGGCCTGGCACTGGCCTACTGGTCTGGCTGATGATTCTCGTGAAGTGGGCTTTTTTAACTAGGGCTTCTAATTTGGTTGTTGTGTGTGGGTGCCAATTTGTTGTACAGTTTTTCCTGGGCCTGTCACTGGCTTGCTTGGGCGGGCTGCCTTTTTTTTGTAATTTCGGCGTTCTGCAATAGAGTTTCTAATGTGTGTGTGTGTTTGTCAGCAGCTGCCTTTTTTCGCGGATAAAGCCATTGTTGCGTCAGGGGTCACTTGTTCTTACGCCCGGCGGGCTTAAGAACAAGTAGGCACTTTAGCGAACAAGTGACCAGGTCACTTGTTCCGGTTGGCCCCCACTTGTTCTTATGCCCGCTGGGCGTAAGAACAAGTGACCCCTGAAAACGCTTGGGGCTGGGAACTAGCCAAGGCTCTTCCAGGACTTGTGGGAGCAGCGCAGCGGCAGCGTCTAACACCTACACCAAGCAGCGTATTCGCTCTGTCGAATTACTTAATTCGTCGCACGGACGCCCGTCATCTCCATCTACAGACGGCATCACTGGCATCGCCAGCATCACCAGCATCACCAGCAATGACGTCTAGCTGATTCTCGCTCTGACGAATTAGCTATTTCGTCGCACGGACACCTGTCGCCTTCATCTACGGAGTGCGTCACCGGCATCGCCAGCATTACCAGCAATGACGTCTGGCTGGTTTTCGCTCTGACGAATTAGCTAATTCGTCAGAGCGAAAATCAGCCAGACTTCATTGCTGGTAATGCGAATAAGCTTTACTTCGCCAGAGCAAATCTCAGCTAGACTTTACTGCTGATAATGCCGGTGATGCTGGCGATGCCGGTGATGCACTCCGTAGATCGAGGCGACGGGTGTCCGCGCGACAAATTAGCAAATTCGTCGCACGGACACCCGTCGCCTTGATCTACGGAGTGCATCACCGGCATCGCCAGCATCACCAGCATTACCAGCATGAAGTCTAGATGATATTCGCTCTGTCGAATTAGCAAATTCGCATTACCAGGCTGATTTTCGCTCTGACGACTTAGCAAATTTGTCGCGCGGACTCGATCCACACACTGGCATCAACAGCATCGCGAATCCCTGGAGCACAATGAGTGCATACGCTAAGGCGCGCTGCTTGCTATCTGTTTGCTCTGCTCAAAATATTTAGAGGCACCCCTGCCTCTGTGATCCCAACAGCAACAAATCCGACACTCGTCGCCCTTCCATTTCAGCTAGTTCCTCGCGATGCCGGCGGCCTTCTTTGCAACGAATGTATCTAAATCGCAGCCCGGCCCCGCTTGCAATGATGTGGGAAACGCTCGGACTGCTGGGCGGCACAGTCCCTTGATCAATCAGCTAGCTCTCTCCCAGGCTTTCTCATCAGCACTCCCCTGCTGGAATTTTCGAAAGCCTGCGGCTATTGGTCTGACGTAGTGGATAGCAACGCATTGCTCCGTTTGCTCTGGGTAAACCAGCTTTTGCCAGCATTTTGCATGCTCAGTGAGGTCCATGTATCTCAGAACCCACGATCGCCACGGGGTGGTGTGGATCGACTTGAACCTTGGCCGGAGCAGGAAGCGATCACAGGGGCCCAGCTGAGTTGTGTTGCGCCTCGCTTACGGCGCAAAGCTCGTGCCCTTCAGCATGGCGCTGCGACGATGCGCTTGCTTGAGCTAGGAAACTAAACACCACTACTCTTTCGAACGAATGCTTCCTAGGGCTCATATCCGGCAGGCGTTGATTCAGCGTCACTTGAAAGCAGTGAAAACACGTACTTTGTCTTCAGGGCGGCCCTGCTCAAAGCAAAATGCAGCAAGCCCTATGCGAGCGGCGGTCGTAAACCACTTAGCAAGTAGATAGGGTCCGCGTCTGTGCTGCTGACTTCTTGGCACTTTCTTCTCCAAGAAGAGACCGAGGTGAGCGACACGATGCCCCAGAAGACGGTGGCGTCAGCAAGACTGACAAGCTTCCAAACAAGGCGCGCGGCGCTTCCCCCGAAGCAATCCCAGTGTTGACTTCGAAGCGAGCTGGAAGTTTGACCCTCATCACACTTTCAAATCTTGGGCCCTCTCGGAGGCGCGTGCTTTTACACATGTGCGATGCAGGAGCTAGACCTGTTGAACGCCGGTGGGGGGGGGGGCCTAATAGGAGAGACAATTGTAGTGGGTGTTGAAGTAGGCCAGGGCCAGCCACTTGAAGCAACCTTGACAAAGTTGGCGGATATGTCCCTGGGCTTTGTCCACGTGGTCCGCGCAAAGACCAGCACCTGTTGAGCAGCAGAAGAGTCTCACAATCAAGGAATCGGACACCATCGCCTCCATCAAGCCCTGGCAGCACAAGATGGAGCAAGTGACAGCCCTTGACAAGCTTGCTCAGCTACATGCCCACTTCAACACTCCGTACGAGTTCTAGGACATGTTTTTGGCAAAGCCCGTTCTCGGGCTGCTGCCGGAATGCGTGATGCGGATTGTTGGCACATGGGCCTCTAGAATCGCGCAACACCTAATTTGAAAGCATTCCAACACTGAGCCGCAAACTCGCGGACCTTTCCAGGTCCATTTGCAGCCATTTGCTTCTGTCTACCTACAATTGCGCCTACCTTCCATAAGGCTGTGACTGTATATCGCTTTCTTAGGTTCTCAGCCTTGGCAAAGCGCTTAAGACCCTTGGGGCGGCAAACGTGGAAAATGTATTACATACATTTCCCCCCCCCCCACTGGGCATACATTATGAAAGGGGTCCCCCGCATATACTGGGGTTGATTTTGGGATCAACATATGGGGTCAACGTTAATCTAGGGGAAGCTTCCATATCCATTCTTTCCAGGGATCCGAATCTGCTTCAGAAAACAATCAAAACCCAGGAAAAAAAACAGCGATCGTTCTTGAAAAGAACGTTGGTTGAAAAGAATGGGGAATCAAAACGACGCCAACCATTTAGGGGACCCCGATTTTCAGAAGCACCCAAATTCCCCTCCAGGATAACGTGCTCCAACCGACACCGCAAAAAAGCTTCCTTCAAGGATCCAACCAGTCTGACAGGTGGGTGGCTGCAACCAATTGGAACATCCTATATATATATATATAAAAGTCACGGGCACCTTTCCCGCGAGGCCGGGGCAACTGAAGCAGGTCGGCATTCTGGCGCCAGGCATTCAGGAAACTCTGCAGCCGCTTCACCTGCAAAATGACAAGGCTCCACCAGCCGTGAGCGCTCCGATGGCTCTTTGAGCAGCGAGTTGCGAGTGCCAAAATGGGGAAATACCCCAAGAATGGGAGTTTGAAACTTGTTGTTTCCGGAAAAAAGAAGAAACAAAAACGGTCAGACACACTCAATGGGATGCGGACTTGGCAAAAAGACCGGCGGGTCCCTCCTCCGGCCTCTTTCAGGCTCTTCGTGATCGCTGGATTGCCTGAGAGCTGTACACCAGCCCGGAGCAGGGTTCCGCTTTTTGACTACCCCGCAGTAGGCTTAAACCCAGGGGTGGTTCATTCCCCCAAAAGGAGAACTGGGTAGTCTAAAAGTGGAACCCCGGCGCGTTCTCTCGTTGTTCTTTTTCCAGAAAAATGCGATGGCGCGCGCGCCGTCCGGCCGGCGGAAAATTGCAAGAATAGATCTAAAAAATTAGCGGAATGGCCAGCCTCCTCCTTCGCCTTCTCCCTCTTTGGCATGCTCCTCATCATGCACCTCATCAATGGCAAAGGCCATGGCAACCACCAGGGTGGCGTCCACTTGCGGCCCCACCACCACGTGATACCGGTTCTCGTTGTCCGTCTGGTAGTAGCCTCTGCCCACGGTCGCCACCACGGCGCCTTCCCGGCTCTTGAAAGTAAAGCTCCTCTCACTAAAGCTGCCCTCAGCCTTCAGCACGGCATTATTTTCGCCCTCCAGGAAGAATTCGAAGGTCTCGGTCAAGCCGAACCTGACATCAGGTACGTTTGACTGCAAAAGGCGTTGAACAGTGCTTGCATGCTTCAATGTGAAAACAGCCACACATGTCCAAACCAACTAAGTTGCCAAAGTCAAAAAAAGAGAAAGAAGAAAAAAGAGAAGGAACAAAAACGAGAAACAAAAAAGAAAAGAAAAAAAAAGAGACCGCCGCCGAGGAACATCGCCTTGGCGATCTTCCCGAACTTCGAGCCGTCTGGGCGCAGCACGTCATAGGTGGGGGTCATGGCCACCATCTCCCGGTCCAGGGTGGCGATTTGGGCGCCGCCGCCCGTGGCGATGCTCAGCCGGTCCCAGACGGGCATGCCGTTGATGGGCAGGCGATTGCCCCCAGAAATCCGCAGAATCACCTCCCCGGCGGGGCTCTTCACGTCGAAGTCCTCGCCTGTCAGGGCTGTGGGAAATGGACGCCACTTCTGTACAAAACAACTAGACCACGGTTGGCCCGAAAGCATCACAGCCCGGCGATCATTCCCGCGCACGTTTTTTGCTCGATGTGGTCACGAGCAACACACAGCAACTAACCTTGTTCCTGCTATCTTGCCACCTATCGGACCCCCCCTTACACGAGTTTGCCAAGCACGTCAAAGATGACACATATACCGCCCTCGAGCAAAACAGTGACTACAACGCAAGTGACTCTCATGATGACTCTGTGCAATGACTCTCATGATGATTCTGCGCAATGACTCTCATGATGATTCTGCGCAATGACTCTCACGATGACTCTGTGCAATGACTCTCGTGATGACTCCGTTCAATGACACTCTATGCAATGGCTGTCATGATGACTCTGTGCAATGACTCTTGTGTGATGACTCTATGCAATGGCTGTCATGATGACTCTGCGCAATGACTCTCATGATGATTCTCTGCGCTCATGACGACTCTGTGCAATGACTCTCATGATGATTCGGTGCAATGACTCTCATGATGGCTCTGTGCAATGACTCTGGTGTGATGACTCTATGCAATGGCTGTGATGACTCTGTGCAATGACTCTTGTGTGATGACTCTATGCAATGGCTGTCATGCTGACTCTGTGCAATGACTCTTGTGTGATGACTCTATGCAATGGCTGTCATGATGACTCTGCGCAATGACCCTCATGATGATTCTCTGCGCTCATGACGACTCTGTGCAATGACTCTCATGATGATTCGGTGCAATGACTCTCATGATGGCTCTGTGCAATGACTCTGGTGTGATGACTCTATGCAATGGCTGTGATGACTCTGTGCAATGACTCTCATGATGCTTCTGTGCAATGACTCTCATGATGACTCTGTGTTTCACAGAGTCATCATGACTCTCATGATGGCTCTGTGCAATGACTCTCATGATGATTCGGCGCAATGACTCTTGTGTGATGACTCTATGCAATGGCTGTCACGATGGCTCGGTGCAATGACTCTGGTGTGATGACTCTATGCAATGGCTGTGATGATGACTCTGTACAATGACTCTCATGATAATAATTCTCCCAACGGAACACCTGACTTTTGGTCTGCCCAAGTTGCCCTGCGCTAGCTGCTATGTGCAAGTGCTCTGTGCAATTTGCTTTGCGCAGGTTGCTCTGCGCAAGCGACAGCGCTCTGTGCAAGTTGCTCTGCGCAAGTGCTGCCGGAGCTTTCGGGAAGTACTTCGCATACTAGTTTTCTGATTGAAAAGTTCCATTATGCAGCCGGAGCTGCAGGACTGTACTCCGCGTGCTACAGTTGTACTTAAAAGTTGCGAGTTTCCAGCCGGAGCTGCGTCCGCGTACTACGTTTGCACTTAAAAGTTGCAACTTCTGTCTAGGAAAGCTTCCGCGGACCAGGCGGGGATCGACCCCGCGACCGCGCGACTCCGAGAGCAGCCGCGCAAACCACGCGACAACTTGCAAACACCACTTCGCAAGCAACAAATTCGCCGCAGCGAGAGCGCTTCGACACGCACGATCCTCGCAGAGGGCCGCGCGAGCATATTCACAATCAAACACACTCAGTTTTTGCACATCGACCACGCCGATCCCCGCAGAGGGTTCATCCTGGAATGTCAAAATCGCAAGAAACATCAGTTGTTTGACCTCGACCACACGAATCTCCGCAGAGGGTCGCGCGCGCACCACAGAAATCGTAAAAAGTCCTCAGTTTTTTGACCTCGACCGCACGAATCTTCGCAGAGGGTCGCTCGCGCAGATCAGAAATCGTAAAAGTCCTCAGATTTTTGACCTCGACCACACGAATCTCCGCAGAGGGTTGATTTTCGTAGGGTGCTGTCGGCCCTACCCCGCCGCCCTAAAAAGAGAAGAAAGGAATTTAAAACTCGTCATGAGTGAGAACTCTCATGAGCATTGCTCCTCGCAAGTGACTCTCTGCTATGACTCTGCGCAATGACTCTCATGATGATGATGACTCTGTGCAATGAGTCTGATGATGATGACCCTTTGCAATGATTCTGATGGTGATGACTGTGCAATGACTCTGATAATGATAACTCTTTGCAATGACTCTGATGATGATAACTCTTTGCAATGACTCTGATGATGATGACTCTTGGCAAGGACTCTGATGATGATGACTCTGTGCAATGATGATAACTCTTTGCAATGACTCTCATGATGATGATGACTCTGTGCAATGACTCTGATGATGGTGATTCTGTGCAATGATGATAACTCTTCGCAATGACTCTCATGATGATGATGATGACTCTGTGCAGTGACTCTGATGATGATGATTCTGTGCAATGATGATAACTCTGCGCAATGACTCTCATGATGATGATGACTCTGCGCAATGACTCTGATGATGATGACCCTTTGCAATGATTCTGATGATGATGACTGTGCAATGGCTCTGATAATGATAACTCTTTGCAATGACTCTGATGATGATAACTCTTCGCAATGACTCTGATGATGATTCTCTTCGCAATGACTCTGATGATGATGACTCTTTGCAATGACTCTCATGATGATGATGACTCTGCGCAATGACTCTCATGATGATGACTCTGTGCAATGATGATAACTCTTTGCAGTGACTCTCATGATGATGACTCTGTGCAATGACTCTGATGATGATGATTCTGCGCAATGATGATAACTCTGCGCAATGACTCTCATGATAATGATGACTCTGCGCAAGGACTCTGATGATGATGACCCTTTGCAATGATTCTGATGATGATGACTGTGCATTGACTCTGATAATGATAACTCTTTGCAATGACTCTGATGATGATAACTCTTCGCAATGACTCTGATGATGATGACTCTTTGCAATGACTCTGATGATGATGATTCTGTGCAATGATGATAACTCTTTGCAATGACTCTCATGATGATGATGACTCTGTGCAATGACTCTGATGATGATGATTCTGTGCAATGATGATAACTCTTTGCAATGACTCTCATGATGATGATGACTCTATGCAATGACTTTGATGATGATAACTTTGCAATGACTCTCATGATACCCATGAATCCAACGGAAGAACCCTTCGCCATGCTTTCGGGAAAAAAGGGCCTAAGCCCAAGGCATTTTCCCCCCATTTATTTCAAGGGGAGATTTCTACAAGATATCACGGTTCTGTGGATTTTGGAGAAACCCCTTGTGATCCACCACAAGCCCGAGTGATCGCCTGTCATGGACAGCCCCTTCTCCTCCAACTCATAGGCGGTGCTGGTGGCATGCAGCAGCTCGGCATCCAGCGGCGCCACGCCTGCAGGGATCATGGGGTTGGCCGCCTGCGGCAAAGGCAGACCTTTGGCGTCCTCCAGCATGTCCGGCAGCGACTCCCCGCCTTCCAGTGTGGCAGAGAAAGGCGGCCGCAACGGAGACCCAGAACAACAAATACGGGTGGGATGGGACGAAATCCGAATTCGCGCCACTTTGCAAACCTTGGGTTTGCCATTGTCCAGTAGGGGTTGATTCCAGGAGCCGAGGGGGAAAGAAAGACATTAGTCTCCTTGGGTTTCAACCCACCGTATAAACAAGTGGTTGGGTTTACCTCAGGATTGAAGCATCATCCCACTTGGGCCCCAAGTTGCCATTCTTTTTCTGGGGGCTTTGGGAACATAGGTGGCCTTTTGGAAAAATTGATGGCCCTGGTCAATGGAAAAGAAAAAAATCTAAACGGGAAACCATGGTTTGTTGGGTGTTTGCAGGGGGATCATCGTGCCAGGGTTTCTTGGGTGCGAAGTGGATTTCGTCCATCCACAGTAGGTACCCATAAAGGGATTTGTAGGGGTCACCACCCTCCCCCGATTCCATTTTTGGGGCGGTCATCCACAATGGCTTGCCATGGCAACTGGAAACAAACACGATTCAACCTGGGGTCCACATCCTGGTGGTTGAATTTTGACCCATACCCCTATCAAACATTTTGGCGTGCCTGATCAACATTCCCTTCGGCCCCAAAATGACCTGAGTGGTGAAAGTAATTTTGTTTGTGGTTTCCAACCATTTTGCGTAAGACCTTATATGGGTGGTTTCTGGTAGGTTTCAGCGACACGTGGCCTTCCGCCGGGTTCTCCTCATCGTGGATCTCGTCGATGACCACGGCCATGGACAGCACGAGGCTCGCGTCCACGCCCTGGCCCACGATGACCTGGCAGCGAGAAAATGGCGTGCTGGTGCTTTTTGGGCGGGGAATCCGGGAAGGAACCCAGGAAAGTTGGTCCCCTTGAAGGAAACCGCCAGCTGGATGGTTTATAAGAAATCTTGCAAAGGCCCACGGCCATGACCAAATGTCATGGGGGTTGGGGGGCAAAGAGGAGAGGGGGGAGGGAGCCCAAATAAGCCCGTATTAAGCCCAATAATAGGGGGGACATGAAATGACCAAGTTGGTATCTTTTTCCATGGAATTGAAATATCAAGTCTTTGTGGTGGTGTCCAACCAATGGTGGGGAATCTGGGAATGAACCCAGGGTTTCGTCCCCTTTAAGGAAACCACCAGTTGGATGGTTCATAAGGGTTGCCTCTTTCCCTGGCCATCGCACCAGCACGGATATTCCAAGGGCCCGCGGCCATGACCAAGTTGCTAACTTGTCCCATGTGGGACCTATCAAATCTTTTTTGGTGGGCTCTACCCAATGGTTCATGGTGCCTCTTGATCAACCCCCACCTGGTAGTTGTCCACGTTCCCCCCGCTGAAGCCCTTCAAACGCGTCACCGTAGCCACCACCTTCCCATGCCGCGTCTTCATGACATAGCTCTTGTCACTGAAGGAGCCCTCGGCCTTCAGAAGAGGACCCCCCTCCGGATCATCCTCCTGCCACAGCTCGAAGGTGGAGGTGAAGGCAAACATCGCCTTCGTGATTTTTCCGAACTTCTGGCCGTCGGCCCTCAGCACATCGTATGACGCGGTCATGGCAAAAGCCTGGCGCTCCAGGGAAGCAATCTTGCTGCCGCCCGCCGAGGTCACCGCCAGCTTGTCCCAGACCACCCCAGGAATCGGCACGCGGTTGCCGCCGTCGATCTTCAAGACCAGCTCTCCCTCCGGCGTCTTCACCTCGAAGTCCTCCCCGGACATGGAGATGCCCTTCTCCTCCAGCACAAAGGCTCGCAGGTCCTGGCTGGTTCGGCCCAAAGAGGACCCAAACCTAGTTTGGCTCGTGGCAGAAAGGAAAGCCGTGAAAAAAGCCCCAAAGCTACACTTTGAAACCCCTTCCCAAACTCAGGGCGGGAAAAACAAACCTCCCCTGTGAAACAATGAGGAGGGCATAAACAGGTTCCAACAAACGGGATCCAGCTTGCGCCAAAGGACAATCATTTGCGTAGCATCTCCATTTAAGCGCATGCGTGAAAAATTCAACAGCTCAGCCAAAAAACAGAAACAAGTGGGGTTGTTCTCCGTAAATCCCTGGGAGCAAATGGGAGGTTTCCCGTGAATCAAGTTGACCCCCCGGGAAAAAAAAGACAAGAAAAGAGAAAACACATCCAACCAGGGTGCCACTTTTTGACTGCCAAGGCAGAAACCAGCCACTGGGTTTACATGGGTTGGTCTCAAAATAGCGAACCCTGACAAAAATGTGTGGTTTCCTTCTCAGTCCCAGCAAAAACAAAAAGTATTGGAAATGGTCATTATTGATATACACATGAGTGTGCCTTTTTTGAACCCGCCACATATTTGGCATTACGCCAAAATGTTTGATGGTAAGGAGATGGTCACAATTCAACCACCAGACAAACGGGATATGGACCGCAGGTTAAATCGTGCTTGTTTCCAGTTGCCATGGCAAGCCATTGTGGATCCCCGCCTCACAAATTGGCGGAGGGTGGTGACCCCTACAAATCCCTTTATGGGTACCTGCTGTGGATGGACGAAATCCACTTCGCACCCAAGAAACCCTGGCACGATGATTCCCCTGCAAACACCCAATAAACCATGGTTTTTCAAGGTTTCAAAGCGGCGCGAAATGGATTTCCTCCATGCACATTTTGAGAAAATACAAGATTCCATGGTTGGGTACCGATTTTTCACCTAGGTCCTTTTTAACCCTTTTGGGTTGGGGTTCAGGAAAAAAATCGAGTACCAACTTATTCTAACCTCTCAAATCTGGAGGACCTAGTTGTAATACTATCCCTGGTCATAGGTGTCCTTTTAGGGGAAATAGATGGGTTTCCCTGGTAGATGAGCAAAAACCACCAAGTAAATACCAGGAATCGCCATCTATTTGTCTCTGCAAAAAACCACCAAAAAGGACACCTATGCTGATCCCCATTCTTTTCTTCTCAATAACCAGCCGTTTTCCCTGGGTGTCCGGAGGTTTTCCAGAAAGATCCAAATGGATCCCTGGGTTTAGAATGGAAATGGAAGGTACCCTGAGAGTACACCTATGTCCCTGGTGTTTTTTCTTTGTCAATTTTACCGCTCCTGCGTCACGAGCTCAGGGTCCAGCGGCGCGCAGCTGTGGGGCACGGGCTCCTCCGCCGCCTCCGGCATGGGCACGCCAACCGCCTCCTGACGGGCGGAGGAGGGGGTGGGGGGGGAGTGGTGGGGTGGGGGTTGGGCTTTGAATCTGGCTTTATATAACCCCCTCCTAAAAAACACAAAATGGAAACATGGGCGGCTGTCCTTTTGCTTTCCCTCCTTTAGAAAAACTCGGACCAAAAGGAGGTTCGGTAAGTTGTAGGCATGTCAAATTCAACCATGTTGAAAACCAGCAGCCGTCTCAGGACGGAAGACAAAACGCATGAAGCTATGGTTCCAACATCTTAGGGGGCCTTTGCAACCCTTGGTATGGGCTTGCAAAAGAAACTGACGCTGCTGTCTTGCCGCCTGCCAAAAAGGAAGGGAACCCCAAAAAACAACACAAACCAAAAAAAAACAGCTCATGGCCAACAACAACAGCAGGTGTTGACTCCCCCTGCCTCCAGCATCTCCATCCATCCGGCCCCGGCCGCCACCCTCGCCCTTCCCCGCGCCCCCGGCGTTCCCCGCGGCCAGGACCCGGGTGCCAGGAAGGCCGGAACCCACGCGGCCGCGGCCAAGGCCAGGCCGAGGCCCAGAACGGGCCACCCCCGGCGCCGCGCCATGGCGGCAGGAGATCCGAAAAAGCGTCCGGAAAAAATGGGGCAGATCTGGTGCCGTATGTGTCAAGGGCATCTTTTTCGGCGAGCTCCGAGAAGTAACTTTGGAGCTCGAAAGGTTAAGTTGCGGACAAAAGAAGCAGAATGAGTTCCACGGTTTCGAGAAAGAAAGCCGTTCTCCTAGCTCAAGGCGGTGCCGTCCGAGCCCACAGCATGCTGAGATCTCCTCGTGCAAAGTGTCAGACAAAAGGGAAGCAAACGAAACCACGAGAAAACAAAGGACAGCAACAGAACACAAGGGAAACCAAAAGGCAACAGAAAGAATTAATCTTTACGTCTGCCGGTCAGGTCTATGTGGCCTGCTCGACCGGTCTACGCAGCTTGCTCTCCGGTCTATGCAGCCTTCTCTTGCTGCATAACGTCTGGATCAAAATCAATGATTCATCTTGGAACCGCACGAGTGTGCTTTCGGACAGAGATCATAGTTCATACTACGTACTGCGCTTGGCTTCGACCTTTCTTAGAACCCAGGGTCTCATGTGCCAGGCGCGAAATGGGGGAAGCCCTTGGTTGCTTTTAAAGGGAAATCAAAAGGAATCGAAGCCAGTTTGGGGGCCCATTTTGGGAGACCATGTTCAACAGACCCGGTTGGGAGACCATTTTGGGGTACCATTTTTGGGGGACCGTTTTGGGGGACCTCGTATGTAGAGAGGACCACATTTCCTGCCTGGAAGTTGCCGAAGCGCGTGCTCAACCAACTTCTGGGCATCCGCGTAGAGCGGGCCAGCCTGCCTCTCCGTTCCCTCTCTCCTAGCCTGGTGAAAAACTTGCTGGTTCTCCGCAGGGAATGAGAAAATGACTCCTATAAACCCTCCTCTGTGCTTTCCTCCCAGGTTCACTGCTTCATTCCCTACTGAGCACCAGCAAGAAAAGGATTCAACGCATGTCTCATCTGTTGAGGAAACCCTTTTGGATGTTGAAGGGAAACCAAGATAAAAACCACTCATTTCGGTGGTTCTCCCGTGTCTTTTTCGACAACCCCAGCTTCTCCAAATTGCCGTAACTCAATTTGGACTGACTCCGCGAGGGGCCTCCTCCCAGCCAGCGGAACGGTGAGTGGCGTTCTTGTACATGACCTGAGGCTCCGGAGTGCATTTCATTTATTTATTTTTAAACTGCCTGGAACCCGAAACTTAGAAATGGTGGTTTCCCAAACTGCCATTCTCCATCAAGGTCCATATGAAATGGTCTATTCATAGGAAATGCTTGCTTGGGAAGCCACCCTTTGCAAGTGTTTGTTTCAAGTTCCAGGTGAAGTGAGAAAAACAACTCAGAGTCATGGGCCCCAGAAGATCTTTGGAGGGCCCCCGGCCCCATTTTGAGACATTAAAAAAACTCAAGAGGCCAAAAAAAACACGCACCTCGTTGAAATTCTGTCCATCCCGTAGCCCGCGGTTTGAGAACCCAACCAAAAAACCGCACCGAATTCTGTCTCCTATCCGGTTTTGCCGGGGATTTGAGAGCAATCAGTTGCAAGTTGCAGCGCCTCAAGTGGGTGTGGCTCAAAATTAAGCAACAGGGCTTGCGCAGGTTTTAGTCTTTGGTTCCATTTCCCAAGGGTGCCGTTTTGGGTGACATCTTTCTGAGCCACAGCCAAGCAACCGCGGCCGCGGCCGAGGCCGCGGCCGCTTCGCGAACGAGACGCCCAGGGCTCACCGGGCCCCGTGCCGTGCCCAGGTTGTTCGCGGCCCACGGGTCACCCGGCGCCACCTGAGGCCCAAAGGCAAAGAGGCAGGGATCGCTTTTTTCTCAAACTAAACAGGGGATCCGGATGCAGAAAAACACCTGGCTGTGGTCAAAACCGTTTCGGGATATCCAATTTTGCTTGGGTGAATTCAGCACCCATTTCATCGGCTTTATTGTAGTGGTTGGATTGGGATGTCACTGGGTTTTGACCCATGGCCACCTGAACATTGCCTTGTAAATGGTGGTTCCCTTGATTTTGGTGTTGGAAAAAAAAAGCAACATGGTTCAAATGTTTGCAACATGTATCTTTTAAGGAGCCCCGCGAAAAATCCCCCTTTTGGATGCGTTCAAGAGAACCACAAGGAAGCCAACCGTCCTTCTGGCGCAAAGGTCCATTCCAAATGCATGGCTTTCAAGATGATCGCAAGGAAACCAACCCCCTCTTTTGGGACACTCCTACATTCACGCATTGGATCTGCGTGGCTTTCTTTTAGGTGGGACTTCCCCTCTTGTCGGCTCTTTTGCCCCATCTTTTTCCGGGAAAAATATACATTCACCCCACCCACCCCACCCACCCCACCCACCTCACCGGCTCCCTTCGCCCTCTCGCCGCTCGCGCTCGCCTGCAGGGCCCGGCGGAACTGCGCGGCCGCCTCCTCCCAGCGGTTCTGCTGGTCCAGCGCGATGCCCCGCCGGTTCAGCCGCTCCGCCTCCAAGTGCCTCGCTGGCGAATTGGACGGGCGGCGTGCGGCTCGGGATGGGGCGCGCCGGAGTCGCTGGGGAAGATGTTTGTTTGCCGCCTGAAAAGCTCGAGACCATGACAAGACCACACCATCTTCGGAGTTTAACCCATTTGGCTGTGGGCCAAAACCAATGGGATCCACTTTTGGGGTAGTAAATTCAACAAACATTTTAGGCGTTATCTTAGTGGGGATTGAGATTTTCACTAGGGGATGTGGGTTTTGACCCATGGCCAACTGGGTCCAGGGTTCCACTTGTTGACTAGAGGGGTAGACGCAGAAACTCTTTTAGGGGTGGTTCATTCTCCAAAAAAAAGGGAAAGGAAGGGTTTAAGTCCGTCCATATTACTCCCCAGTTTATGAAAAAGTGGCCATTGGTTTTGACCCCGGTTTCCCATTGGTTTTGACCCACGGCCAGTTTTGTTTCACGTCCTCAGATCCACGCCTCCGCGCGAGGGCCTCGTTGCCCAGCGCCACCTCCAGATCCTCCGCCTTCGCCGCCTCCGACGCCAACTCCGCGGCGGAGCGGAAGGCGCCCGTGGCGGCCGCCTGGAGCTGGTCCTCCAGCGAGCCATCCCTCCAGGGGGAGGGGGGTGGGAATTTCCCCAATTCCAGTTCTCCAGCCTTCCCCTTCCAAAGGAAATGACACCATAAATGGAATTCCAAAAGTCACCCCCCTCCCAGCGGAAGGGGAGGTCCCGAAAAAAAGGAAGCCATAGGGGAGGCCCGAGTAAAGGCAACCATAGGGGATGGTTGAAAGGGGTCCTTCCATTTCTCAAGGAAACCATAGAAAACCGCTGGTGAGTCCCTGAAGGGGCGTCTAAAGGATGGTGGAAAGGGTTGTTGTTGCATTTCTCAAACTGGTCCTGAAGCTGACTCCTTTTGGACCATGGTCGCAGAAAAGTCAGGGGGTTTCCTTTGACTGAGGCAGTAAACCCAGGGTGGTGCATTTCTCCCCCAAAGGGAGAAGCACCCTGCCAGGCGTAGACGACGTAGACGATCGGTGCGATAGGGAATGACCCCGAGTTTCCGGGTGTTGGGAATGAACCGAAGGAAATCAAAAGGGGTGGTTTATAGGGATCACTCCAACTCAGCAAGAAGAAGGCGAAAGGATTTTTGAGATGTCGATGTCATGTCTCATTGCATTTTGTCTTACCAAACAAGCGCGCCTTGCGGCCTGATCGGCGTTTTGCCAGGTACCTGCCATGGATGCCCATCCCACCATGTCCACATGTGAGGCATGCGCACATCAGGGCGACGCCAACCTCAGTTCTCACTCTTCCCGCGTTGCATTAGGCCATGGGTCAAAACCCCGGTTCTCCCCCAGTGAACATCCCAATCCAAACCAACCAAAATGGGATCCCAAAACGGTTTTGACCCACAGCCACTAAGCACAGCTGTCCTTTTAGGGGAAATAGATGGGTTTCCCTGGTAGATGAGTCAACCACCAGGTAAACCAGGAATCGCCCTCGATTTTTCGAGCAAAACCACCAAGAAGGACGCCCATGCAAAATGTCTCAGCGCCCCGCGGAGTTCTGGATTTGCACGCTCTGCCTGCCCTTCTTCAGCGCCTGACGGAACTGAGAGTCATCGGGCGGGCTGTGTGGCCTGTTCGGGATATGCCGCGGGGGGCGTCTAGATCTGGCAGTGGCTCAAAAAACCGGAATTCCAAAAAGGGTTGCCCTAAGTGGAAACATGGGCCAAAACCTGCGGTTTGCCCCTCCTGGTTCATCAGCCCCCATATTTGTGCGGCGACATCTAGGGGAGAAACTCTGCTACAGACTTAAACCCTTCCTTTCCTTTTGGGAAAATGAACCAGCCCAAAAGGAGTTTCAGCGACTACCCTCTAGTCGAAAAGTGGATGGGTCAAAATCCGAATCGTGCCCCCCAGTGAACATCCCGATCCAACCACTAGAACAAAGCCGATGAAATGGGTGCTGAATTCACCTATCCCCAAAATGGGATCCCAAAACGGTTTTAACCCACAGCCAGTTCTGTCCCTTTTTTTGGAATGCACCACCCCAAAAGGAGTTTCTGCGTCTACCCCCTCTAGTCAAAAAGTGGAACCCTGGACCCAGTTGGCCACGGGTCAAAACCTCGCACGCACCCCCAGTGAACATCCCAATCCAACCACTAAAGTAAACACCCAAAGTGGGTGGTGAATTCACCAACCAACCAAAATGGGATCCCAAAACGGTGTCGACAACCACGGCCAGTTCTGTCCCTGGACCCGCCTTGTTCAACCTTGCCAGGGCCTTCTCAGCATCACCCCGCTGAAGGGCCTCCACGGCCCTCTTGTTGGCCTTGTACCCCGCTGCATCCTCGCGGAAACGACCCAAAACGACGGTGCTGAAGGAGTCGGGACCCAGCCGATTTTCGTGGAGGGCACCCAGCTCTGGTAAGGGAAAACCCAAAGGACAACCACTCTTAGTTGATTCCCCGAAAAACAACGGCGATGTCGCATGACATGAGTTCGGTCACAGCTCAGGCACTCGACTCCATCGACCGTCCTGATCCAGGATGAGGGAGAACTCCAGGGCACCCTGGACCTTTTGCAGAATCTCGCCGCAGGGATCCGGATGCATTATACACAACATTGCATTGCAACTTGCAAATGCTGGTGTCCAACTTCATTTTGGTGGAAAAAGCAGCATGTTTCAAATGGTTGCAAAATGGAGACCTTTTAGGGAGCCCTGCCAAAGCTCCACCGATTTCTACCAGTTTCCATCAGTTTCGACCTCTCAGTGTCCTTCAGTTTTGCAGGGCCTTCCAGCTTCCTTCTGAAAACTCCCCCGACGCATCAGTGTTCTATCCGTTTCTGTCACTTTCCAGTTTTTGCAGGGCCCATCTTCCTTCTGCTGGAGAATCCAGATGCCTGAACCGCCCGAACCCAGACTTTGCACTTGCGCCGTCCCTTTCCAGCTCAAAAGCCATTCTGCCCCGCGCAAGAAGCGGCCGCAGCAGAAAGAACAAGAACCCTTTTTGATGGCTTTGAAGGGAAACTACACGGAAAACACCCGCCATTCTGGCGGTTCCCAATTTTAAGACGCGAAATTTGCATTGAGGCCGCCGCGCCCACACAAAGCAGCAGCAGCCACGACATGGGCGAGGTGTTTCCTTTGGCCGCGCCATGCCAGTGAGAGAATGGGCGTGAACCAAACTGAAGCTCTGCCAAAGTTTCGCACAACGCCATGGGCAACTGTGTCTCAAGCAACGAAATCTGGACACGGGCAATGATCAATGTGGTAGAAGCACCTCATCTGACTGCCCGGCAATGCAACAAATTGTCTGCCTCTGAAAATATAATATTGGCTTGCTCTAGCCTGGAGCAAGAGCGGACACAGCTCAAGAGGACAGAGGCAAAGCTGCAATAAATTCCTTTTAAAACCAACAAGGAACAAAATATTCTTAAGCAAATGGAAGTTCAAGATGCGGCAAGCCTCAAGCATGCCCCGACAAAGTGCCTGTGACGCCAATGCCCGGCTTTCTCTCCTGCTGAGATACCGTGAGACTATTTCTGCGGTGTCCGTCGAAGCATGCGTCTCACGCGAAAATTTGGACTTCGAACGGGACTTCCGAGCTGGCAGCTTGAGCAGTGCACCAAAACAACAAACCAAAATTTTGAATATCCCACGCGCCCCTCAAATGGAAATGGGAACATAATATGAACGTCTCTGAATATTGGCGCAAAAGAGCGATTGTCTTGCCATCTTGCATCGCTCAAGTTTAGAGCACTGCTCACTTCGCCACTCTCTCCGAATTGCGACGGCAATGGGAGCTGAGCTTTTTGCATGGCAGTGGTCACTGAGCAAGAGATTCTCTCACGTAGATATCATGTGAAATCAGCAAACGGGCATTGTGCTTCATCGCGTACAACCAAAGCAACACGTCAACACCAACCGTCTTCATGACCCTCCTGCCACTTCATGTCTCACTTGATTGAAATCTAACAATAGCGAATGGCATCAGCATGCTGACTTTGTCACAATGCTGTGCACCCACTCACAAAGTGGTAGGGAATGATGCTGTCAACCTTTCGGCAAGAGACATTCCTCCCTTCCAATCCCAAGGAAGCTGCTTGCCAAAACCAACCAGATCCTGGGATCACTTTGAGTGGGTTGACTGGAAGACCACTGAACCCACCAAGAACGGAAAACAAAAGTACCTGAGTTGAACCGGATGGCTGGAAACCACCATCCAGGCGAGATCAAGGTGCTTCTTTCCCGCCTCTCCGACTGGAGATGGCAAAGACTCCCAGCCTGGCGTTTCGAGTGTTTGGCGCATTGCACGCGCGACATGCGACACGCGCCCAGGGCCCAGGCGAAGGTTGCGCAGGTCCAAGCGCGCCGCGCTGTCTTCGTGCCATCGCTCTCGGTTCCAGCCACCTGGCACGCATGCACGCCTGCAAGCAAAATGTATTTCATTCACCAGCGAACTCAGTGGCAATGGCAAAGCAGGGAGGAGGTGCCATAGATGTACAATTTGCCTCGGCATGGCGATTACACCCCCCCCCAAATGCAACAACAACCTCCCCTTCAGAGTGAAATAGTCTCAGACAGATGCCCCCATTTCATGTGAGTGCGTCGTTTGGGCACCCCTCTTGGGGTGGTTTCAAGGGCACACCCTTGAGGGACCCCCCCACCATGTTGGAGGGTTCCCCAGTTCCTTGGCAGCTCCATCTCCAGACTGCGCCCTGGGCCCGCTGCTGTCCACCCCAAAGCTCGCTGCAAAGCAGCGCCGCCGCCCAGGCATGCACGGCGCCTCCAGCTCCGTTCTTCGAAAAGGGGCGCTGGCAGATCTTCTGTCCAGATTCGCCCTTGCCTCAAGCAACCCTTCAAGCAATCCTTCAAAGTACTTTTTGCTGATAAGAGGCCGCATCCTTTCAGTTTGCAGAGCAATCCATCTCAGCACATTCGCCGAGGACTTCGATCCGATCCCGCCGGACCTTCTGCCAGCGCCCCTGCCGAGGATCAAGACGCTCAACGGTATCCTAAGCGGGCGGGGTGTGAGAGATGCGACTGCACGGGCCATGGCACTTCACGCATTGGCCTTTGGTCCTTGTCACCGGACGGAATGGCCGTGGGTCAAAGTTAAACATTTGGCGTTACGCAGGGTTTTAGTCTACCTTTCCATTTGCCAGGGTTCCATTTTGGACCCCTATTTTCGACCCACTGCCAAATAGGCCAGGTCTGAGCGCCTGCAAACAAGTTCTAGCTGACGACGAACAAAACGACCAGATAAACCGCCAACCGCCAGGCAAACAAAGCTCAGCCACACCAAGCTGTGGGTAAAAACCCAGGAAACCCCTGGTGAAAATCAAAACATGGAAACAGGAAAACCCAGGCAACTCAGGAAACCCCTGGCAAATGGATGAGAGCTCATCCAGCCTCAAAATGGCCTCTGGCCACAGGTCCTGCAACCCATGGCCCCTGGTGGGTCCCTGGCCAGGCTGGCGGACTCGTCGCAGCCGCCGCCCAGCACCCAAACCTCCGCGCGAAGGCGTTCGCAGGGAGTGAGTCCTGTGGCTGGGTCCCGAACCCAGGCCGTCGGGGAGCGAGGGGGAGCGAGCCCCAGGTTATTAGAAGGGGGGGGGGTGAGGGGGGCCCCTCCGAAAGTGAGGATTCCCCACTAAAACCAGGGACACCCCCATTAATAGACAGGGGTTGATGAATATGGGGTCTACATTAGGGGGATTCAACACGGCTTCTCAAAAGCGGCGCGTCCTTTTTTGCCCGTCGCTTTGGGCCTGCTCCCAGCCTTTGCAAGGTTGCTAAAGCGAATCTGGTGTCCCTCTTTCTTAGGCTTACCCTTGGCTCGGGCTAAAGGCAAAAAAGAACGCCGAAATCCATGGGGGCCATGGGGACCCGGTCCGCTCCCTGCAAGACGAGCCACGCTCCCTACATCGATGCGACGACATCTCAGGCGCCCGGCACAACCGTCGGGCCCGAAGCATGCCGCGCACCCCGCCCGTGCCTCACAAGGAGCGCGGAGATGCTTCAGGCGGACCAGGGCCGATCCCCGAAAGGGCGGATCACGGCGCAGGTTTCCCTGGCGCTTTTCCTTCAAAAACCACAAAAACGGGGATCCTCAAAGAAAAACGAGAGACACTCACAAGAGGGGGGGGGGGCAACCTGTTCAAGGCTAGTGGAGATGACATGTGACATGCCCCTTAAGAGCCGGTTGCCCCGGTATGTGCCCCCATGCCTGGGTAGCTGCGAACTTGGGAGATGTGTGGGCAGAGGAATCGGTGCACTTCGTTTCTAAACGAGGAACCCCAAAAATTTGGGTGTCCTGTTGGTTCCCTTTACAACCAACCAAAACTGGGGAACCTCAACAAGGCACACCAAGGTGACAAGGCTCAGAGTCCATTCCGCGCCACAAAACACCCACCCAACCGCAGACCGCCTGCGACAGGGTGGGACCTGCATGCCAGCCCCGAAGCAAGGCTTCTGAGCTGGAGAGGTCGGCCCACTCCACCGTCTCCTGACGCGAGAGCTCGAGCTCTCAGCCGCATGCCGAGAAAATGGGATGACTTTCGGTTTTTGGGGCTTACTGGATCATCGCTTTAGAACAACATGCCCTCCCACCAACTAACATGGGTTTGTGCGAAAAGGCCCTTTCCAAAAGGAAAGTAGTCTTTCTACAGGGGTCTGTGCACTTCCAGGTTAGCTGGTGTGAGGGTACCCCCTCTGAGCTTATCCTCGGAGCCTCACAAACTCGCAGGCTGTTTAGGACGCGCACCATCCACAGCAGGCGGAGTCACACTCTGATCTGCCTCGTACATGTCGTTGCCAGCGTATCCGCTGACCGCAAATGCATGACCTGCTGATGTGACCTTGGACAAAAGGGTCGAAAAGTTCACCTCTCCTCACTCTCTCTCTCTCTCTCCTTTTTCTCTATCTCTCTCTCTCTCTCTCTCTCTCTGTCTCTCTCTCTCTCCCTCTCTCTCTCTCTCTCTCTTTCTCTCTCCCTCTCTCTCTCTCTCTCTCTCTTTCTCTCTCTCTCTCTCTCTCTGCGCCTTTCTCTATCTCCGTCTTTCTCTATGTCTCTCTATCTCTCTCTCTCTCTCTCTCTGTCTTTCTCTATGTCTCTCTCTGTCTTTCTCTATGTCTCTCTGCCTCTCTGTCTCTCTCTCTCTCTCTCTCGAGCACCCCACTCTCTTCACTGCATGTTTACGTGTCTATGTGTATGTGCATGTGTATGTGTAGATGTATCTGTGCGTGCTTTATGTATTGTTGTATGTATGGTTGTATGTATTGTTGTAGGTATTGTTGTATGTATGTATTGTTGTAGGTATTGTTGTATGTATGTATGTATGTATGTATGTATGTATGTATGTATGTATGTATGTATGTATGTATGTATGTATGTATGTATGTATGTATGTATGTATGTATGTATGTATGTATGTATGTATGTATGTATGTATGTATGTATGTATGTATGTATGTATGTATGTATGTATGTATGTATGTATGTATGTATGTATGTATGTAATGTATGTATGTATGTATGTATGTATGTATGTATGTATGTATGTATGTATGTATGTATGTATGTATGTATGTATGTATGTATGTATGTATGTATGTATGTATGTATGTATGTATGTATGTATGTATGTATGTATGTATGTATGTATGTATGTATGTATGTATGTATGTAATGTATGTATGTATGTATGTATGTAATGTATGTATGTATGTATGTATGTATGTATGTATGTATGTATATGTATGTATGTATGTATGTATGTATGTATGTATGTATGTATGTATGTATGTATGTATGTATGTAATGTATGTATGATCTATGTATGTATGTATGTATGTATGTAATGTATGTATGTATGTATGTATGTATGTATGTATGTATGTATGTACGTACGTACGTACGTATGTATGTATGTATGGAATGTATGTAATGTATATAATGTATGTAATGTATGTAATGTATGTAATGTATGTAATGTATGTAATGTACGTAATCTATGTAATCTATGTAATGTATGTACTGTATGTAATGTATTGTATTGTATTGTATTGTAATGTAATGTAATGTAATGTAATGTAATGTAAGTATGTACATGTCTGTATGTCTGTC